TAGACAGGAAAGAAACACTAAATAATAAAACATCCATCCATCCTTTATTGAATACAGTACTTCGATATACAACTTGAAAATCCTATGTCAAGGATCCCTAAATATTAACCTGAGAGTTCAACGTCGAAAGTAAATAAAACTGAAACTAAAGTAATACATAAAACTTTTACCCTGCACAGGATCGTAAGAGTAGATGAGTTCGGATGGTGGTCCCACACTGCTAAGCCTCAACCCTGGAATGGGTACTGACCGTATCCTGAAATATCAACAATGGTGGGTCAACCCCACGAGCAATTCCTCTCTACTATGACCCAAATCAGAGAATCAAATAAATTAATCATTATGAATCGGATGGGTACTATATTTGTATACATCCTAATGGAACTACCCAATGTATAATATGACCTCAACCAGAATAGACGGTGATCACTTAGACTCACACTAGGTGGTTAAGTGTCGTCTTTCCCTACCCGGGAAATCAGCTATTATACATGGTGCACGATACTGACAACACAGACTATAACGAACTACACAGTGATAACACCTCTCAATGTACTGATGAATATACTGAGCATATCAATTAGGCAACACATGCCAATAATATTACTAAATATACTGAGTACGTCAATTAGGCAACACATGCCAATAATATTAATAAATATACTGAGTACGTCAATTAGGCAACACATGCCAATAATATTAATAAATATACTGAGTATGTCAATTAGGCAACACATGCCAATAATATTAAACCACATACCCCGACAGCCACACATCTGTCTATCGCAACGAATGCATAAGGTATAAATGAGTCTAAACTTATTAGCCAGCTCACATGGTTCTATATGGCAACACATCCATATAATATAAATGCGACATAATTAAACAGTCCATTTATTTCCTGAAATGCACACAGCATAATAATCATGGTTTATATATCATTTAACAGTATAAACATCCCATAAGATATCATGGATAATTTATATGACTAAAACCATGGCATTATTTAACAGTAATGTTTGATACCATTTAATAAAATAATAACATTATGTATATTTAACAATGTCGTTAAATAAATCACATTCATATCCGTACTGTAAACGAGCCAATAAATGTCTAGAAAAGATTAATCGGCCATAAGAATAATTTATGGGTAATAAAATAATAATTTCGTGACCCGTTAAACCCGTAAATACCAACACAGGCCCTAAAAATCCAAGTTTAAGGTTCTGGAATTTACAAAAATGGCCCTAGGGGTATTCTGGTAATTTCCAGTAGCTGAAAGGGCCCTTCACGCACCCCCACGCGCCGCCCTAAGCTTCCCCACGCGCAGCCAACTCATTCCCACACGCGCACGCGCCTACACGCGCCATCACGCGCGTCTAGAACCTGCCACGTGCGTGCACGCGCTCCCACGGGCCCTCTAATGCGCGGCTCTTGATTCGGTGGTTGCATGGACTTTGTTGTGGGCGCGCTACACTGGATAATTCTATCTTAGTTCTTCTAATCCAAGGGTCCTGGTTCGCGCGCGCACCATCCTATGGTGTATTGGACTACACCGAATCAATCTGCTGATTAGTTACTCATCTAACGGCCGGATATCCATGCGCACAGTAACTATAGTGCGCCGTATCACACCGGATTACTCCGGTCATCTCCCCCATTGCCGGCGACCGGAAAACTCGCCGGAAGGTCGCCAGAAATTACAGAAAAATTCTGAAAATTGCCCAAAAATTCTAGAAAAATTTCTAAAGCCTTAAATAACAATTCTTAAGATTCAATTAATTACCTAGGCCAATAATAAATTATTTAACCCTTAAATATTTAATATCACATTATTTTAATAAATTGAATATTTAATTTATCATTGTCCTAGCATGGTTTCTAACCTAAAAAAATAGCCGAATAAATGTAATGAATAATTTATGAACTCAAAGGGGAAAAGTAGATAATAACTTGCTTTTTGGATTTAAAATAAATCCGCCGGTTGCGCGTAGTCGGGTAAATTTCTTCTACACCGGTCCAAGCTCCTTTCTTTCTCTCTCTTCCTTTCCACACTTTTACAATGGCTTACTGAAAGCTATAACTTTTTCTAACTCCCGTCCATTCCTTCTAAGGTAGGCTAACTAATTTATATATAATTTATATAATATAAATATTACAAATATCAAATTTCTATTTAATACCAAAACCTTCCCACCAACATTTCATTAATGGAAATGCCCCATTAGTCATGTTAATTGACCTTACCATTACATTCTACTCTAATGTCAATAAAAACATCATGACATTGGTTTAATAAGATTATTAATATTATTTCTATTATTATCCTTATAACTATTATTATTATTAATAAATTATTATTATTATTATTAAAAAAAATTATTATTATTATAATATTATTATTATTATTCTTATTATTACATAAGAATACAATACAATCACAATAATACTTTACAATACACATATATTACTTTAATTAGCTAATATGGATTAATATACAACATAACCAACAATTAACATTATAAAATAATAATACATGCACACACAAACAATATATATTTACTAATGTAGCATATAACATAAAAAGTGAATAAATCTACACATTAACTATACGGAATTAATTTAAAATAAACGCTTTTAAAAATACGGGGTATTACAGTAGCCGGCCTCCTATGCCTCTGACCTGCAATGAAGTGGCTCACAAACTGCTTACTCAATTCTTTGAAAGTGTTGATGGTTTCTGGCTTCAACCTGTTGAACCAAACTCTCGCTGATCCCTTAAGTGTAGTGGGAAAAGCTCGGCACATGATTTCATCTGGAACAGCGTGTAAATGCATAAGAGCTTGAAAAGTTTTTAGGTGATCGAGGGGATCTTTGGTCCCATCGAAGCTTTCGAACGAGGGCATCCTGAACTTGCTAGGTAGTGGACATTTCATAACGGCGGGGCTGAAAGACAAGTTGGTCCTTTGTACCAGGTCATCTACGGTGGCAGGACCTTTCCCTTTCATAGATTGTATTACATCTTCCATTTTCCCCTTGAGATCCTTGATCTGCAAGTCGAGATGGGTAACTTTCTTTGTCTTTTCCTTAAGACAGAAGGCTATGCTTTTAGGAGGTCGGGAACTCCGTAGGAGAGATGGGTGAACCACATCTCTATGTCGGGTTCCCACCTGGCTTTGTTCCACTTCAGTCTCATTTTGGGGGAATGATTATCCCTCTCTTCAAGATTCCCATTACCTCCGTTTGGACTTGAAAGATCTTGTCCTGAAAAGTTTTGTTGAACCGGTGGAACAAGGTGTTGCAAGAGCGTTGCATTTTGCTGAATCAACTGGTTCATACCCTGACTCAGAGTTTGAACCTGTAGTTCCAACGCTGCAAGCCGTGTCTGGTCGTTTGGGACGTCCAGGTTTTCACCTGACTCTACCTTTTGACCAGATCCCTGCAACGGTGTTCCTTCGGTAACCATATCGGACTGCAAACGTATATACCCAATGAGTAATTAATTGATTCAAGGGAATCGTCGTTCCCACAGACAGCGCCAACTGTTGAGGCTGAAATTCGCGCAGTCCGATACGATACCGTTTTCCTACAAGGAAGAGAGGAGAAGATCGATGAACCTTGACGGCACCGGTGTGGTGCCTGCCAAGAGCTCTCCGACGATCAAATTAGTCACGGAGGTCTAAAAAGAAGGCAGGGATTAATCATAGTTTTTACGTCGTATCTTCTTTAATGGCTTGATGCCCTATTTATGGCTGTCGATTGGAATCAAAATCGTTCCGTTGATGTCGATGGTTGACCTTATCTTCCGCTTGTGCGAAATCATAGGAGATTTATTACCAGATTTGTCAGGATATGATTTAATCATTTTGACCTCCTCCAGTTATAGAAGGATTATTCTTACCTGTTGAACCACGTCAGATTTGATCTCATTATCCTAGATAATGAAATCTAATCAAACTTATCGAGGGTAGGGTAGGTTTATATTTTTCCCTATCATATACATCAGATCAGTTTTGGGGAATCTTAATTTTGGTTTTGGGGGAAATTTTGGGTTGAAAATGAAATACAGAAAGAGAAGGTATATTAAAAACGTATAAGCAAAACAGAATGAGTATAAACAAATCGTATAAGGAAAACTACAGTTCTTCTCTCTTTTACCTGCCTTGCCACATCAGTCGCGGGGCCCACCACTGGACCGGTTCCAGTGAGAAGCGAATGGAGAAGATTTTCTTCCCACCTCTTTTTGAAATCTCTGAAGCATAAGACGCTTTTGTTCAAGCTCCGCGGCGTAAGGATCAAGCTGACCCTCACCCTGTTAGGCAAGCTTTTGATTTTGATCCCTAAAGATTAGACCTTCCAGGTCCAAAAATACCAGAAATAGAGAGATTAGGGCCACAGACTAATCTTCCCAAGAATAGAGATCGTGAGAGCCAGTCATACCATATGTAAGCGGTATAGCTCTGGCAACGGGCTTAGACGATGGATCGACTAATGGCTCGCCGGATATGACCAAGTTAATCCGGCGTTGAGAGACCCAGTTAGAGAAAAAGAAAAAAAAAAATTATAGAGAGAGAAAGATAAAGGAAGCAAAATTAAAATCAAAATTATTAAACTGTTTTTTACTTTCAAAATATTAAAAATAAAATTTTCTTATTAAACACTATTTTAGTTTCTATTTCATCTCAAAAAAAGTAAAAGTATGATTTTATTTTGAAAGAAAGTAAAAATAAGAATGTAAACGGTCCCTTAAACCTGAAAGTCGGTGAAGAATAAAAAATAACTCAAGCGCTAGATTCTGTTTCATCATTAGAAATCGAGGAATCATAAAGATCCTCACCTCTTTTTACCGTTGGGAAACAATTTAGCCGCCAAAAACCCAAACAACCCACGTAAAGTAGATGGGTCCCAGTTTACAATCGTGACCCATAAGAAACTCACAAGTGGAGCCCATTAAATGCAATTCCAAAACACCAAGAAAACGAAGAGTCTTTACTATTACTATTTTCTCTTCTTCTCATCCGCACTATCCATCCATTCATGGCCCTCCAAGTCTTGACTTTGAGTCCACCCAAAGGGATTAGGATTCCAAATGGCTAATGATTTTTTTTCTTGTGATTGGTCTTCCCAGTCGTGCATTCAGAATCTAACATTTTTGGTTTATCTTGATCTACCTCTTTTTTTTTTTATTTTTTATTTGTTAGACTTAGGTTTGTTGTTGGACTTTTTTCGGCTTTTTGTTGTTTTCTCTCTAACTGGTATTATTCATGATTGATTGATTTTCATTCCCACAATGAGTACTTCCAATATCTCTCACTCAATATTGATTTGGTCTCTGTTAGTTAGGGTTTTCTGATATTTTTTTATTTCATTCAATTGGGTTTTTGCTTTGGGATTTGATTTTATCAACTATTGATCCACACTTGCCTCTTTGTGTTTGATTTGGATCTGGGTTGGGTTAGTTTGATTTTGTTGTTTGGTGAAGTGAGAGATAGATATGTTTGGTTCAGGTATGAATTTGATTACTACAATTATTGGGTTTGGAATGAGTGCTACTTTCATTGTGTTTGTCTGCACCAGACTAATATGTGGTAGGCTTCGAGGAGCTGAGTCAAGGCAGATGTTTGAGATTGACTCAAGGATTGATCTTGAACAGGTATATCATCTGAATATCTGATCCTTTATACCGAGTTGTATGTGTTTGTAACTTTGTATGTACACACACACACATGTATATGTAAATAGCTGCTCTGCTTAATGTCCCAATTCACAGATATGTAATTTGTTGCATGGTGAGGTTTATTTGAATTGGCTCTGTTTGGTTAAAGTTTTTATGCTCCATTGGGTATAAGGGATGGAAATTGGGTGGAAGGGACTGTAGGAGGGTTAAAGAGGCATGTGTAGGGAGCCGAAGGAGTGATTTTCTCCTGTTGTTTGGTTGAATAGGAAGGAAATGGAGAAAGGAAAGGAGCAGAAAAGGATAATAGCTTTAAGGGAAACTGAGTAATTCCCCATGTCATTGATGACATTACCAATCTGACTAAAGTGGATTGGTCCCTCAACACTGTCACATGTGGATGTGGTTGTCCTATAAAGCTACAATGACATTATAGAAAATACAATGATTTCCAAAACTTTATGCAACTTTAATAATTCACTATCGAATTTAAAATTTATGAAAATTTCAAGTGTGGGTCTCTGATTTCTATTTTATTTTTATTTTTATTTTTTCGTTCTTTGCTGACAGCCAGTGCATAGGATTTCTGGTCTTGAACCAGCTGCGATTGCTGCAATCCCTACAATGAAGTTTAACCGTGAGGCATTCAGTTCTTTGGAAGATGCACAGTAGGTTTATCTACCTATCTTTGTTGCTTCTCATTGCAAATAGACTTTAATTCAACCTAATGCCCAATTTAATTACCGGGAAAAAAAGGTGTAATGTCATTTTTTCCATTGTCCTGAAGCTTCAATTAGTATTTGTATAGTTCCAATCTCATTATGTGGGCCAGACAGTGATCAAACTACAGTAGAGTTCAATTTGTTAGGTTCAGACAGTGATCAAACTAAAAGATGTCAGGTTATGTTAAAATGTTGAAGTTTAACTTAAGATTGATCCATGGACTAATTGATGTAGAACTATGCATATATTATGTACACTCCCCAAATGAAAATGATGTGTGCTTGTTAAATTTAGCTCAATGTTACATAAACTTTAAAATTAGAATTGAGACCTTTTAGATACGGCACATATGAGGTTTAGTCCTGATGATCTGCAGGTGTACAATATGTTTGGGACAGTACCAAGAGAAAGAAGTATTACGAATCATGCCTCAATGCGGCCACAATTTTCATCTATCTTGCATTGATGTATGGTTAAGGAAACAGTCTACCTGTCCAGTTTGCCGGCTCCCTTTACAGGAGACTTTCGAAACAAAATATGCCAGACCTGTAGCATTTGCTATGTCCCGGCATGTGGGAAATTATGAGTTTTCAATGAATCATTCTCGGCAATGGCTGATTCCTGGTGCTGAGCATTCTGAGGAGAATGGAAGTAACCAAGGGCACATTGAATCCACAACTAGAAACCCGGAATCTACTAGTTCTGGAGAAGCAGGAACAAGATAATGATTGAATCTACTAGTTCCAGAAGCCTTTGCTTCTTGATAGTAACTTTCTGGTGTAGAAGTAGTTATCAGCATGATCTATTGGATTGCTACAAGTGAAATGGGATTTAGGTCTTCAAGACTTCAACAGGGGTTGAAATTTGCATGATAGGATGTTTTTATACACCTTGTATGTAGATGGAACCAATTCAGATGATTTAAATTATTGTTTCAAAAATCATTAGAACTTCATATGGTTTGTAAAGGAGGCTTAGATTACGTTGGCATTTCATTTATAGCATGATTCTATCTTGTATAATATTTTGAATTTTTTGCAAATAAAACACAAATTATATCAAAACTGTTATTTAAATTATTCTGTATAGATTCAGAAGAACAGCATTTATCATTTATTATTCTGGCATGCGTTGCTTTTCACTATTGGAAATGATTCACAAAGTAATTATGCAATTTTGTAACTTTATAATGCTTTTTGGCTTCTCCAAAATTCCCATATTTGGTTCTATCCATATTATGAGTCATAAACATGTGATCTCAAGTCCTGACCTTTTTTATGGACCAAGCTGTATATTATTATTAAGTTGAAAAACAGTTGATGAGAATATTCATGTATTGATTAAAATCAATGTGCCTTATTTACATGAAACTCTTCACTGTTCCTGTACATTCAGAAGTTTCATTTCTAAAACTAAATCGGTGCAAATGGCACCGGTCCCTTGCAGATTCTGGAGACAAGTTCAGGAAAGAATGAGTATTATTGTAGACACGAAGGTTCTTCTCTCTTCCTTGTCAATGTGAGGCAGGACATCTCCAGCGAACCCATGTGTCCGTCCCGTGCATCAAAACAGCGTAGTTTTGATGCACATCATGTGCCCATCCTGTCACTCCATACTCGGTCGTTACCAACATTCAATATAGCCATGCAAAGGATGATTACAGAGGCCCTAAAATACGTGCATTATCACGTTAGTTTATTGGGCTGATTCAACAAAAAAATGATTTTAATTTGCAGGGACATCATTGTAGTACAATTCAGTGCTTCTGTGCTTGAATGGTAACACAATAACTTATGATACATAATTTGCAGGGTGCCCTTAGATCATATAATTAATCTACAGCGACATTCAGGAGAAAAAAAAAAAAAAAAAAAAATCTACAGGGAGAACATTGCTGGACGAGTACGTTGTTTCACATTGAATATCCAGCCGGAGCCTTGGATGCATTTTGGCTGCACACTTGTAACCACCAATTTTCTATGCACTTTCGGCCATGGAAAAGGACTTCACAGCCGTGTTTGTAAATTGTTGAGTTCCTTCTCTGATCAGAACTTGAGAGAACTTGCCGTTGGTGATTTCAAAAGCACTATGCTTTCACAATAAGATTATGCAATCTTACAAAATCATCTAATGTGAGCTCCTCTGGCCTTGACTGCATTAATAGTGATGTGAGGACAAAAGATTAGCAGAATCCAATATATATAGAAACTGAGTATCAATTAATCACATTTAGTTAGTTAACAAATACTTACTGTCACTGGAAGCCCTGCATTTGCAAGGCATTCTTCAATCTCAAGGGAGGTGCATATGTGCTGGAGTGATCTCCGCAACATCTTTCTTTTCCCATTGAATGCGGAATTCACCTAAATTTATTAAAAATATCATGTCACCAGAAACTCAGAAAGAGATGGATATTTAAACAAAAGAAAGGTTTTAATGCATGAATCAGATGCAAAGAAATTCCCAAAGGTAGGATGTCAAGGTTTATTGCAATTAGGACATAGAGTCTATCCAACAAATGTAAAAGCTACTACTATGTTATCGGCAAACATAAATTTCCAAAGAGAGAGAGAGACTACTAGAAATGAACAGCTTGATTTTTTTCTTCCCCAAATTAATATAAGAACCTCGGGAAACTTTTGTTCTCAGACAATGAAAAAATAACATAGTTCTTGCCAAATCTAGTATTATAATGAACAAAGTTTGTAAAGGATTTTTTATAATAGAAGCATAACAAGGCATAATGGAAACGAGTAAGAACCATTGAGAAGAAGCTTTTAGTGGAAGAAACTTGGGGATAGTCTGCAACTTGCTTTAGCCTGAATGCAACAACTGCTGCATCAACCTACAGAAGCATAAGAAACGATCAGGGTCAATCTTTATTCCTTCAGTGAAATCATAAAACGCATACATCCGTACATGATATGTATGTAAACATGAGCCACTGATATGGGTTCTGGACCCACACTGACACCGGACAATTTATTTTTGCTTTCCATTAAAGGTGGCGACAGACCTCTATAGTAACATTTTAACTTCAGGGAAACATGTGCAATAAAGAATATGCAGCAAGGAGTCATGCAGCAAAAAAAGTCACCAGTAACAAAGTGCTTTAGTCATGATATGTGGCAAATAATTTACAACTACACAAGGAGCCAAACATGTACCCAACATTATTATATATATTTTTATTTTTCTTTCTTGTTTTGATAATAAGAGCTTGCACAGAATAATGCGTATATATTAGTGAGTAGAAATTATTTATTACCATTGAGCTAGGGCCATACGAACAGCATCAAACAGACTATTATTTGCTCAATTTTTAATTTGTTGAAGAATGTCAATAAATTCACAGTTATTCATTACGTTTATACTGAGCTCGCAAAAGGTAAAGTGGTAAACATAGGTTCAAGCAAGTTGAGGCTGGTGTGTCACCGCACCAAGGATGACCAATGCAAACACTGGAAAGGGGGTAGTTGGTGAATATTTCCTGAAAAAAAAGAATTGGGTATCATGAAACCTCTTCGGGACTCCTTCTGGTTTAGATGTATTTATGCCTAATCCAACACAAAAACAAAATGAGATTGAAGTTATGGCGATGTAGGGTGATGCACAAAAAGTTTTCATAGCACAAGAAGATTGCTGTCTTGTTGTAAATTTAACTTTCAAATTGTCCATAATGAAGTGAAATTAAGAAGAAACAAGCGAGTTATACTTTATCTTCTTATGTCTCATATAGTTTAATAATTTATGTCTGAATACTGCACTTGCAATATTATAAGCTTCAGTACCTTATAAAATTGCAATTACATTTTCTTTATTTCATATACGAATTCTAGACCCCGGCAGAGTATAGTTCCATTTGTTCCTGGATTTTCTCACAGCAATTGGTATTGCTTTCAATGGACTACCCAAAGTTCATATTCGTGAAGTTGAACTCTAATTGGATGTTTCTATGCACATGAAACTGAAAAGTCTTGGCGGAGAATAGAATCAGGCTAAAACATCTGGTGAAAGAAGACAACCACAAATTATGACCATAACTAACTAGCAAATGCAACATACTCAATACACGGTATTACAACTTCACTAGGAATGAATCAGAATTGATGGGAAAAGAAATCAATCACTTACATTAGGTTGGGGGAAAAAGTTTGTCCTTGGGACATTAAATTTGTATTCAGGATCTGAAAAGAAAATTACAATCAGGAAGCCCAAATTATAAATAGTTCAAATAAGATTGTGCAAAAACTAATGTATCTTAACCTTTACATCCATTATAATTGGATAATTTAAAACAAAATTATATTATTTGATCTTCTTGGGGACCCTCAGACTACAACAAGAAGAACTGCAAGGCCAGGCTTGCCAATAGTGTAGCCTAACCCGATTCCAAAAGGAATTAATATATACATATATGTTGCATCTTGTGACTTATAAGTAGCTTTTATATGTATAATCTGATTCAATACGTATGACCAGATGCTGCACACTATTTTGTTTCATATTATTCATAAAATATTATTGACCTGTTGCCATTAATATTATTTCATTACTTCTTTACACAGATTAAAAATTGCAGACTCACCTGAATAAAAGTTGATGAAGATATTGATGGGTCGATACTCAGATGCTGGCAAAGATGATTCCATCAAGCGTAAAGCTGCTTCCTCCTGAAAATATTCAATCATCATAAAGATATTCAGTATGCCTGCCAAAGATTTGAATTTTGAGCAGATAATCCGAATATGGTAGCACTTAGCAGGTCCAATCTGTCAACACTAATGCTAGGACTCTCCAACATACACGTCCTTGATCATACGCAAATATACGAAAGTTGCACTCCTTTTTGAAAGCTAACCACATTATTGTTCTAAAGTAAAATACCTTGTTTCTTTTACTTGTTGATAATAAAGTCCCATTGTATGTTCTTTGGAAATTAAGACCACTATAAATTTTGTATTCTTTTCCTCAAAATTTTGCATAAGTTGTTCAGAATATCTTCCAGGATAAATATCCTCTTCACATTTCTTGATAAGAAAGTCCCATTGTATGTTTCTTTTGTAAATTAAAACCGCTAAGTCCCATATGTGGTTTCCATTTAACAATTATTGAAAATAATCATTCTTCCCATTACCCTTAATTTCAACGCCCTTCACTAAAACTCAATCACTGTCACCTTTGGCCCTTCTCTACACTTTAAAAAATTAAAGTCTCTGCATTTCTCTTCCATCACAACAGAAAAATGGTATATATCCAAATCCCCTACTGATACCTGATTTTTACATGCTACAACTGTCCTGTTGTAAGTAACTTTATTTTTCTCTTTGATCAGTACTGATCCTTGTATGGAAAACATAAATGACAGTAAAAAGAAGAATAATCATTAGAAAATTGGATGTAAGTTCAAAAGAATGAATTTAAGGAAAAAAAGAAAAAATATAACTGATCAAAGAGCATAAACTAATGAATAGCCAGAACTTTGAACCATATTACTTGTCAAAGGGAAATTATTTAATATAAAGCACTTATATCAGAGAGGAAGTGATGTGAACCTGGAGTAACAGAACAACTTCTGAGATAATGTCACCCATTGGAAGAAGTTGCTTTATTACTTCTGTACTTATATTGAACGGTAGGTTGGAAACTACCTGCAAACAAGTAACTCAAGTGGACTATTTCAGAATAACCATGAGGAAAAGAATACACTTTTTTCTCTTGAAAGACAGATTTTATATGAACTCGTCATCATGATTGGATACAAAGCAGCCAAGAAAGGCACTCTGAAATAGTCTTGATTAAATAATTGGAATAATATTTTTGATTAATAAAGAGGCAAGCATGATTCTGCATCACATGGCATGATCCTCCAAAGTATAGATGACTAATCCTCACAGCACTTAATTCAAATGACTAAGAACTGAAAAGCCATTTTAGAAAACCGTACTAATTACAAACCCGTATAATTACAAACAAAGAATATATTTAGCTTTTTAGGGGGACAAAAAAAGAGTTTGGTCTAAATATATTCTATCATACTTCCAATATAGATCAGTTATAAAAACTATGGAGGAAAAGAACACGTCGATGCATATATAAATCTATTATTTATACCATGACTATATTAGACCCTCAGGTCGAGTGACCTTGGTACACAGTCTTGAAATAGATCTTTTCTTCACACACAATAAATATTCAGTCACTTCAAAGAGACAGTCACATTCAAGGCACCATTGTAAGAGGTAGCAAACAGATAGCTAGAGATCTCACTTTTGCACATTGTGATTTTGCATCCGGTGACTTTTTCCTTTCCAATAACGAGAACAAATGGGAGTGAATGTGACATTTCGTAAAATCCTCTTGCAAAATCTAAAGCATTCAATTAAAGATGTCAGAACATTATTGATTATTTATAGCGTATTTGACAACAAAAACTACATGAGCAGCACAATTTGTGCATATTATGCAATTTCAAAATACTTCAAGTATTAGAATTTGGAACCAATTAGTAGAAGTCAATGAATGAATATATAAGTCAAAAGAATAAAGATAAGTAACAAAATCTTCGAGGCGTAACTAATAAGTTTACTATGAAAATTCTCCAACTATAAAAGTTAAGGTACCCCAAGCCATTTCTTTAACGGAGTTAAGATTTTTTAACTATTTGATGAAATGCTCAACTTCAAATCATTTTCAAAGTTGTGCAAGTGTATATGGACAGTCATGGCATTATAAATCTCAATTTTATGTACCAATTTTAACTCAGTCAATAAACCACTATGGGACTGCTTCATCGGTAAGGTGGTACAAACTAAAACATAGTGTTACATTATAGCAAGCATACAGCTTATACTAATATCAGGAAACACCGAAAGAGAAGTGTGTAAAACTATAACAATTGATGCAGCGATGATTAAGTTTTAGGCAGCATTGTATTGTAATTTTCTTGCCTCCAAGAGCTCATGTAGCACCATAATATCCTTTCATTTTTGTTATTTTGGTTTTTTCTATCTTTCTTGTATTTTTCAAAAATAAAATATATTCTAGACGCAAAAGATTAATCCTAACATTCTAACCAAATTATGACTTGAAAAGTTACCTGCTTCCATTGTTCAAGGAAAACTTCAGGTGGGTATTTCAGTATAAAGATATCAGTCATAAGTTCATAACATACAAATAAAATTTGAAAATTAACTTACTATGAAAAACATAGATTACCTTTACCCTGTCTATACCAGCAAATCGTTCTCTTGTAAGTGTGACCATATATGGATCCTACAACTTGTACAAAATGCAAAATGTAAGACAAAAGAAAATTCAACTAAAAGAATAATTCTAAAAAAAATAGAATTTGAAATATGACAAGAATTCTCTCCCATGCTTAGTTTGAGACCCTGTATTTGGACACTAAAATAAAAACTTTAGGATTCATTGTGAATTCTGAAATGACACCACTTAAGAGAAAAAAATTTGAACTAATTCACAAAAACAATGGTAGAGACTAGAGACCCATGCTATGGCTAAAATATGAAAGAATGGGTACAAATTGCTTCAAATGGGAGCATAATTAAGACAAGAAGAACACGTATAGAAAGAGAATTCTACTGAAAACCTGAATTCTTACGCGAACATTTGGAAAAAGCGTAACTGTACTTGCATTATAAGAATTATAGGCTGACCTTTTCGATGGCAAGCACAGTTGCACCGGCATTAACGAGAACATTGGTTAGAGAACCAGTTCCTGGTCCTATTTCTAGGACCACATCTCCGTCCTCCACATTGGCCGCAGCCACAAGCTGCTCATTGATTGAAGAATTCAACATGTAATGCTGCAAATACCACAACAATCACAGGGCGCCTAGTCAATGTTCGACAAAAAGCACCAATGAATGAGACGAAACATATATATATATATATATATATATATATATATATATGACGTGGGTGTGTGTTCGTGTAATAGAAAGAGAACCTGGCCGAGGGATTTTCGAGGCGTACGGCCTTTGGAGTTGAGTGCTTTGAGGGTGGCATGGTAGTCGTCGTCTTGCTTATTGGTTTTAGTTTTAGTGTTAGCTCTCACTACTATACTCAGGGTGGTTGTTCTTGTGCTGATGACGCTGCTACTGTGCGCCTGGGGTGAAGCTCGTGGCTTGTTTCTCGGAGGAGCAAGAGATGGGCTTGACGAGAGAGATTGTAGGAGAGAAGGCATCTTTTCTATGTTGGGGTGAGTGAACACATAGTGCACTGAAGACCGTATTACATAATTGCACATTTGTTTGTGTCTATCAAATTTAATAATAATATATATATTTTTAAATAATAATAATAATAATAATTGCAGTTAGTAATAGGACATGAATAATGGCCTTAACAAAATAATAATATAATTTGAAGCTTAAAACTAATAAATCTGTCTAGTTTTCGAAAATTTTGTATTATTTTTCTTTAACTCATGAACCATGATTTGTTTTAAAATTGCATTAAAATCTCCTTTTAAAATAATAATAATAATAAAATGTAAAATTATCCCATATAATTTGAAGCTTAAAACTAATAAATCTATCTTGTGCATGTGATTTTTTTCATTCTAATTATTATTTTTTTATTAGTAAAAAATACTCACACAACTCACACATTCAATTTGTTAATTTGAAAACCGAATTTTCATTATGCAATTTAAAAGATAGAGGAAATACCATTGTTTTACAAGATTCTTGATATTCTAATCATATTCCCGCGACGAACAAGCAGCAAAATAATAATAATAACAATAATAATATAAGGCAATTTTAGTTGCAGTATATCAAACACTTGTCCAACAGTGTTACCCGGCCGTGCCAATAGAATGTTTTGTTTTTTATTATTTTTTTCTTTTCGCTTTTTAAAATTTTCGTGTGGTTATAAATTTCTCTTAATTTCATTTAAACAATAAAAACTATTGAATTATTATAATAGAATAAAATTGGACTCATCACCTAGTTGAGAAAGGAAGAACAATCATAGGTCCGCTTGAGTTGCATGTATATGTTTATAAATGGACATTTGTGTCTGTCAAAATTCTCTAAAAAAATTACCACCAGATAACAGGTGATACTTAAATTTTTTTAAAAAATAATAATAAATAATAATAATAATAATAATAATAATAATAAAAACAATAACAATAATAAGTTTTACTTTAAGCTAGTTGCTCCCCATATACGATAAATGCAAGACATGCAGTCGTTCTTTTTTTCACACTTGCACCAACGGTAAACTTCTTGTATGGAAGGTAATTAGGACAGGACTAATGCCGTGCAAAACTAAAGTATATCGTTTTCAAAATAATAATAATAATGTATTATTTTTTCTATTAACACATGATTTGTTTTGAAATTGCACTAGAATCTCTTTTTTTTTTTTTGACAAAAAAAAATTTAATAAAAAAAACTCAAGGTGTTTTGTTCATGCGATGTCAAAATAGGAAAATATATATATATATATATATATATATATATATATATATAAATTTTAATACTTTTAGTTTAATCTTCGCATGTCTTTGCATGTCTTTCTTTGAAATATGTGAATATAAATTTTTATTGATTTGATTTAAACAGTAAATCATAAAAAATTTAATAAAAAAAAAATTCCCATATAACAGATTTTAGGCAAAAGATTATTTATTAAGTAAAGTATTTATTTTATTATTTTAAAGTAAAATAAATCTGATTTCACACCCACAAGAATACATCTTATTACCCAAGAACACTATATATCTTGGTGGGAACAAATCACATCCCATTTATATAGGCATATTACCTTTTTAATAGGAAATTCTAAAACCCTCACCATCTTTACCCAACATGACAAAAAAAAAAAAAAAAAATTACAAAACTCCATAAAATAATCTAGTAATCCTATTCTAAGTCCTATGTAATTCCATTACATTAAAAAATACTCCACACAATTATAAAATTTATTATATATAAGCATTCCATGAAATGCCATTATCATTTTGTGAGTGCACGTGGCACAGGCATGGGTACCGTCTCAAAATTAAGCATGGCGTGACAATATGCTTCTATCCATATCATTTAGAAATAAGGTTTAAATCAATTTTCTTTTGATGTTGAATCCAATTTCTGGATTTATATGGAAATGTAATCATTACAAGAATTATTATCTTGATCTGTTTCAAGATTGAGTAAAATGGCACCCAGTTCAATCTAGCAAGAGCAGCACCACCATGATCTAAATCCACATTAACATTAAAATTGACCCGAACGCCTAGTCAATGTTCGACAAAAAGCACCAATAAATGAGACAATATATATATATATATATATATATATATATATATATATATGATGTGGGCGTGTGTTTTCGTGTAATGTGAGAGTTCTAATTACACATTCCAGTAGTTTATGTGGCTTAACAAACAAAGCAGATTGTATCCACTGGACAGTTGATGTGGCCTCACTTTCATATGTATTCTTCGTAGAGTTTTCTGTTTTATATATAATGAGATTCTTGTTCTCTCTGTCATCAAAATTAAGAATAAAACAAGTAAACTCTACAAGCTAGGTAGCAGAAGAAGAGGATTAAGACCTATCAATTGCCATGTAAACCCGATATTTAATTACAACTATCCATCTACAGCTGATTGTGCTCAATGAAACAACAATTCAATGGCAACCAAAAATATATTTTACATAGCTCAAGTTACAGTTTCCCTTCCCTAGTCGAACAAAAGACGCCGCCTAGAAGACTTGGAAAGATTTGGGCTTGACATTTGTTTTTTTCCTTTAGTCACATCACTATTATGTGAATTCTCAGTTAATTTCTCCCCAAGCTTCATTGCTTTAGATGCACGGTAAAATTCAGTAATACTTAGCTGCACGCTTCTCGGTGCTGGTGATTTTGACGATTCAGGAGTTCCTTCAGATATTAAGCTGGATTTCTTCCTTTTCGATTTCTTTTCTTTCAGTTCCTGAGAGACAAATGAAAACACGAGGCACATCAAAATAGAGAGTAAGCGAGAAATGTATGAGGGAAAAAATATACCTTTTCTTCCAAAAATTGGGCCACTTTTTCTGGAAAGGCAGCCTGAACAAGATCCATATCTTCATCGGTCAACAAAAACCAGTGTCCATCATCAACACTGATTTGGGGGACATCAGCTTCATCCAACAGATCAATGGGTTCATCATGTTCCCTGGACTCATGTTGTGTATCAGACACTTCAGAAGCAACCGCATAGATAGCATCACCCATTGCACATGAAGCCTTCTTCCATTTAACCACATAAAATTGATGCCCGTATCTTTTCTTAACACGCTGAATAGAATCAAATTCATACTGTCCGTATAACATATCATTTGTTGGATTAGAGGCCAGTTCCCTCAAGAAAATGGTGGACAACATGGGTAACATTCTTTGTCGTGTGTAAGATGGCTCCCAGTGCTGATGATAGGAGAGGTAATCAACCAAAAAATCAGTTTTTGGGCTTTCCCACGATACATGAGGGGCATCATCTGCAAAAGAAACTCCAGTATTAATGATTGGGAAGCATAACATTGTATGACTAGAGGAAACCAGGCTTTGAAAAATAACTCTCTTGAACAAATAGGAAAAAATCAAGTAAAAGCAAAAACCCGACTCCAAACTCCCAAAAAAGCATAAGAATAAGATAATATAAAATAAATCTCTGCCTGCCTAAACTATTGCCACTTTTATCTAGAAAATGGTCCACTAATCCACCGATCACAGATATACCCCAAACGTTACCCAGTTCTTACAATTCACTTGCACAGCATTACATAAACCAAACAATTGTTAATACTTGAGGCATCAGACTCAAAATAAAGTTGTTCGATTTTCGGTAATCTTGCTATATAGTATAGTGAATAATATGGATGTATCACCCACACTGTCAATCTTACCAGTAGAATTTCCTTGGTTGCTGCTCAAATACATTGTAATAATCTCATCATTTGGAAATTTCTGCTCCATGGCAATTTTTTTGCAAACTTTTATCTGCCAATTTTCATTCTTCTTCTGCTCCTTTTGTTTTCTATCCTGCCATTAATTATATATGCTCACAGTAAAGAAGCAATGCATCTGCAAAAACCTATAAATAAACTGAAATGCACCAGTGCAACTATTTTGATAAAATTGAAATGAAAAGCTCAAAATGTCAGTAAATAATACGAACATGTCATATGCTAAACAAGATAGAGGTTGCATGGCTGCATAAAAATGTACCAGATCACATGAGCTGCAACTACATTTATACCCCACTGGTTTTTGCAAGCATCCATTGCTGGTATCAGTGATGCAATATTCGCATGACGACTTAAGATGAGCTTTCTTGCTGCCTGGATGTCCACAGACGGAACAATGAGAAAATTTCATCTTTGGTGTATTCTCATCTGAGTTGGGAGTAATATCACCTACATATTTCATTCCACCCTGGAACTGCAACATATCTCCTCTGCCTATTTCATGCAACCTGCATGAACATTAAATGTCATAGATTCAGTAAAATTGTCAGGTCAATACTCTGTAAAACAGTTGATCTGGTAAACCACTCAAGCAAACAAACCTATTTAAGATCTCATTCTCACTGAAAGATTTGACAAAACGAAGAGCAGTTTCAATCCCAATTCCTGGCACACCATTTAAATCATGGTCATTTCCAACCAAAAGAGAAATGGCTATCAAGTGTTCTCTCTTCATCCCAAGACCAGCTTCAATATCTGACATATGGTAGCATTCAAAGGGTTCCTGCACAAACTGAGATGCTCATGTTTGCCAAGGAGAAAAACCTATAATGCATGTCCATGATATACACAAAACAAAATATAGGAAAGAGCAAAAGAATGCTTTGGCAAAATAAATTGTAGATGTCATAAAATGGGGTTGTGGGATAAAAGCAAGAAAACTGAAGAACTTCCATGTGATGTCACTAGCAATAGAAACAAGACAATGAACATGTGTATTATGATATATAATAACTATTGCAAACCCAACCACCAGGCCACTGGCATGGGCGGTGTATCCTCTCCACCCCAAAGGGGAGAAGGTTGGGGGTTCGAGCCCCAAACAGGTAAAGTGCAGGGTGCATGCATTTGCTCGAACTCTATGGAAAAAAATGAAAAGCCAAAACGATTTTAGCATGGTGCTTCAATCAAGAAACACAAAACACTATCGGCATCCCTAATTGCTAGTTCAGCCAGATAAAAAAGGAAGATCAATGTCTGTGGGTGGGTTGGGGGCAAATATCTGAAAATGAACCCCAAAAGAAGTTTCTATCTCCGGGGATATTTGAACTGCTCAGAATGAATGTGTCCCAGAGAAAAATTTTGGTCCTAACGGATTGAGTCATCAAGGGAAGGACTTTATCTCTTTCTATTGTCATGATATAACATTTGAGTCTGTGAGAATGAAATTTCAAGTATGAAAGCCACCATTTTGTGCTAACAGGGGACCAATATTGGGTGGGTAAAGGCCTTTTCTGGACAAGCATATCAAACTCATGCATTTAAATTTTTTTCCTGTATGTGTACCACTAAACATATCACTCTATGGGGGCAGCAATTGGAATTATTGGAACCATCATCACCATGACACTGACTGGCTGTCACCATGTTTCTATCTTGTGCTATGTTTAACTTTGAATGAATGCATTCATTTCTAGCTTGTCCTTTCATGACTTGAATTCTTATCTCATCACACATTTCAGCTACTGAATATACATGGAGGATCGGTCATCTGATGTTTTGGGGGGTATATCTGGAAATGAGTCCCGAAAGAAGTTTACTCCAGGGAGATTTGAACTGCTCATAATGCATGTGTCCCAGAGAAAAAAAAAAAAAAATCACTCCTAATAGATTGAGTCATCAAAGGAAGTACCTTATCTCTATATTGGGTAAAGGCCCTCTCTGTATAGGCATATCAAACACATTAATTTAGACATTTCCTGTTTGTCTACCACTAACCTTTGTAGATTCAAGCTAACCATATGCTCTGTGGTGCAGCAATTATAATCATTGGGACCATCATCACCAAGACACTGACATTATGTCTATACCTTGTGTTTTGTTTAACTTTGAAAGTATGCATTCATTTCTGGTTTGTCTTTTCACGACTTGTACCCTTATCTCATCGCACATTTCAGCTATACATGTAATAGTATTAATTACTCAAATATTACCTATCAGTGCAAGTTTAAAATAAAATAGATGTAATCATCACATTCCTGTTCACATAAACTGAACTCTTGACAGATGTAATAAAAAGAGGAAAAAGGAGAGAAGAGGAGAAGGCAACCCAAACCCCAACTACACAGCACAAAAGAAAAACAACTACAAGGAGGAACCACTTTTTTAACCTCAAATTAAGAGCACATAAAAGGCCAAAAGGAAGATCAAATACAAAGAACTGATAAACAAATTGTCAAAGTATTTTTGTCAAAGAAAAACACAGCAAGAGAACCAGTTATCAAGAATGAAGCTCCTCATGCTAAGTTAATCCACAATGAGGATCCTATTCCTCATCACAGTGCCTGCACAGTGTAAGCAACTTTAAAAACCTCCCATTTCAAAAGGAGCTTGGTTCCCCATAAATAAGAACGATTCAAAATTTATCCAAGAATCAATTCTCATGTACTCCTATATTTGCAACCAGCACCCAAAGACAGAACCAGATAACTAAATAGCATTGTAGAAAACTGCCAACCCCACATTCAGCCCTAGCTTTGGCAACTCAGAAACACTATTGTTTCAATCTCTTCTTTTGGTGAGAATAAATCCGTTGTTTCTAAGATATTACCTTTAATCACGCAACACCTAAAAATCTCATGAAATTCATATCCCCAAGGCTTAAATTTTGCACATTCTCTGTTTATATACGAGGGATATGATCTCAAGGGCCTAGCTTTCTACTAATTTGACTTACCACACAACATTTTGTTTAACTCAATAAATTTAATCGTTAGTTAAAAGGGGAATGGATAAATCTTCTAGGTAGATCTCACTTATCCAAAAACCTGTCCAATCAAGTCATGCCAGGATTTCTAATCACCGAATAGGTCATTCTGCTACCTCTTCATTCTTAAGAGTCAATGTAACAAGAAACGAAGTGAACTTAGAAGTCAAAATTAATCAGCTGTTTCCAGTACAATTTAGCCACATTGATTGCTCGATCAGTAGTATAGGTGCATTGTAGTATCAACTAACTGAGCATAGTTTAAAGCAAAATGGACTCACAACGAACAACGACTTACTTTAGAGTTGGGCAGGAGGCGTTTTATTACACAATTAGCCCCATATAGGAAAGCATCGCTGTCAGCTGTAATGCAAGCAACGACTTGACCTTCTCTGTTTAACTGTGCGCAAAGTGCTTCAGCCTCTCCTCTTGCTTTTAGGACGGGCATTCCAAGAAGTTCAAGCAGCTCCTATCAAACAACGATTTATGAAAAAATTAGAATCATACACGCTCCAAAGCATGCTAATAAATGGATACATAAGTACTGAGCAATGCTTTTGACGTTAATAATACATCGTTCTAATGAATAAGTAATCAGGACTTTTTTTGGTTGCTGAAAAATGAAAGACAATGCAACAAATATGCCAGTTACCGGTAATATGGTGTTCCTACTTGCATCAAGACGCTAAACTTCCCTCCGAGATGCAAGAGTATTACAGACAATTTTCTTACAATTTGCCCCCGATTTTTTTTTGGCAAATTTCAAAAAGGTCAACTTCCATTGAAACAAGAAGTTTCAACTCTCCTTCACAACTACCATCTAAACTAAACATAGCAATGGTACTTTTGTCCCAAGTAACTAAGTGGTAGGCTCTACGTTGTCTGGTGGTCCAATACATTCTATTTATTTGAAAGGCAGAGTTTGAGAAATGTTCTCTTTCATCTTTAGACCGTGCGATTACTTGATGTCCTCCCATGGCAAAATTTGTAAAAGTTGAAAATAATACTGTTGCTCTAATGGGAAATTTATAAAGTTATAACCTGACATTCTTTCGTTGCGTTTTCATCATGTTATTCCAAGCAGTAAAATCACAGAAGGGAAGTGGATGCTTAGTCACATTTTGTCTCCTTAATTAATGCAACCAAGTAAAAAGGATTACATAACAGACAGTGAACCAAACACGTTAAAACTGTACACAGAAACCCCTCAACATCAAAACAATATAGATTAAATTAGAGTATATCACAATGGAATCACAACCAAATTAGCACCACATTAACACATAAGTAGTATGCCAATAGCCAAAAGTTAACTAACCACACACTCTTTAACGCATTTCAAAAACATCGGGTTCCTTTCAACTGAAACACCCTCCTCGGCCACCGGCAAACTCGACAAATCAATGCCTGATGCCTGAAAGAACCGCGCAATCCTCGCCCGAGACTTCAACGGCGAGGGAGTCCCATCAGCCACAAAAACCGGAAACGCCCCAAACTGCAAAATTCCACACGAACACTGAAACACATTACTCTCATCTCCTCAAATTCACAGACTCCACCCATTTGGTGTTAAAAAAAAAAAAAAAAAAAAAAAAGTGCCTTGATAGACGAGACCCAAATTTATTTTTGTCTTAGTTATGGAATTTTAATGAGTTGTTTTAAATTAAAACAATGTGTTTGATACACAAGACTCTGGAATTTTCTTTTGTTTTGTTTTCTTGAAAACCAAACAGGGGGTATAGAAGGAAAATCGAGAGAGAACGTACCTTGGAGAAAAGGTTGACGGTACGGAAGAATGTGAGTCTGATATGAGGGTTTCGAGTGAAGGATTTGATTGCGGTTTCGTGCTGGACGATCCAGAAAGAGAGATCAATAGCGACCCGTTTGTTTCGGAGGAAATCGAAGCCTTCGGTTCGACCGTAGGGTTTGAGTAAATCCCAGAAATGACCTCCCACGCCCATACCTTTGCTCACGATGATTCTGCAAAACAGAGAAGGTCTTTTTTGGGAATTATAAACGGAGGATCATCGTTTTTCATAAGTTGCAGTGGAGGAGTAGAGTGAAGAGAGAAAGGGGTGAACGAAGCTCTGAGGTTTTGGGCCGTTATGGAATTTGAGGGCTGGGATGGGAATGAGTGGTTAATGGACTGGACTGATATTAAAAAAACCCAAACTCAAAGGCCAGGCCCTTTTTATTTTTTTATTTTTAGGAACAATCATAATCCAACATTTATTCATACCGAATGGTTGCAGTAAATTACCTAACCGAATAATTTTTAATTAATTATTTATATCAAATACAACTAAGTGGAAGGCTCCACTTTCTTATTTTTTGCATAATTGACCAATTAAAAAACTAAGTCTAGCAATTCACTTCAATTATTCGGTGCAAGAATCATTTTTCTTTATTCAATTATATATATATATATATATATATATATATATATATATATTCACATGGCTTAGTTGATATTTTAATTTATAATAAATTAAACATTTATTCAATTACAATTGTTATTTTAAAGTATACAACTTCAATGTTATGGTATAATTGATGTGCCATTTTAAAACTTCAATGGCATTGGCCCAAAATTTATTATTCTTAAAGAATGAGGACAAATTCAAAGCCCAAGGCTTTTTTTAATTTTTTTTAAATTTTTTTTTTCACCCCTGGTGGACAACAACTTTTGAATAATTTTTTATTTTTACTATTGATAATAAATATACTCGTACACGCACTTTAGCCCATACTCACTTGAAATAAGCCAAATTTTTTTTTTTTTTTAAAAAAAAAAAAAAACTAATAACTTGCTACTATAATTTTAGGCGTTCTTTGAAAACTCAATTCAATATTTAATTCTAAATAAATAAATTATTTAATTAAGTTTGTTTGATACATAATAAGGTGAACTATTAAAATTAATAAAATTAATTAAGATTTCTTAATATATATATGTGCAAAGACTAATGTTTTTCATAAAATTATCATTGCACAAATTCAGATTCCTAAAATATATTTTCCATTCAGTTAATTTCATAAATTTTTTAAAAGAAGATGTTTGTGAGCTACCTATTTGATTTGATAAGTGCAGTATCAAACAAACCATCCAGATTCCAGAAGTCTTAATCTGTAAACTACCTAGCCCAAGCTGTTTGGGCCGGTCCGTCTTGACAAGTTGACTGGGCCCAAGCCTCAAATTGCCGAGCACATCATCACATCAATGTCATCTTTGATTCCCTTGTACCACCATTGTATCATCACCACCCAAAAGAAGCTTCCTTGAAGATGCATGCAGCCTTGAACAACTCACTTCAATACTATGGAGATTAGAGTAATTTTGACCCCTCCACTTCCTAAAAATATTGCTGTCTTCGGCAAGTATGAAATTAGTAGCTTTAAGTTAGAATGGAAGAAAATTTTGACCCCCCCAAGTAATTATATTACAATTCTTCTTATTGCAACGTATTAAGTGAAGTATAACCCCATTAATTGAGGGTTTTTTGTAAGACTGCTCTTTTATAACATGTGAATATCACGAGTTTTTATTCGAAAACAAAATAAGATTGACTTTTTATGCATTGAACTAACTCTTTATAATGTGATTATATAAACTTTAAAAAGTAATGTTAGTCAGTGATTATCCAATATAGTAGTATCTGAAAAACTCTTAATGATTAATTTTTCACTAATAACATTATAATAAATACATACAATGTAATTGAGATCTTGATTTCAAATGGTAATTATAATTTAAATGGTAGATATGACGTACTTTAAGAAAAAAAAAATTACAAAGAATTCTTTCATTGCTGGCATTACTCAACTTGAAAAAAAAACTTTTGGAATACGTGTATTAAATCAACGATTGAACATGCAATACAGTGTTACAGTTCAATGTGTGTTGTACGCGAACAAACACATGACTCCAAAACGTACGGAAGCAGTCCAAATTCTGAAATATAATATCTATCATCGTCAACTACAACTATGAAAACTCCTACACATCCACTTGTAAGCCACCCAATAACACGTCTTTAAGGCGGTGGAAAAGGTCAAACAAAAGACCATGGGATTGCACCTAATTAAATGAAGTCATATTAGTCAGAATTTTTCTTAATACAATACCAAAAAAAAATAATTTAATAAAAAATAATTTAATAAAAAATAATACCCCCTATACACGATTTCGGAGTATATAATATATAAATGATAATGCAAATTATATAATTTATGATTTGTGATTATTAAACCTTTGTTTTTGGTTTCTAATACCTTTCCATTCTTCGTAAAACTTCTTTTGACAAAACAAAAACTGACCTCGAAAACTTCTTTTGACAAAACAAAAACTGACCTCGAAGAAAGCACAAGTCTCTCTCTCTAAAACTCTATTCTCTCTCTAAACCTGGTGCTTTACATGTTCGATCAACGTGATGAAGCCCATATCGTTTCCTTAATTTACTCTTTCCTCTCTCTCTTATGCCAACGTGCTAACTTTGAAGCAATCAATTTGACACTTTGAAACACAGAGTACACGTTTTTGGTTGAAACAGAGTTGTGTAGAGAGATAGAGAGATAATGAAGACCGAAGAGCAAGCTCGGTCTCTGTTCGGAATCTCTCTCTCTGATAGACCTAAATGGCATCAATTCCTCATCTGCTCTTCTGGGTTCTTCTTTGGTTATCTCGTCAATGGCATCTGTGAGGTATAATCTTCAAACCCTTTTGTTTGTTTCCCGAGAAAAGTCGTGAGGACGGATTAATTTTTTTCATGTTTTCTTACTAAGAAAGTAGAAGCGGACGAGCAATTGATTTTGTAGACTTCTTTTTTCCTTGTTTTTGTGAGGTTTCAGTTTTTCAAAATTTTCTTTTCCTTTTTTCGATTGGTTTCTCAGCAACCAAACAGGGATTCAAATCTGATTGTCCCGGAAAACTTACTTTAGCGGCACTTTTTTTGGATTCCATGGATGCCCTTCCAATATTAATTATTGAATCTTCACTATGAAAGTTGGATTTTGAAATTGCGAATTTAGAAGGATAACTTTGACTACACTAATTGCTTTATTCGTTCTTGAATTGTTGCTACTTTATCTGCCAATGCTTGTATAATACAATTCAATTTCTATAGTAATTTTGATCATAACACTTGGTTTAAAACATAGTTGAATTACTTCCTAGAGGGCCTTAATCAGATCATAATACATGCTTATATTGCTAAATGAATTTGAATCTAACTATTGCTTCATTTCAGGAATATGTGTACAATAGGCTTAAATTCAGGTCTGTTTTACATTTGGGCACTGTTTTATTGAGTTAATGTTAAATTTTGAGCTTAAATGTGGGGTTTGATTTTGATAAGGTGTGTTTGAATGGTTTGTTTTCTTATTTCAGCTATGGCTGGTACTTTACATTTGTTCAAGGGTGGGTTTATATTTTCCTGATTTACTGTCAAGGCTTCACTACCAAGAAAATGGTGAACCCATGGAAGACTTATGTGAAGCTCTCCGCGGTGCTTATGGGTTCACATGGACTTACCAAAGGGTCGTTGGCTTTTCTTAATTACCCGGCACAGCTCATGTTTAAATCCACCAAGGTAAACACCAAACTGAATGCATCGTATATCGATCAGGTTTACTCATAGAACATTGCAATGCGATAATGCCGATATAGTTCTATAGTATTCGACAATTTATCTCATGTGCTTCCTTAGAGCAGCTAATTTGAGTTGGATGAAGTCTTTCAATGTTTAAAATTTTTAGTAACTAGTCTGAACTTGATTGGCATTCAGAAACATTTACTTAATGGAATGATGTAAGATTCCTCATCCTGATCAGGCTGAAAGCCATCCGAGCATAAGAAAGCAGATTAATTTGATCTAAATTTTCTCTATTTTGCCTCTAGAACCACTTGTTTTAGCTGAAAGAATATTTTTAACCATATAAATTTGGAACTACATAATTTAGTGGATAAATTGGAGTATCGAACATGGAATTTTGAGAACATTTTTTTGTTTAATTATCATTTTGATTAGTTTGTGAAATTAGTCAAATTGTTATGAGTTTTATATTTATGGTTTCAGGTTCTTCCTGTGATGATAATGGGTGCCTTCATACCTGGTTTGAGACGGAAATACCCACTTCATGAGTATGTTTCTGCCATACTTTTGGTGGTGGGTTTGATCCTTTTCACTTTAGCAGATGCACAAACTTCACCAAACTTCAGCTCAATTGGTGTTATAATGGTGTCCGGTGCTCTAGTGATGGACTCCTTTCTGGGGAACTTGCAAGAAGCAATCTTTACCATGAATCCCGAAACAACACAGGTGATTTGCCCATGATGCGATCTTCTCTGTGGGTGTTTAAATGTGAATAAAGTGATCATGAAAATAATCCCGAGTTCATATTCAAATAAATTTTTCCCCTCTTTTTTTACAGATGGAAATGCTCTTTTGCTCAACTGTAGTCGGTCTACCTTTCTTGATTCCGCCCATGCTTTTCACAGGAGAACTATTCAGAGCATGGAATTCATGTTCTCAGGTAAAAGTCCCAAAAAGAAAGAAAAAACTTTTCTTCCCTTTTGCCAGATACTTTCTGTTTTTTTTTTTTTCTCCTTTATTATTGTTTATTTTTTGATAAATTAAATACGTTTTTTTATTATTATTATATAAAATACTCTCTTGTTCATGCAGCATCTTTATGTATATGGTGTTCTGATCTTCGAAGCAATGGCCACCTTTATCGGTCAAGTCTCTGTCCTTTCCCTCATTGCAATTTTTGGTGCTGCCACGACTGCCATGGTATGTTCTTGTCATGAACTTTTCTGCTTCTGTTTATCAATTTATGCATGGACGAAATTGAAGAGCTTTCAGTAGTTTGAATTATTGATTTCAATTGGCCTTCTCATTGAATTCTATAGGAGTTTTATTATTATTATTATTTTGGTTAGGAATTCAATCGTAGTTTTTGAACTTTGGTATTTCAAATGGCGACTCATTACATGGCTTGCATATCATATGTGCATTTAAACTTTGAAATTTTTGTTGTCAAACTTGTCTCACCGTTGAATTTTTTCACAGATAACAACGGCAAGAAAAGCGGTAACTTTGTTGCTATCATACTTGATATTTACAAAGCCATTAACTGAACAGCATGGGACTGGACTTCTGCTGATATCCATGGGGATCATATTGAAGCTTTTGCCTGATAACAAAGCCCCCAAAAGACTCCCAATCTCATCATCCATGGCCAAGATTGAAAAGCCTTCTTACAGTGAAGAAAATAGAAAAGCTGATAAGGGTGATGAAGAAGAAGAGAGGACGCCTTTGGTCTGAAAATAAGAAACAATTTAGTTGAATCTTCTCATTTCTTCATTCGGTTTATCACCTTAAATGTTTTTTTTTTTTTTTTCTTTTCTTTTCTTTCTTGAAAATGGTATTAGAATACAAACTACAGGTTATTTTATCTTTCATTTCTTGATAGGCATAGGATTTAGAAGTTGGATTATGGTTTTCACAAAAAGAAACTGATGTTACAAGTTAGGTTCTAATCATTGACCGCATGGTAATGTGTGGTCCAGAAATTTAAATTTCAAAATGAAGATCAAAGTAGTCGGTTTTCGGCCACTTTCAGGAAAAAATTATTCCACCTTCTTCTAATTTTGTATGATGGTTTACTATTCATATGTTTCTGGGTTGAATTGCAATTTTATTAATGAATTATTTGACATGTGTTTTTGAAAACAGTGAAAATTTTGAGAATGCAGCGTTTTGAGTTGTAATTCTGTATTCTGAAATACGAAGGGAATTAGTATAATGGGATAATTACACTTGCCTTTACTGAGGTTAGGCGTAATTACAAGTGTTACTCCTTACGTTTTAAAAATTACATTAACCTCCCTTCTTAAAAATTACATTAACCTCCCTCCAAACTGATCGGCATTCTATTCCGGCCATTGACCAATGTAAATGACTAAAACACCCTCTAATATTTTATTAATATCACATAAAGAATTTTTTAAAAATTACCATATTGTCCCTAAATCAACTAATGGGTCATATATATATATATATATATATAATTTTAGGGCAAATCATTTCAGCCTCCCCAATCTCCTCCATCTCTAGGCTCGTACACAACTCATATATTTCAGTTAATCTATAAGAATCCATCCGAAGTTCAAAACCCATATATTTCAGTTAATCTATCTGTCGGCAAGAATCAAAAGTTCAAAACCTATTACACATATCAAAACCCATATCGGCATATCATTTCAGATTGTTCAAAAAATCAAAACCCATATCTTTCAGGTTCCATCGTTCGCTGTTCCAGTTAGGGTTCGCCGTTCGCAAGCTTCAGCCGCTGTCTCTCAACTCTCGGCTTGCCCCCCCCTCTCTCTCTGCAACTGCTAGCTTGATGTTGTGGTGTGATTTTAGGCTTCTTCTGCCTAAAATCAATGAATTCATAGTTTGACAAAAACAGAAAATTCAAACAATTACCAAATCAAATCCAAAAAAATAATAATTCAAAATTCAATGAAATTTTTCCAACAACCTGCAACATCCGAGCCAATTCCTCATCGGATTTCACCAATTCGGCATCAGCAGCATCTGTCGGCAAGAATCAAAAGTTCAAAACCTATTACATGTATCAAAACCCATATCGGCGTATCATTCCAACAAAAAAATTAAGTAATGAAACCTTCACCTCCTCTCAACCCCTTTGCCCACAAAATAAATAAATAAATAAATGCCTGTTTGATTTATACAATAAAAAATAATCTCCAACTCAATCAAATATCCAGCCAAATTCGGAGTCCATCATTATTCCAAATTTTCCGTCCAATTCGAAGTCAATGACTCTTTCTCCTCCAAATCTGCCAACTACACACAACCAAGCAATTTCCTTAATTGGGCCAAAAGTCAATCATCAGCCCACTTCCCAAACCATGCATCTTACACCACAAACTGTGTCTCTAATTTTGGAAACCCACAATTTTCATCCATCATTCTTCTCCCACTTCCCCAAAGAGCATACCATAAATTCCGGCGGCGAGATGCTCCATCGATTCCGGCGGCGCGATGATTTGCAGCTATGTATAGAGACCAATATATATATAGGATGGACTAGTTTATATATGTATATGTATATATATATATATATATAGACCAGTATATATATTATGTACAGAGAGCTGTGCTTCTAAAATGGTTTTAGAGTGAAATGTCAGATGTGTATACAGAATTGTTTTGAGGGTACATGAGTGATTTTTAATTTAAAAGTAAGGGTGAAAATGTCTTTGTAATTATAGTAAAGGCAAATTTGATAATTCGTGTTAAAAATTGTTGATATTATTATTGATCGGCGTTGACCGTCACGGGCAAGGGTAAAGTGTTACTTTGGAGTTGGTGTAATTATTAAAACGTTAAGGGTAATATTTGTAATTAGACTTAACCTTGAGGAAGGTAAATGTAATTATTCCTTAGTATAATTTAGTTTTAAATTTCTGTGATTATCGAAATTATAGAGACTGTGGTGGGTAAAGTGTTGTGTGGTGGTTGTGGTTGGCATTGCTAATGGTGGAGGTGACAATGATGAGTCCTGATGAAAATAGAGGTGGAGCAACAATGTGAAGTTTTTATTAGTACTTTGTCATATGATTTATGAAAACTGTAATTTTTTTTTCGAGAATTCAGTGTTGAATTGTTCTAATGTTATATTCTAAAATACAAAACCAATAGAATAATTAAAACATGTTATGTTTCCAAAATTTTGATTTCTTCTAACTCAGATTAAAAAAGCGGGGGGGAGGGGGGTTATAACAATCAAATGTCAAAAGTCAAAATTCAGCGTAATTGTATTTTGGGTTATTAAATTTTGGGCATTCGACCATAGTGGAGCTTGGTAAGTTCAATGTGTTAAAATTAAGAATTAGTATCATTTGGTTTCATTTTTCAGTGATTTCAAAATTATAGAGATTGTGGTGGGTAAACTGTTGTGTAATGTGTTGCGGTAGGTATTGCTACTGGTGGAGGTGACAATGATGAATCCTGATGACAATGGAGGTGGAGGTGGAGCAACAATGTGAAGTTTTACTGTTAGCCTTGAACCCATGTCCGAACAGTTCTTTCTTTTCCTGAGAATGTAAGGTTATTTTTCCTTATTTTCAAATATTTTGACTATTTTTTAAATCATAATTTCACATTTAATTTAAAATAAGAATTTGAAGATGTATATTTATATTCATATTTAAATGTCAGGGATAAACTATTAGGTGGGACAGAGACCCAATTCAAATATACCCATTCAATTTTTTATTCAGATCGAATGCGGGACAGGCTCTCCCTTGTTACATTATTTCCCACATGAATTTACAATACTCTTATTGTAGCTCGGGCCACTCAAATACCTTTCGAACCAGACGTTTGGCGTGACACTAGATAAAAAAAATGAGTCAGTACTTAGCAATTGCCCCGGATCCATGTTGTCCAATAGTATTTTATATATTCTATGCATGTATATTTAAAATATCTATAAAATACCCCCACCCCTAAAATTGATAAAATGCCCCTCTGCTCCTTAAGCCCCTGGTAACCCACTATACTTTATTTTATTCTATGCATATAATTTATAAAAAATTATAAAATCCCCTTAAAAAATAATAGATTATAGTCATAAAATTATCTAATTTTATTTTTTTAATTAATTATTTATTTTCATTCTTACCTTTATTTTTTGAATTTCTTTTTGTTCTCTTCAAAAGAAAAAATTTCATTTTCTTTAAATTTTAACTTCTTGTCTTGCTGTAGTTGGTGGGAAAAATATATATTTTTTGAACCCCCAAACTTTTGACTCCGCGGCCCTTATTGGACTTCAATTTGGGAAAGTATTATATACATATATATATTATACCCATGGCCTCAGACAAATATTTCAAAGTAGGACTGTGAAGAAACTGAATGAATTTAATAAAAGTAAAATGATTTGAAATTCTTTATTGAGGATAGGAATATATGGACCATTTGAATTAATAGAATTTGTCAAAAATAATAAAGGATGATTTTTTTTTTAGACGATTTCATATCTTTTATACAAATTGAATCAATAGAGTTTGTTAAAAATAAGAAATAATTTGTTTTAAAGATAATTTATTATCTTTTATACTTGGTAATTAAAATGCACTGTACAAAATTAAAAATAATATTTACCAAATTAAAAAAAAAAAAAAAAGGATCGAAAATTCTATATGCATCATATCAACAAACAATATATACGGGTTACAATGATACTAATGCGACTTAATTTTGATACTTGATGAATAATTAAATGTAAATTTTCTTATTGAAAAAATAGTTTTGTAAAAGTGAATTAATAAATTTCAAAGTTCTATGATCGGAGGACTTTTATTAAATTATTTACTTAGGGCATATGCATGTTTGATATGCGTTTTATTATAAAATGTTTTGAATAGTAATTAAAAACACGTTTAGAAATGTTTATTTATTGTAAAATTTTTAAAAGCAAAAAATATAAATATACGTTTAGTAAAAAAAATGTAGTAAGTTTAAAAAATATAATGATTAATTTAAAAATGTCATTTAAATTTTTTTTTTTAAATAATAATAATATTCATCACTAACCGTACCAAAACTTATAGTACAAAAACATATAAAAATATCAAATTAGTGTTTTAATTTTTAGTAAGTATTTACCAAATGTTTGGATACTTACGCTTTGTTCGGAAACAATTATTTTAGGATTTAGAAAAGTAATCTGAATTAGAATAGGAATTGGAATTAAAATGGAATTTTATTTACATGTTTGAAACAAATTTAGAATGGGATTTTGAATAAAAATAATATAATAGCATTTTTGCCCTTATTTAAATAAAATTAAAATACACAAAAGACTTGAATATGTAGTTTATTACTGATCTGGATATGGTCAACACTCAGAGAAAAAAATATATGCTCAACACTTAGAGGGAAAAATATATATCTATAGATTAAAAACAACGGTATTATTATATAGAGAACGAAGTAGTATGGATTTAGTTAAAAAAGAGAATAGGAAGAATTTAGTTAAATAAGATAATAGGAAAGAAAACGTTAGAAATTGAGGTATGGTAGTAGATATTTAAGATAGAGTTTAATAACGAGAAGAAGTTGAAAGGCTAATTAAGGAAATATTTAATTAAAGAATATATATCCCGTCAAATCCTGACTTTTTAGACTAAATTTGAAACGCAATTAAAACATATTTGAAATCCTATAATTATCAAATATTTTTTGTAATTCCGTGATTCCAAACAAGACAAATCCTATTTTCAAATTCAAATCCCATCAAATTCAGCATTCCAAACAAAGTCTTAGTAAAACAAACCAATTTTTACGAAAGGTATATTTTTCACTATTCATTGAACCCGCATGCTTATAAATCACGCCTATCTAATAATTTATCCGGCCACGGCTCTAACAATATAGTCTCAATGATGTGTGCAAGCCGCACGCTCTGTCATTACACGTGTAAGCTAAGTATATCAGTTTGACTAAAGTGGGAAAAAAACAAAAAGTCAAGAGACGAAGGTGAGTTCAACACGTGTAAAGCACAAGCACATGCAAGGTGACACAAGACACTTACAAGCCTTTATTATCTCACTAGCTAGAAGTAGCGTAAGTGTTGTAAGATACTAGTATCCGAGTGGTAAAAAAAGAAACAAAAACAAAAATGGCTGAGAACTCCACCACAGCCACCGCCCTGCTCCGATCAACGGAGGAAGGAATGGAGAAAGCAGATACAAGTGATGAGAGACCTAAAGAACCATGGAAAGGTGAGTTCGTGAAGAGCATTGTGTATGCCGGCCTCGACGCCATTGTCACTAGTTTTTCTCTTATTTCCTCCATCTCCGCCAGTCATCTCTCTTCAGGTACTCAACTTAATTATTCTTAATTATGTCTAATTTTTGGCCAGATCTTTATAACTACCTTAAACATATTATTTTCGTTGTTCGATTTCATTTTGATTAATGATAGCTAGCAATAAAAATTAAAACTAAATACTCTTCTTAGTGCATTATCTAGTATAGACTATAGATATGTATCTCCCAACAAATTCAATTTAGAAACAATGTTTTTTTAATTATTTTTTTAAATTTTTGGTTGTGATGTGATTTTATTGTGTATCAGATACATATTTGCTAAACTAAATTTGTTGCACTATCTTTCAAAAAAAAAAAATATATGTTTGAATAATTGTAAATTAAAAATATGCTATTTATATTACATTGCTGTTTTATATATATAATAATAATAAAAAAGAATCCACAATTATCCAGCTACAGTAGCAAAAAAGTGCAAAATGTAACAAATATTACCAATCATGACAAAACAAACATGCCTTTGTTTCTGTCAGCAAGAACACGAACAAACATGCCCTTAGTATTAATGCATACTTAAAAAGTACGAGTAAAATAAATAATAATTTTTTTTTCCTATACTCTCATACCCCTCGAGGAATTGTTTGCAATGATGAGGCGAACTTTAAACAAGATCTTTCCGGAAACACTAGGCCAAGTGACTTACTCACTTGAGCCAATCCCTGGGTTAAACATATACTAATACGTGGTTGGGTCAGTGTATGCTGAAACCCAATTACTGTTCTATTGTACAAACGCAAAATGCTTTCTCCGGCTACTTGTGTGGTATATATACTTTTACTAATATCTTAAACTGAGCTACCACATATGCACACTTTGACCACCTAAAAATTGAATGGACTGGCTTTCGATTGCAGTTGATGTGTTGGTCCTTGGGTTTGCGAATCTGGTTGCTGATGGTATATCAATGGGGTTTGGAGATTTTGTGTCAACCAGCACCGAGAAGGACGTGGCAGCCAAGGAGAGGATGGTGACCCTGTGGGAAGTCACCAACCACTCTGAGCCCCAGCAACTGGAGTTAATCCGGCGGTATCAAGCTCTTGGAATGGATGTCCACGATTCGACCACGGTATGATCCTCCAATTTCCCCAAGGATTCCAAGTGTTGTGTCATATAAGATTATATTCTACACACTGAAAATATATTACTTACTTGTTGCAAGGTGGTGAACATATTGGCCAAGTATAAGGACATATTGGTGGATGAGAAAATGGCGACTCTGAAAGGAATGCCACCGCTGGACCAGGAAGATAAGCCGTGGAAGAATGGCCTGGTCACCTTTGCGGCTTTTCTTGTGTTTGGAAGTGCACCTCTTCTCTCTTTCATCATTCTCAAACCATTCACCCACAATGACACGCACAAGTTCATCGGCGCGTGCATACTATCTGCATTGGCCCTTGCACTACTCGGGATAGCGAAGGCCAAGATTGCTCGTCAGAACTATGTGTTATCCGCTGTGGTCACCCTCACCAATGGTGCTGTTGCTGCCTCCGCCGCCTATATCATTGGGTGGACACTGAGGAATGTAGCTGGCTTGCGAGACTGATGTGAACTTGGTAATGTACCTCCCAAACTAATCTATAAGTATCTTTTGTTAAAAGACTCGGAAATGTCTCAATGTGTTTTGGAGGATGCACATGCTTTTTGCAAATGTATCTTATATATATGTAATCTAAGTTGACAAACTTGAGGCGAAGTTACATTTAGATAGTTCCAACTTCCAAGAGCTCGTGATCAGTAGATTTCCAAATGTGGTTCGAAACCTGGTATAATAGTTTGACAAAATTATACACACCTACACAAATTAATATTAGAAACATGTCATCATCTAAAAACAATTACACAATTATTAAAGACCATAGCTTAGTGATATTTTTCCACCTTTCACAGTGGAAAGTCGAGAACAAAATTAATATTAAAAACATGTCAGGTAAGAAAACAAACATAACGTTTATTGAAGGCAAGTGTTTAAATTTTCAATAGTTTAAATTTTCAATACTCCGGTACCTACGCAGTAGTACCCTCAAATGAAAACTCCCTATTTCTTTTGACAATTTATCATTAGGGATACCATATATTAACTATTTTGGGGTTAAGTCACACAATCCTTCTCAGCGGATGTTGCTTTCACGTTCTGCGCGAGCTCTGGTTCAAATTTTCACTATTTATAACTTCATTTTGCCGCTCTTATGCTCCCACTCCCGTTCCGTTTTATGTGACTTAGCTTTGGGGATCAATACTTTTTGGTAGCCTAGTGGTACTCAAAGGGGATCAATACTTTCTCATAGCCTAGTGTTTGTGGTACTTCCAATCTGATATTCAACAATGTTGCTATGGACATCCTACTTCTAGACTTCAAATTTAAACTATTGAGATTGTAATAATATATAGAAAAAAGTTTATATACTATATATAAACACAAATTGATTAAGATCTCATAAAGTGAGGGTGTGATTTGTATCAAGGCCAAATTGTTCCGGAATCACACAGAAGAATAAAATAGAGAAATCACTATGAAAAAAGGGAACTGAATGTTAACTGTCTTTCTACTCGAATCCTTGAAAATTTCGACTTCTACAAATATATGGCAAATATATATATATCAACAACAAACCGACCAAAAAGATAAAATAAAATCCTAGTCTGCATAACTTATGCATGAAATAAAACAAGCCTACCATAGATGATCAGTTGCCCTCACTCAAGGCTAATTGCAAGGCATTCTCTGCTTCCTTCAGGAAAAGATGGGTGAGTCGCTTTTGCCCTTGTCGATATACTATGCTACACCACCTCTTTCTACTCAACAACTCGTGCTGAACTGAACCATTTGTCTCTCTGTTGGGCAGTCCAAAACAGAACAAGACAATCCCTAATTAATAAAATTCCAACATGTGCACGAACATTTTATAGTTGAAAATGAGATGAACAATGCTCAATGATACCTTCCAGGAAAATAAAAACATTGCTTAGTGATGGAAAAGATGGTAAACTAACAAAAATTTCAGTTAGTCCAAGCAAAGAATCAAGACAAGTATGCGAGTTGGTTTTCTCTTTTCTATTTTTTCTTTCTTTCTTTCAAAATTTTTTCTTTTTGTTAAACTTTGAAGTACATAAGCTAACAAGAGGGTAAAATATGAACAGAGTTTGTAATTAGTTTGTAGCAAAGTAACTAGCAAAAGTTCAATGGCATAAAGAATGCAACACATTTTATTTTACATACTGTTTGAAATGAGTCATATTGTATAACATTATTTTGTCATGTTATATTATTGCATTTGCAATGAGCCTGCACTTATAAGATAATATGTTGGATCTCACAAGTGTCCAAAACACACACTGAGAGGCACACCATAGTTTAACTTAGTTAATGTTTTATAAGCTTATATTTTTGGTACCTCTTGCAGTCTTTTGGAATTTTGGCACAGCAGGCCTTCTCAAGTAGTTCAATGTCACAGTCCTCTGCCCCAGACCCCTCTTCGAGATCCATCATCCTAGTACACATAAAATTAAGTTAGGCAGCAGATATAAAATGTTACAAAGTCAATTTTATGTGAGATAATAAGAGTTCTAACTAACTCTTTTATTGTGTTCAAGCTTTAGGGCTATTTATACTGAGAATTATATTCAAGTTAAGCACACTAATCCCATCAAAAGAGAAATGAACAAAAAGTTGAGGAGTTCTAAGAAGACGATATTAAAACAGAGGAGAACAAATTTTTTTTTTTTTTTTTTTTTTTGTAAATCCTCAATTAACGAGTTTAAAATTTCCAGAGGCTACTCTTAAATGAAAGCAAACGATTTACCTACATGGATCTCAAAAACCAAACTGTTACGTTACAGCAAAATAAATAACTAAAGTACGTCCTTCGTACAAGCAGTCTACCCCAAAAGGAGAGGGATTATATCTAACTTATCCCCACACACAACAACAACAACCAAAAAAAAAAAAGGGACAGACGGACTGATATTGCTAGTCTAGGCTTCATAGACAAGTCTTAAGAGAACCCAACTTTACTCAATACAGCATACAAAGGAAAATTGATTGAAACAAAAGCGGACATGTTTGGAACTAACATAAGTAGAATCCTCAACAATTAGAATTAGCAAGGGGTAACAGATCAGGACACGAGATTATGGTTCTTTAATGCGAAAACGATCTGGGTATAACATTCAAGATTCCAAATTTTAACAACAAAAAATGGAAATGTGTACATGCCAGAATTGTTTCAGCCTATACTTAATCATGCCATATAAAATGTTCAGGTTACTCATTTCGCACCCCAAGGGTATTTTATGGACACTGTTTAAACTAAAACATGATGTATTTCCCAAACAAATTATGCCAACTTTCCAAACTGACCATACTAGTTTCAGTTTCAGAACCAAAGTTTTAAACTTGATAGAAGTACCCAAATAAAATTTTACTGGGAATGAATTACAAAAAAAAAAAAAAAAAAGGGAGAAAAAAAAGAAAATTCTTCTGAACCAAGTTCAAGTAAAACTCACCCAAAAAAAAGTTCAAGTAAATGATAGTCATACAGATACTCCAACTAGAAACTTTTCTTTTATTAAGATGATATAAGAAACAATGGCATCCTAGAGGCATGCAAATTTGAAATAAAGATTTAAATTTTACATCAGCACTGTTAACTTGGTATTGAGAATCCAGTAAGCTAGATTCCAGAGGTTACTTGGTATTAAGAAGATCAACGAGCAGTTGCAAAGCTCCGGAATCCCCACAAGCCTCCCATATTGCAGCTCGAACTTCTGCATCTGATGGTTGCCTATCCCCTCCAGCACCAACAAGCTTGGAGAAAAATATATATATATTCAATTAGAGGTCAAGGAACCGAAAAAGGTAAACAATTTAAAGTTCAAACCAGACTAACTATTGGTGTTTTACTTTGATGTGAAACCAAGGACCTTTTTAACAAAATACAAAACATATCCTGCTGGAATGGATCAAACAACTAACAGAATAAGAATGGGTAACTTGAAACCTTGATCCCTTAATAAATACGAAACCTATCATTTCATTAAGAACTTTCCAGGTATTTTTTTCCTTTAATAAATATGGAAGGTTAAGCCCTGACAACTTTATAATTATTTGTAATAATAGATTTCAGGATAAGTCTGATTGTAAATAAATATCATCTTGAACAAGTCTCAATGCTGAGATAAATAAAGAATACTTGGGGAAAAAAAATGGTCAAGTTTAGCTCATTTAGCTAACATTTTCCTGAGTATCGCTGATATATATGCCATCATATTTAATGTAAACCACTGTACATGCTTAATTTTCAAATAGTAATCTCCCCCGATCAGAACCAAGTAACGGTAATAACGACAACTCTTAAGCATCCAGTAATGCAAGTCCCTTTACATGCAATTTTTGCCCACATGTATTTGGGCTCTTTAACTCAACTTATATTACAAATCATCTCTGATTTTTACCACTTCATCAGCAACTTATTTATATTAAGAATCGTCTTTTTGATCTTTAATAAGAAGAACCCATTCACTACTTTGATACTAACACAAATAACTTAAAAGTTATTGAAAAACATAAATGAACATTCACCAAGCTGAAAGTAATTTAAACGGCCAATTATTCAGAGGGGAAAAAGGTGTAATCAAGAGAAGCCAAACCTCCTCAAGTAATGATGAAACCTGATATAACTCGTCTTCTTGCATGGCTATGGTCCTCAAGGCAGTTAAGAAATCCTCGGGAAAAACAAGTTTATTTAAGTAAGAGGGCATCTTGCGTTGACCACTCCAACTATAGTTGCAAACCTGACTGATTCCATACTTATCCTTGTTTTCTTTCTGTGGAGTGGATGCTGGGAAAAAACCCTGATCTAGCAAACTTCTAGGTAAAAGACACCTCATCTCAGCTTTCTGTAACACTGATCAGTCTTGTCAATAAATTAAATACACATAAATTTGTAACGAAAAATTGTAAATCAAAAATGCACAAGTACACGTGATAATGTACAAACTTACATATAAATAATTTACGCACAAAAACAATATTGTGAGCAACTAAACTTGCATCAATCTACCTAAGAAGTAGACAAATAAGCTGGAAATAGTATTTATTAATCAAAACAATGTATAATTCATGACACAATGACAAAATACAATTGCTGACCTGTGCTTCAATAAGCTGTACTTTGGACTCCGAAAAGGGAACTCTCTGAATAGCATCTACCGGATAATGAACCTGTAAAGTTAATGGATTTAATTTGCACATATCCAAGTGCCTGGGTTTTATAACACACTATTATAAGTTGACTCATGAGCTAAATAGTATATTCTTAATCTAAATAATTAGGCAGAATTACAGAACATGATTCGCAAATAACCAATAAATGGTTTTATCAAGTTACTCGAAATAATATCATTATTAGAAGTTAAAATCAGGTCACAAGAGAGTATAGATGAGAAGTGGACATGCTAAATGTTTCAAATAAATAAATTACCATGAGATAATCATCTGGGTTATTATCAATGACAAATCCATATAGGTACAGCAATTCCTGCATCAAATACAAAATGATTGTAATATTCTATAAGAAAATTGGAGATTCCATTTGCTCATGCATTCTCATTTAAAACAATATGAGCTCTATCTATCTATCTATCTATCTATCTATATATATATATATATATATATATATATATATATAATCATTCCACGAGAGAGCCTAATGGTAATGCATCAGTTCAGTTCATTTGACGAGCCTTCTTACTGCAATAGTAGGGAGCGAAGTGGTTTAAGTTAGTGGCGCAACAAGCACAATAGAAAATCCAATCGAAATGGTTGGGGTAGGGAGAGAATACATGATGACAAAGGATTCAAATAAGGTTTAGTTGAGTCTTCTAAAATATAGTAAAGAAAATTACAAGAATATGTGAGGGCTAAACCAAAATAAGACATGTATCAGTTATTTCTGGAACAGAGAAATTTTTTTATGCTCAATTCATTGAAAGGGGGGATTAATGCAAGAGGTGTTTTTGCATGTTACCCAAATACATTCGCTTCACACAGATTATTAATTATGGCATTTATGCACAAAAACCAAGTATATACATTGATAAATTTGAACACATGAAATAATTAGATAATTCAGTAAGAGTATACTTAAAGACTGGTAGCCCCAGCCTCCAGATACCACACATACAGGGTACTGAGTGCATATAGTATGGTTCTTGATATAATGCAGCAAGAAAAATTACCTCATTTCCTTTATTACCGTAACTAATGGATATCTCTTTCTCGGTTTTGAAGGGACTTTGTTCAGCTTTCCAATTGCAAAACAAAGAACATCATGACTCGTCAGATATCCCATTAATTTAACCAAATGAGAAAGGAAAACAAACATTCTAAACCCTCGTTGGAAAATAATATGATTACATAAATTTCAGGTTATAAGAAATCAAGAAACTGGGAGAAATACTACCAGATAGAAGGTACATAGAGGAAGGAAGTCCAGTTACTGATCCTGTTCCATCAACTTCCCAAGTTGCAGCTGCCTTCAAACCTGCATGGCAACATTAACAGCAAGAGAGACATAATATATATGTAACAAGAATCTAAGCAAGACAAACACTAAGATTTTTTTTTTCATAATTCACAAAGAACAACTTATGTCCTTACAAAATAATAATTCAATCTGGTATTTAACTTATGCTAATTATAACTACATACAACTGTTTAATATAAAGAACTCATGATACACCAAAAAAAAAAAAAAAAAGACAGATCTCGAATTATCACTATAGAGAATCATGATGCAATCTGAAAATGATAACACTTTATTAAGCCCACGGAATTGTAGATGCACATACACAACCTTCACTGTGGGCATTAGGAAACTAAAAAATATTTAGCATATAATTATCTTTGTTTTAGTCTGTGTCAGTGATGGTATAGGCAGAGTGACATAAAGAGTTAAATAATGAAGAATGAAACAATAATATGATGGATTCAACCAAAAACCCATCACTTTTTATTCTACACATTTCCCCTTAGCGGATGATTTAAGCGTTGAGGCTTTAAATGCTGAATTGCACTAAAAATTTAAAATAGATTTTCACTGAAAATATTTAATGATAAGTGAAACTTATTTAGTTGACACTCAAATTGCGTTATTAAACACACTTAATTATAAAAACATTTAACATGTTCAGTTTTATATATTAAATTGGTTTATCAAACAACGCCAGTCCAAACTAATATCAGACATAGTTGCCACATCAATGAATGCTTGATAGACCAATTGTCAAAACTTTGAGTGTCCTACATTTCCTTGAACAAAAGAAAATATAAAAGAAAAAAATGAAAGAACAAAAAAGGAAAATGATTTTTATTTTTTATTTTTTTGTTTTAAAAGAAAAAACTTTCAGAAAGAGAGTCAAACAATACTTTTGGTGAAACAATAGAAACTCTAATCATAGAACAAGTGGATTACCATGGTTGCAAAAGTCAATGCCGGGGACAAGACCCTCAACCCAAATAGTCTCTCCTTGTAGTGAAGTGGATGCGACTCCAGTAATTTGACTTTCAACCCCAATATTCTCTGGTCCTAAAAAAGGCTGTGATCTCAGTTTAACAAAAAAAAAAAGTGTGTATTAACCGGAATCATAGCCCTCTGCAGATTGCATTTGAGTAAGAATTATTTCATGGAGATCTAGTGAGGGGGGAAAATAACCTCACTTTTTCCATTGTTCCCGTTAACCAACTCTTCACTCGAAATATGATTGGTAGATTCCCCAGAATATCTGCTCAAGCTCAAAGAGGTGCTATCTTGCTCTTTTTGAATTTGTGGAAATACATAAGAACGTGGAAAAGGAATATTCAGAGCACGAGTCCAAAATATGGAATTTGCCCTATAATGGTGTCAAATTGTGCAATATTATTAGCTTGTTATTTTAAAAGTAGTTTCATAGTTATAGTCAAGAATGTAATTAAGACATAAGACACACAGACCAAACACCAGTTCCTTGAGAAAGATGCTTACCAAAGGAAGTCTTCAAAACACACTTCACTGGAAAAAAATAGCAACAAAAAGTGTTTCAGTGAAGATTTGAGCAATAATAACAGGAATTAGCATTCAAATAAAAATGGTGATAGCAACTCATGTTCTATTTAACATGTAATTGTGGGTGGCATCCTGCCAAGTATATAGCACATTTATACAAGTTAATGAACCATGAAAGAAAAGAAAAACAAAAGGCAAAGAAGACATAATGTTATAAAATTGGTATTTTTCTAGTATTTTATCATGTCATACTATGTCAAAATTCTAGTGCTTCCATCAATGCTAAGAATTTCCAAACAGCATCACTTGCAAAGAAAGACAATGCCGCCTTCACTTTCTAAATTTACAGAGATTATAACTGCCAATTTTTTTTTTTTTTTTGCAGATACACACATCATAAGTATATTTTAATGTCTATAATTCATATATAACAGAAACAGAACCTACAGAACATGAGGGAAATCTCTCAAGTGTGACACTGATGAGAACGTTAACTAGAAATTCAAAATTTTATCAGTATCTAGTCTCTACAACTAATTAAGTAGCATGGACAAACGCATGGGAATAGTGCAAGGACACAACATGAGAGGTATATATTTTGTATGTATTTATTGATGCCGAACAAGGGCAAAGGAACACCCTCCTCAGCTCTGATACAAATTTAATGTAATCTGGGAATGAAAAGGATTTTAGCACTGATTAAAATCAATTATTTGTACAATGTTTGCAGAGATTTATTCATCATGAGTATGATTTATGGCATAAGCGCAATTTATATTATTTTCTGCAATACAGTTTATAAAATCTCTTACTCACGCGCAAGTTTCAATTTTTTGAGGTTGTATTTACTGATGTTGAATTTCTTTTAACTAGAGAAAATAAATGAGAAAAATTACCGATGATTACCAATACTTTCCGCACAAATGGGCACTCTTCCAATATTGAAAACAAAAACATGAGCACCAACATTTAGGAAAAAAACATGAGCACCAACAACCATTTATCCAGACTTTAATGTACATCATGCTATAGGAAGACAAATATATAAGAGGGAATGAACATGATAACTCAAATGTGCTCAAGCAAGCCCAAATAAAAACCATATATGAATTGTAATTAAATAAATATTATCCAATCAATAACTTCACACACACCTTTCCGAATCCCCATCAAGAAGCAAAAGCTTTTTCACCAAATTCTTCACTTTATCATCATATATAGACTGCAAACTTTTTTTCTGTAAAATAAACCTGGCTTTAGTCAGGTATGCTGTTCAGTAATTTAAACAAGCACAACTGATCCCAGAAGTAATATAAATATACACAATTGAAGATTAATATATTTGGAATTTGGAATTACAACACAATTTTGAATAAGCTAAGGATACACTCCATAATGAGATATCAAGCAGAGACTTCATTCTAGCTTATGATAGCATATCATTTCATATGTTCAAACAACTCAAACCAAACTAAGCCAAAAATGTGAACAGTATACCTGCAACTCAGTAGCCCGATACAATGAAGTCCCTTTTAGCTCCAAAAGCTCATCATCAGTGAACCAAAGAGGATTTCCGAATGTGGTTGGAAGCATATCAAGATACCTGGTAAAATATTCTCTCAAAATATTAACAAGACCAACCAAAAAGACCTATTAGAAACATGTCATCCAAAATAAACCCAGTACATGTGATGCTATACATACGGCTTCCAAGAAGAATTCTTCCTTAGACGTTCCACGGTAAGAAACAAAATCATCAAGAACCGGTCATCTACTTCCCCTTCCTCAAACAATGCTCCACATTCAGGTCCCAGTATAGGATCTTGGAGTACCCTCATTGGAGTTATAGCTAAATCTAGTGGAACCACTAACAGAATCCCTGATTTTTTTCCAAAATTAGTAAGACAAATAATTAATTCAATAACTCTGTTCTGTCTTCTGTATTCTAATAAAATTGGGTAAAGGAAACTAAAATGAATTTTATGTTCCAAGATTTTTTGTTTTATTTTTCTCTCTTCATCTGATTATGAAATGAATGAAGATATAATTCCTTGATTCAATAAATTAATTTATTTGCTTACCCCACAATTTTCAAACCAGTTAAACAGGCCATAAAACAATTCAAAATCAATCAAATTAACGAAAAGCGAAATGAGCAGAAACGGATTGAAGATGGCATTTTATTACCATCAGAGACGTCATCAGATGAGAAGATACCAAACCCTTTATTCGAATCACAGTACTTGATTTTGCAACCACGTAGTTCGACTCCATTCAACTGAGTTCAAATTTTGGTTCGAATTCAAGCAGAAGAAATATTAGAAAAATAAAATTGAATAAAATGAGAGGTTTTAGAAATAGGGTTTTACAAAAAATACACCTGTAACCATTGGAGAAATCGTTCCAGCTTCGCTTCTTCGGGGCTCGCCATTCCTGGGACAGTTGGATTGATCTAATGGATCGATGTTCTACGGATCAGATATATATGTCTATACTTAGAATTTCTTTAATCTTTCATAAAATTACATTAAACGCCTCTGTCATCTTGCTTAATTACAACCGAATGTACCTCGTGTTTGAATCTAAGTCACACAACAGGAGTCACTCTCACACTCCACCTGAGTTCTCACTCAAATTCTCACTAATTTTGTTGCTTTCTTGCTCCCGCTCCCACGTTCCCATTTTAGACAAGTTATTTTACACCCACATCTAATGGACCAGAAAAATAGAATATTTTTCAAAATAAATATTTTACAGAGCTAGACTAATTTTAATTTTTAAGGAAAAAATGCATGGCCACAGTGGGTTGTGATTTGTGAATACTCTTAATTAAACCAAATAATTTTAAACCAATTTTTAGAATTCGAAATCATATTATTAAGAGAGTTCGTAATAAGTTATCCTTATTAATCATCGAGTGATTTATTAATTGAATATACATGCTTAATATGCTTTCAATTCTATATATTTCTTTAAAATTGTTACTAACAAATCTCACAAAAATATTATCAATTTATATTTAAGTCTTTAAATGTTTATTTATTTTTCTTATTATATTTTTTTGAAATTGTTACTAAAAAATCTCACAAGTTAAAAATATTATAAATCTATATTTAAGTTTTTAAATATTTTTATTTTATTTTTCTTATTATATTTCAAAGTTAGCAGTAACAGAGGCAATTGCTAATGAGAGAGGTAGGGGTTCTTTAATTTAAATGGGTTTTGACGGCAATAAAAGGCAAGATCATGAGTAAATTTATGAAGTTTTTGCCAAATTGAAATAGGCAAATGAAAACATGTATATATATATACTTGGGATAGATTTCAAATAATTAAGTTTTGGCTTATACCACTGACAGCATCATTGTAATATTATAAATTTGAGATGTCAAATTGAACTGTGTCTTTTGTCTTTACCTTATTTATGCAACGGCAACAACTTCACATTACATTTTAATTTTTTAATATATAATATCCCTCCACGCACTTGAAAAGCGTTATATGTTTTACACTGAGGATGCAATTTATAATACCATAAAATATTGTTGCAAAACTGAAATTATATATATATATATATATATATATATATAAATGAATTGTTCAAGTTGATTGAATTGAATAATATATTTTTAATTCACATTAACAACTCAAAAGAATTTCAAAACAAGAAACTATTGTGTTGGGTGGCCCCATTCCCACCTTCCTCCTACTCCTCTGCCCTCTCAAGTTATTCATTACCTTAGCCATCTGCCTAGTAACATAATTTGTTAAATAAGTGCATAAACATAACATAATTTGTTAAATAAGTGCATAAACATAACATTTTCAATTTTAAGTATTCAACTTTTTATTTTTGAAAAAAATTAACTTTATACACATATGATGAAAAATTAAGCATTAAATAATATTTTTTTATTTAAAATAAAAACACTATGCCAAAGTAGTAGAATCACTATTATATGATATAAAAGTCATTATAAAAAAAATTAGTATAATTACCTAATAACAATGCATGCATCATTTAAATAAAATAAAAAAATTAATCCACCTACTTATAAAATTGCTGATAAGAAATTAACCCACCCAAACACAGTTATCCGCAATTTTATAAATATGTCACTTTTTTTTTTTAAATGCTCCCCTTAAAAGGAACACATGGATGTGCTTTAAACTTTCATTTTTTTATTATAAAATAATAAAATAATAATAATAATCAAACTACTCCAAGCTCATAGTTGATAAATCTTAATTTCAGAAATTGAAAAAAAAAAAAAAAAAAAAAAAAAAAAAAAAAAAAAAAACCACCCACACCACCAATCATAAACTCTTTCAATTAGAAGTAATTAATAAACTGTAACTTCATAAAGCTCCGAGAAAGAAAGAAAAGGTAAAGAAGCGAAATTACAGTGCCCAAAACATAAACTCTAATTTTAATATTCAACATCTCCATGCCCAGTGCACAATTCACACCATATATGTAAGCTCTTTCCGTAGTTGAAAAACCCTAAGGAAGCAAAATTAGAGTCCCAAACACTTTGATGACATTACAACTGTGCACCAGCAGCATCAGCCACAAATATATATAAACCCCATATATATATATATATATATATATATATAAACCCTAACTTCATAAACCCAAAATATATATATAAACTCAATCAATTTAAAAAAATAACTTTATATATTTATTTATTTATTTGTAAACGCCTAGCACTTATTAAAAAGTTAAAAATAATTAAAATATAATTAATGGGTTCATGGGTCATAATGAGTTGACCCTGCCCATTCTCAACTCTGAACTGGTTGAATACGGCTCTTAACCCATATTGATCCGTTCATTTTTAACCAATCCAAATCCGACCCAATCCGCCCATTTGCCACCCATACTAATTACTACTGCTTCTTAGTTTATTGGCCTTGGTGTTTTCTTATTGTTGTTGATATATATTACTATTCACATATATTTTGTGCACTGTATCTGATGACCCAATTCTGAATGTTCTCTGACATCACAGAAATGAACTCTCTGTTTTGATGGAGAAATTTATCCAAATGTGGATCTTAATGTTCCTCTTGAAGATGGATTGTTTCCTCCGCATCATGCGGCTCAATCTTTATTAGACGGCAGAACTATATTCTTACTCAATAGTGGAGCATGTCCAAAGCAATTGTGTTGGCGCCAAGTTTCATGGCTTGCTTCCCCTCAATGTAGCTCTTCGATCAGTAAGGTACAAATCACATATAAAATTCCGCTCAATGTTGCTATATATATATATATATATAAACAAAGATATGAACTATATTTATTTATTTTATTGGTTTGATTGAGGTTTTGTGTTTTTGGTTTTCACTGCTCATGAAATCGATGACATATGTATAATAAGTGATGCGTAATAAAAACCTTTGCTGCATGTTGAAGTTTGCTTTCCATTTCGGTCTCTTTTCTTGCCTTTCATCATGCTGCTATATGGAAGTGTAGTGAAGACTCCTGTGAATTAATATCATTTACCATTGTTGCACTATTTCCAGGACCTCCTAATGTTCACTAAATCTTGGTTGTTGTTGATCAGTTTTATTCTCTGCCTCATATATGAGATTATGAGAAGAATGTCATAAATAGTGATTTTGAAGTATGCCTGCTATTTCTCATAACATTTTTAGAGTTGTCATGTGAATAGTTTCCAGGATGCACCATGTTTTTGTGAAGTTCTTGTCCTAAAAAGTGAGAGAAAAAATAAAAATAAAAATAAAAATAAAAATCCCTAAATCATGATTTCGAGCCTTAAAGTCAAACAATTCTAACTGATTTATGCGAGGGAGTCCTAAATTATGATAATATCAGTCTCTACTCACATAAAATTAATTAAATTTGTTCAACAATTAGACTCTCTATCTCTACACTTATCAAGTTGATTCAAAATGGAGGTCACTAAAAAAAAATAGTAAATGGTGATCACATAAAATTAGTAAATTATTGTCCAACCGTGGAACTACATATAATTACTCTTGTCATTAGTCAAAAAAGGAAGGGGACTCCGACAAATTTAGGCTGAGTTTCCCTACATGGAAGTGGCAAAAATTTTAATTCAATTTTGTGAAATATTTTTTTCTAATTTTATCAAAAACATGGAACACAGTCTAATTTTTTATAGTTAGTTGCACCATTTGTGATCCTGAACTATTCATTAATTTCTTTGCCACTCGCGTAACTCCAACGGTCTCGCCCAACTTGGCAACTTCCACATTAGAAAGTTAGAAACAACCAAAAGAAGTCACTAGTCAAAGAAAAGTCATACATTTTACTTGCGTAGAAGAAGCGAAAGTTGTATTGTGTTGTGTCAAACAAGGAATTAGTCTTCACGTACATACACCTCTCCAAACTTCTATATAATCAAAAATCCAAACAACTCCCTTTTTCATTTCTCTTTCTCAGAATCCAAACAACTCTCTCTGTTTCTCTTTGTCATGGCTCCTGCATCAAAGAAGGCCATAACAAGGTCAATAGCCATAGCTTCACGGTCGTGTGCCATTTTTGTTGTTGGGCTTATTTTCTTGAGCTCTTTCAGAGACTATTCACTGGTCATGGATGATGAGGCTGCAGTGAGAGGTGGACACCATCTGATAAGCCGACGACCACCGTGCGACGAAATCTACGTAGTCGGAGAAGGAGAGACCCTCCACACCATCAGTGACAAGTGTGGTGACCCTTTTATTGTGGAGCAGAACCCTCATATTAATGACCCTGATGATGTTTACCCTGGACTTGTTATCAAGATCACTCCATTTTCAAACTCTCGCGGCTAGTCTCGCCTACCTTAGAACAACTTTGTGTTGCTTTCGTTACTATATAGTTCTTATCAGTATTCTTTCTTTAATAGCTTAATGTAAACAGAGCATTTTTGCTTTTGAAGATTTTTTTTTTTTTTTTTTTTTTCCTTGGGATCTATGAAAGATTCTGAGTGTGTGTATCTTGGTGAATCACATCAATATATACTCTATGCGCGTATGATTCCATTTCCATTTCCATTTCCATCAATGTTTGTGTTTATGTAAGAAGGGGAGACAAATATATACTCTGAATCTGAAAAGACAAGGATTTTTAATTTCCTTATTTATTTACGTGTGTTTGCTTCTTAATTAATTTATTTATTGAATTATTATTATTATTATTATTATTTTTTTGGCTGAGATAAGAACTTGGGAAATTATAATATAGTACCAAAGAGAAATAAAACCAATTTTATACTATAAATTGTTTTTTTACTTCAATTGTTCTTGAGTCTTGACTGAAATTTAAATTTTGATTCTTAAAAAACAATTATGATCAAAGTAGAGAACTATAAAATATAATTATCTGAAAATTAAGCTCTTTATATATATATATATATATATAACTGAGTTTTCTGTAAAATAATTCTCAAAAATTGTCAATTAATTTTGTACAAATTTCTAATTTTCAGTTATCAAAAAATTGAACCAAGCAATTATTATTATTATTTTATGTACTTTTTATATGTACCTATTATTAATGTAGCGTTTTGATATTGTTGCTATGTAATTGAGTTGGTTCATGACACGTCACTTATTCGGTCTAGTTTAAATCAAATAAGATATTTTTTATTTTTCCTGAAGAGTACGTGGGACAAATACACGCATTATTTAAATTAAAAGTGCGATTTAAAAGCGAAACTTCAAAAGACTTACCTCCTCCAAAATCACTTTACCCTGTAGCAATTAAAACAAGTAAAATTACGTAATGTTTTAATTGGGGAACTAATATAAAGTTTATAAACAGTTCTCGTTTACCAGTCCAAGGTGATGAAGGACATCTATATTATATACTCACCATAAAAATTCTAATTAATATTAACTATAATACAAAACTTATATTATTATATCTATTTATTTAGTCTTTGTGCGCACTGGTCCATGGTCAAGTGAACTCTAGTCCTGTACAAGATATATAAGTAACACACTACACACGTGGCATACTATTCCGTTTCAACCAATGACCATGGAAAAATCAGCAAATTTTTTTAAATTTTGGCGTTAAGATTTGACCAACCCTTTTCAATATTATGTTTTTTTTCGGAAGTTCCCTTTTCAATATTATGCTCATTGGCGTCTATTGGACAAGGATTATTATTATTAATGCCCACCATAGATTATAACTTTTCTGGTCTACCACCTGTAATTGGAAACACAAGAACACCACATTTGACAATGTGACTCGATTCATCAACAACTACTTAATGCCCTAATGTGGGAATTATACAAGCTGAAAGGGAGTGCATGATATGCACTTTGAGCCTGCTTGGTTTTTTTCACACATATCAAATATATATATATATATATATAAAACTAATTAATATCAAATAAATATAGAAAACTAGTTAAGAACAGATAGGTAGGCAGAAAGCATATAAAAAGAAATAACAATAAATCAATAAATTAATTAATATTGAAAAATGATTTATATAAGTCAGTCTCCCTATAAAGCAAATAAGTTTAAAAGGAAAAAAATAATAAATTAATAATGTAACATTTAAAAAGTGATTTATGTAAGTAATTATTTATTAATTAAATTGCACAAAAATTATATAGAAATAAAAATCTACACTTTTAATAGTAGAGTAGTGTAGATTTAAACAAAAAATAAACATATATACTATATAGTTAAACACCTAATAAATTATGAGCTTGTGTGTACAACTTTAAAGTAAAAAATTTGAAAAGAAAAAAAAAACATATATATAGAATAATTTTGCATTATAAGTTTAAGATTTTATTAATTGTATAGATATTATATATTTCATTTTTAATTATATTTACATTTATTGATTAGGGTATTACTATTTCCTTCTCTAATTAAATTTCTTATTTTAAAATGAATAAATAAGTTTTTAATATTATATATTACCTTTTCTAATTAGATTTATTTTGACTCTATTTCTTCTATTAAGGTCTTTCTTAATTATATTTATTCTCTAACCCAAACTTCTCTTTATATTCCTAAAAATAATTAGTGACGAGGTCTTTCCTAATTCTATTTTTTCTAATTATAATAGTATTTTTAATTATATTTGTCTTTTATAAATCTATTTCCTCCAAATTTATTTTATTTTTTCTTTTCAGTTTTCCAATTTTATTTTATTTTTACTTTTCAGTTCTCTAACTCAAACTTCTATTTCTATTCCTAAAAATAATTTAGTCTCCAAGGTATTTTCTAATTCTATTTTTTCTAAGTATAATAGTATTTTTAAATTATATTTCTTGTATTCCTGAAGGTCTTTTGTAAATCTATTTCCTCCAAATTTAAATTAAATCATAAATAATTATTTGTATTTTAATTGGTAACTTTAATGATTAACTTAAGTTTGTATTTAAATTGGTAACTTATTTTATTATTTTATTTATTTTTAATAATAATTTGAAATTCTTGACACCTTTGTAATTTTACTAATTGTATAAATATATATATTTAATTTTAATAGTTGACAAATCATAATTTTGGTGGTAAAATTACTAAATTAACCTTACTTTATGATTAGCAAATATATATATATATATATATATCAATATTACCCTTAAAGTCATAACATAGCAGTATAAGGATTATAAATCTGTGTCCCAATATTTAAAACAATATTTAGTTACCATTTACCAAATTCAATCATTGTTCATCCAATACATTCAATAATATATATAGAAATATATAGTTGATACTAATAAAAAATTTATAAACCTATGTCACTAACTATAGGTCAATCTCACTTATCGATAATAAAAAAATTAAAAAAATTAACTGCATTTTATCCCACTTATTAATGATTTTTGAGAAATTGTGCTTGAAAAGTTAATGGAAAAACAAACTAGGGGGAAAAAAATAAAATAAAAATAAAATATATATAAAATAAAAAAAATAAATAAAGTTAGTGGTAAACTAAAAAAGGTTGGCTCACGTGATGTTAAAACATTGTGCTTTTTTAATATAAAGAACATGATATGATAAAAAAAAAATTTGACATTAATAAAATAAAATAAATATTTAAAAAAAATGTGTTGCTTGAGTTTGTGTACGTCCAGCCGAAGAGTAACTAAATCAAAATTTTAATTTTGATAGAAATCCTAAGTTCATATGATAACAATTTGTGTCAAAGCAAATTCATTTATTTAATTATTATTATTATTATTGAGGGAGTCTCACTCATTTACAAGAAAATATAGTGCAACTATCATTTAGAGAGGAGATAATATTGGCAGAGACAGAGAAATTTTAGAGAAGAAAAAAATTAGAGAGAAAATATTAGGGATGGCAAGATATTTTAGAGAGAGAATATATATTTTTTTAGAGAGATAAACTATGTTGACATATAGAGAGTTTTCCTTGGCCGTGTCTTGAAGCATAATCAAACAAACCCTTTCAGTGTACAAATATATTCAAAATTAGTAGGGGCATTATTATCACACAAAAATGGCACTTTTGAATTTTTTTTAAAAAAATGACATCATTAACTACTCTTCTTCAACAAATCCATTCAGTATGGGGCAAATTGTTCAAAAGACGAATACAAAAAGTTTTTCTAATAGGGGTGTTTTTTTGGACATTTTTTATATAGTAAGGGAGTTTTTTTGTACTTAATCCAAAAATAAATAATAAATATTTGAGATGTTAATGAGTTAGACCCAATAGGGGATCTAATTAAATCCTAATTTAACTCTATCTTTCACGCTATTATTGCTAACCGAAGCCCTAATATGTAATTAGGGTAGTACAAGTTAATTTAGTCCTTCGAAACAGATTAGCCCTTCAAAGTAGTAGAGATATTGGATAAGAATAAACATGTACTCCTTTGGCAGTCACACCTCCACCATGGCTTATGATACCTCTGAGAAATAACTTCATGCCAGCCATAGTTTAGTAAGTACTTCAATGAATAATTTTATTCTTTCCACCGTGAAAAAAAATTAATTAATTAATTATTTCGGTTCTTGTACTATAGAAATCAATAGACTCCAAAGTAAAATAAGATCATGAACTAAAATTTGGGTGAAATAAGATTAGTAAACATATGTTGACCATCATTATTTATTGGGAGAGAGAATTAGACAAGACATGAGAGATAAGAGTTACATTAAGATTTGATTTGGTTGGATTAGGATTTAATCGGGATTAACCTCTTAAATTTTTTATTTTTTTTTATTTTATATTTTAGGACACTTGTCACTCTATTTTTTACAAAAATATATATATATATATAAAAGACAAAAATAATAAATCAATAATTTAACATATGTAAGTGAGTAATATAAAAAAATAAAAATAAAAATAAATAAAATAAAATCTAAAAACTACTAATTTAGAAATAAGGCATTATCCAATGCGTTGTAAAATATGGCATGGGTATTTCTAGAATTGACAATTGAGAAATATGTATAGAAATTTTCTAAGATATAAATATGAGAAAAATAATAATAATTTATTAAAAATACACGCACAAAAAGAAAATCCTATTCTAGAAAACTTCAAAGAGAGAACATCTTGAGATATTATTTGATGGCTTGTAAATTTTGAAATAGGTATTTTTAGAATTGACCAGCGTATTTAATACTATATAAATATAAAAATAATTAATCAATAATTGTAAGAATAGAAAATTCTAGTTTAGGAAATTTTTTTATTTTTTTTATTACTGACAAGATTAATTTAGGAAATGAAAGAGGTAATAAATACCCGGCAAATGGTGAAAATAGTAAGTTGTAGCATCTAATCTCATTTGTTACTTGAATAGCAGCTCTATGAAATAAAAATATTTCCTTTTATGTGGCCGTCCAACAGTTACTTCATCACTTAAACTAAATTATATGTTATGGAATTAATTAGAAATATTAACGAGAAGTGATTTCCCAAAATATGTTAACAGTTTGTAGTGTGAACATCTTTTAATTTTTTTATTATATTTTATAAATAGCTGATTTACCAGCATTAAAGTGAAATATTAGAAAAGTTGGAATATCTCTTTACTCTTGGAATGTATATCTAACCCTCTTTAAATTTCTGCATCTATATAATAATAATATTTAAAACTAACATACCCGGTAAAATTACAGGAATCCTATTGGATAATTTAATTATCATACTCGTTACATAAAATTTATGTGTCACATGAATGTTATTGATATCTAAGCAAAATATCATCAACATATATGACAATAATAACAAAATGTCTCCCACTAAACTTCAGGCATATGCATTTATCTAAAACATTCACTTTAAACCTATAATTTACTTTAGTCATAAATGAGCAATAACCCAAGAATGAATCTTAAAGAGTCTTTTAATGAAGAGAAAAATCTCAAAAAAAATTAACACTTAACTTTTGTTTAAGCACTTAATTATCAATTTAGCCTCATATCCATCATACACCTCAAAACTACTAATTACAACACACCTCTAAGTTGATCTCCTAAACTCAACATGCTCGGAACTAGATTGAAAAATGAAAGAAGCAGCTGTAAATGAGAAATAACTAAATGAGTGTGAATAGCTGAAAGAGTGGGATAACTGAAACTACTAAAGAAAGTGGAATAAAGCCTAGAATATATGGAATAGATACTGAAAATTGTTCCTCTGCAAAAGAGCAAATATAGTGTGGTTTTTTAATATGATTTTATGGGGTTATGTCAAGGGACAGATGCAGAAGAAATGCAATTTTGAGTCTAGTCGGTCATTTGGACGATGTTTTTATTGACATTTGTGTCCATTTCCTATGTAACTCAAGTGCGTTAATGGTATTTCATTACCTTCATTAATAGGTTCTCAAGGTATGATTGTAATTATTGGATTTGAATCAAATAGTTAACATGTAGAAATCAAGAATATGTAATTAATTAGAGAAAAATTTAATCATCGTACCTGATTGATGATTAAATCACAAAGTACCTTTTAATTTTCAGCAATCTCCTACTTCGTCCATGAAGTAGTCCCTGCACTCCAATGCTTCCCACTTTTCTTTGGAGTTGTTAAATTACAATATATTACGGAGTATTAATTTTGTTGGAAACTTCACTGTTTATTTTATCAGCCTCGCTCAGCAAATGTTGTGATAAAAAGTAAAAGATAGATTTGGTTGTACATGTGAGAATCCTTAGATGAAATGACATGTTACTTGAAGTAAACTAAATTTTCTTGTAAACTAATGATCTCAATAGCATTCCAGATGCTTCATTATTGAGCAACTGTGGAAATTAAATAAGCGATGCTTGTGTAGAGTGTTTCAGAGTATTGTTGTGGTTCAATTGATGACTTCATTTCTATTTTTATTTGATAATTGAGACATTATTATCTTCATATAACATTAAACTTATGGAGAACCATGCTGATTTCGTATTTTGGCCATTACGGTAAATTGACTGCAGCTTTTAACTTGACTAATGCTTGAACTGCTTGTTAAGCTCGTGTTGTGGCACATGATTATAGGGGGAAGTGCATAAAACACCACTGAAGTATACTTTTTATAACATTTTTACCCCCTAATTGAAAAGGTGCGTAATAAACACTCATAAGCCTTTGAAAATGTGCAAAATTAACCCTCTGTGCAATAAACACCCCTAAATTATGGTTGTAATACTCATTTTGCCCTTTTACTCTTCCCAAAATACCCCTCCTTCTCTCTCTACTCTCTGCCGCCAATTCCTCCCACCACCGTCTTCTGCACCCACCAGTCACTCTTCTTCTTCTTCATCATCACTTGTGGTCATAGAGGACGAGGTCATAGAGGAGGGTGGAGAGAAAGCACCGGTGGCGGCGACGATGACGACGAGTATCGGAGTTCGCCTGTGGGCATCAAAGCATCCAAAGAAATGCTCAATTGTAATATCTGATTTTGGGTCTGCTAAGATGGGGTTTTCTTCCACTGTTTTGCCACTGTCGTCAGCGACGAAGCAATTGATGATGGGTTCTCTGCGATACGTCGATCCCATGAACCCAATTAAAACCTTATTTCACAATATCACCTTCCTAGCCGTGCACATCCATCATTGCCATCAATATTAATCATCGCTGCCATCACGCCGCCAGCCGCCGTCTTCATCACGGCTGAGTTTAGTCCAGCCGATTTCACAGCCCCTTACTCATAACCACCGTGAGATCTCGTTAGCCGCCGGCCCATCCCCGGATCCATAGTCGCCGATGGGTTCCTCTCCATCCACCGAGCTTCTTCTTCACAGCCAGATTCACAAGGCTGGCAAAAATGGCACGCAACATATACTGTCTCTTCCCACCGGACTCGTTAGGCATAATACACGCCTGCAACTCGGCGAACTCGTCGAGTCCGGGTCGGACTCGGACCTGAATCGACTTCTCCTTGTTCTTGAACGAGTTGTGCAGAGTCTTCTGGACTCCGACCCTTCCATTCTTGAACGGCAACCGAACGCACTCGTGGCTTCCGATCTTCAGCTCCTCCACTATGTCGCCGATCTGTAACATGTCGCCGGTCCACTCGTCGGTCGTCAAGCTCCCTTTCAAGCATTCCATCGACAGAACCGTCACTCCTCGGCCCCATCCGGTCTGAAATTCGGCCGAATTGCTTCGGTCAATTGTCATTCTTCACCAACTGCAATCAACCAGATCGTCCAGAATTCTAGAGAGAGAGAGATTGAGACTAGAGAGGCAGGGGATGTTTATTGTCTTGTTTGGTCTTTTTACAAAATTTTGCATTTTTAAATATTTTATAAAATTATTGACTAAGGGTACTTTAGTCAAATTTGATTTTAAATTTGCAAGAGGGACTTGATTGCACCAAATTGAAACTTGAGGGGTGTTTTTTGCACGGGAGGGGTGTGATATGCACTATAAGCATACTTGAGGGATGTTTTTTGCACTTCACCCCATGATTATAAGAAGAATAATTTATAAGTGTGTAAAAATGTTTCAATGGAAGCTATTCATTTGTTTGGATGTAAAATATTGTTCAGAATTTTTATTATTATGTTTTCTTTGATGTTTGGTTATCATAAAATATTTACTAAGAAAAACTATATTAAAATCTAACAAAAATAACTTACTCATTAATTTTTGCTATGTTATTTTAAACGTTTCACCTGATAAACTCAACATAGACCTAGACCTCGGTCAAACTTTGAAATATAAAAAATACATATTTTATCTGAAAAAAAAATATATATATTTTACGTGTAAACAAATGGAGCCGCCAATGTAAGAATTTTTACAAAAACTTATATAACGAGATAACAAATGTTATTCGTGTGTGTACATATCTATAAAGCCTAAAAATCTCAATCAATCAAAATAGTAATTCGGTAACAAACTTGTCATATGATGAATACTAGAACTTATTTACAAATTTTGACATAAAATGTTTTTTTCTTTTGTAAAATATTTTTTAAACAAAATATTTTCATGTAAAATGTTTTTTTTTATTTTTTATTTTTATTGACAATGCTCAGTAAAATATTTTTTAGATTAATTTTTGTGTACAATTAACTCTCTATCTCTTCATTATTCCTCACCAACAGGGAATAGTACTCGCAATTAACTATCTTTCTTCAGTGTTCCTCACCAACAGGGAATAATACCCCCCTAAACCATCCCTCCCTCTCCTTATCGTTACTTTCTCTCTACGGTCTCTCTCTATACCAGAATATACTCTCGACCCATCTCTATTCATCAACCAATCCAAATTTGTGTCATTATTTCTTTCTCCTCTCACTCTATGTATGCATATAGAGAGAAGATTGAAGATTAGATTTTTAGATGAGTAATGATACGGTAACCGAATTTAATCACCGAATAAGACCAGAAATTGCCTCATTCATTAAATGAAAAATTCTATCATTTTAAAAAGACTACTTTACCCTTAAAATATCATCCAAACTCTTTCACGTTTTCTCTCTCTCAAATAAATATATTTGTGTTCAAAATGGCTCTCTCTCTCTCTTTATATATATATATATATATATATATATATATATATATATATCAACCACAACTCCATCGTCTCATCAACAAGTATGCAATTCCCCTTCATGATCTACAATCTTTAGTTAATCCGATTGGGTCAAGCGATGAACAAGAAAGGTTATATCATCGTCACCGATTCAACGCTCAATTTAACAATTAACTAGAAAAATTAAAGGTGACCCATCAAACCAGCAAATAAATCATAATTTTTCTTCTCTCTTCTCTCTCCGATTCTGACTCTCTCTCTCTCTCTAATTTCGCATCTCTCACATATATGCCCTAATCTCTAACTTCAATATTGCTTTGTGAAGGAAAATGGCTCTACTCATCTATGTCATGGTGTACTATTGATTTGGGTCTTCTTTGAATAAAGAAGACAATAAAAATGAATAGATAATTTGAAAAGTTTAATGGGTCAATAAGAAGGAACAAATTTGAAAGTCTTTTAGGGAGAGATGTGAAGCTAAGGGATTGTGGCAGTGGAGGGGTGGGGGCAACACAGAGATGGTGGCGGTGGAGATGTGGATAGGACAGTGAACAAAAAGATGGTGGCGGTAGAGGTGGAGAGACGGGTAGGACAGTGAACAAAAAGATGGTGACGGTAGAGGTGGAGAGGCGGGTAGGACAGTGACAGAGATGGAGGAATTTTGAGAGAAAAATAAGGAAGGGTTTGGATGATTATTTGAGAGAGAAAATGTGGAAGAGTTCGGATGATATTTTGAGAGTAAAGTAGTCTTTTTAAAATGGTAGAAATTTTCATCTAATGAATGAGTGAGTGGTGTGACAATTTCGGGTCTTATTCGGTGATTAAATTCGGTTACCTTATCATTACTCTTTTTAGATTGGGAGGACTCAAAAAGATTAGTTGTTAGAAGACAGAGTTTAATAAGAATATGGAAAACCCAAAATAGCCGGTGAAAAATGATACTAAAACTTTTTTGATAAATCAGCTAAAAGATTTAGACAAAAAATAATTTTTTAACCTTGGAGTCTCTGAGATACTGAAAAATGAAAAAATATGATTTTCAAAAAATATTTTTACGGACCCAATTAGAGTGACTTGACAAAACTATTTTGATTTAAGTAGGTCCCACCACCAGATATCAACCCTTGCCCAATCAGCATGTTGACGTGGCACGCACCGTTAGATCAGTATACAGTTAGTTATAACCACTCTACAGATCACATCTATACTTGGCGCCCAAAATCCCCTGCTAATGCCACTATATAAACCCCACTAACCTCCATGCTCTTCCCTGCGCTTCATTTCGATATCGAGAGAGAGAGAGTATCTTTTAGAGAGAGGAAGTAGAAAGAGAGAGTGAGAGAGAGAGAATGATGAGTCTTCAAGAAACAGATCAGATGAAAGAAATGGAATTCCAAGAACTTCACCAAGCCGACGAAGTCGGTGGTTTCGAGTCCAGCGCCGTCAATCGTCTCAATATGCTCAGCCTCAATGGCGTCCAGTCAACCACCGCCGCAAACGGCTGCTATAGCCGTTTCTCCGCCGCCTCTGTCCCTTCTTCCGCCGAGGAATGCACCATGTGCGGTTCCATGAAGAGACGATCACCCTCGTCGTCGTCTCTCCAAGAACAACAACCCAACTCCAAGAAACTCAACCTCCAACCACCCCCCTCCACCGCAGCAGACAACAACAAAGGCGGCGGCAAACAATTTCACGGCTTCACCAGGATTCCCCTTCCGTCCGGTTCTTGGAACGTTTCGTCGCCATACGTTTCGATGCCGATTCTCCGTCGCTGCTCCTCCGATATAATCAATTCGCCGGGAAACAACAACGTCGGAGCTCCAAAATCACAGCCTTCGTCGCCTGAAAATGCCAAGACGAATGTCTCTGCTACAACGCCGTCTCCCCAAAAAGCATCAGCCTCCCTGCCGCCGCTTCCTCCTACTCTCCGACGGACAGTATCTGACCCAACTTCGGCAGCCTATCAGGTTATGGGTACACCGCCACCGCCCCCTTCAGTGGCGAGAACGTTTTGTACCAATGAGATGGGTTTGGATTCTGTGAAAGGAGAGAGTCCCGAGTCCAAGGTAGTGGTCGAATTAGGGTTTATTGTGACTGGTTTTTTTGTTCTAATCTTCTATATTTTGTTTTGTAAAGAACTGTGTGCCTTACTGGCTATAATTGCAGAGGTTGAAGAGAATGAAGGCTTGTATGAGAGGGATGAGGCAATGGTGGGATGAAGTTCTGCTTAAAGAAGAAGAAGAAGATGATGATGGCCCTGAAGATAGCAACACTCCAAATGCCAAATCCTCTTCACCAGTAATAGATTTACCATTTATTTAATACAACCATTTCTGTATATTATGTATTTGTATATGAATTGTTCAATTGGGTTGTTTTATATAACTCTGTTCTTGATTCTTTATTTTAATTGGGTTCATATGAAGTGATTTTCTTGGAAATTTATGTTATTGTTTGTTGTTGCAGGATGAATCTGAAGGTGAAGCTGTGAGTGTGGAGAGAAATGGGGAGTGGTTGGTCATCAAGTTCCAGTGTCCCTGTTCAAAAGGCTATCAGCTCATCCTCTGTGCAGACAGTTGTTACTACAAGTTGATGTAGTTTGAGCTGAGTTTTCTTGCTCAGTTGTTACTACAATTCAAACATTACATATCTTTCCTGGGTTTCAAAGTTCCATTTTTTTTAATTTTTCATTCACCAATAGTTGTTTAGATGAATACCCATTGGGATTTCAATTTTATCATTAGATACAATGCTTGTTACTGTTTGGGGGGTTTTATATGTCAGATTTTTCTTTGTGATGCCCATTACAGATAAAGCATTGATCATTCTTGGGATTTAGATTCATAGCTTGTTTGTTTAATGAACTACCAATAATCTGAATTTTTTTACCATTTTTTTTTCAGTTGTTAGTACTATTTCTTCCCTCTTCCCACTGTATTCTTGTCAATTCTGTGGTGTTCAAGATTACATGTTGGATTGCAAGTTTTTGGACATCAACAACTCAAAATTAGCATTAGAATAATCCTACCTTTGTTACTTGGCTGTGTCCAAGCTTTCTACCTTATACTTTCATTTATGGCTCACTTATTATCTACAGAGGACTAAAAAAAATCTGACAATATTAACTCAGTTCTTTGTCAAGCTGTGAATGAGATAAACAATGCATTGAAACTTGTTGACACTCAAACTTGTGCTCCCCCTTTTTGGACTTCTCCATAATTTAACAACCATCACCACGCACTTCGCTTCTCAATTGTACCTAGAGCTCCAATGAGTGGGGTAGAACTATGGTCGTGGACCTGCTCTTATGGTGTGTGTGTTTCTTCTCAATCAGTATGTGTTGGTGGAGATTCTGAATGCCTATTGGCATTATTCAAAACAAAAAAGTGCAGCAGATCATATCTCAATCAGGACCTGATTTCCATCAACACATGAGCAACAAATGCGCACACACAGAGAGGGTGCACCACTCAATCATAGCAGCCAAGACCATAAACGGTAGACTAAAATGCATTGTGATTTGGTTGAAACCACCGAGAGTTGAGTTCTTACACCAGGCACAACACAGCCTCAAAAGCATATACTTGGGTACACTGTCGAATTAAGAATTCGCCCCCAAGATACTCCTGGTGACCAGTTAAATATCCAACTCAAGGTACTCGTGAAATCGGGGCAGAGAAAACCATAGTAAAGCAATCCAGTAGATAGCCATTGTATTCCATTCTGAGAGTCTCAACTTAAAATAGGGTCCGAGCAATACCAAATTAACCACGAAACTCTCCTGGCAACATAACAATATTCCCAAAATGCAGATACACTTGGCCATTGACGCTATAATACAAACTTTGGTACCAGGAAGGACAGCCAAAACTTTGCATCGCTTCCTCAAGTACTTAAATATAACATTGTTTACAATGACTCCATTATGAAACTTACACCAAACAATGACCATCTTCTGAAAAGTAAGTTATCATCAAAGCCATAACCGTTTAGAGACACTATCCACCATGCAAGGTTGAAATGAAAACGACTGAATCCTTCTCTTCTAGTGTGGTATCAAGCTGGCCACTTAGCTCCCAATCACAGTCGTTCACGAGGACTAAGACCCCAGGCCTCCTGCAAGCACAACAATGATTAATGCTCCATCATTGAGAGAGGGATCCAATAGCTGGTCTATAACTATCATTGACTTTTTTAGAATGTCCGGGCATACTTCTTCTTTCTTTTTTTCCCAGACAAGGCATCGGAGCAAAAAAAAAGAAGATAAAACAATTTTTCTTTCAATGATCACTCGTGTGTATTTGGTCTGAACATATTCAAGAAAATCCAGACACCAAACAAAACTTACAATATCTGGAAACAACAAACACCATTTTCACATTTTAGGACATAAGAGGTGTCTTGGGAGTCGTGACTTACACAGTATCGCCTTTCATGAACATTTCAGGCCTTTCCTTGATCAAATTAGTACGGACCCAGGCTAGCAAGTCTCTCATGGTTAACTGTGAGGAAAGTGCAACAAAATCATGCCAACATTTTAATTAAACATGTGGAGGAGAAAAAAATTCTTGATTTGTGTTGCGTTTGACATAACAATTTATAAAAAAAGATTGTTACCTTCTCTTCTCCATCCTTTGGGTTAACATTGACATTATGGATCTTTACAGAATCACAAAGAAGTTCCAGTCCCCCACTACAGAAAAAATTTAACATGGCGAATATCAAGCCATTAGAAATCCAAATGAGTAACCAATTGATCAACAGAGAATATCAGTAAAAGCTGGGAATAAACACAAACAGAAATATAAACAATGCCATTGAGGAAATGCAAGGTTCAAGGGTGCAGACAAAATCCTTTACCTAAATCTGAACCCAGTGCACTTAAAGAGCACCCAGAGAATTCTTTCCAAATAACCCTTTATCGAAAAACAAATAAATTATGACGGTACAACAAAAGTTTAAGAATTGGTGTGGATAATTATATGTGCAAAATAAGTATAAAAGTTGCCCACTTCTATGAGGAAGACTCACTGATTTGTCATAACTTCAATAAAACATAAGTGTTCTACAATTCTAAATCTATGTGAAGAATCTCTAGTGAACACTGAACCGCACTCTAGCTTCATTAAGATACTAGATCTTTGCATTGTTACTCTCGTCCATATTATCCTTTTACAGTTTAAAGTCTTAAAGAGTGCTCACAAATATTTAAATGCTATTTAAGAGATCTTTTATGAAGTCTGAAAAATTATTCATCAGCATTCTTTCTCCCATTGTGCTCTAGTCTAGGGAAAGAATAATATTGAGAACACTACAAGGAAGAAGGTATGATCTCACTATTTTCACTGAGATAAACTTCTCTTTTGGAATTGTCATATGCGATCACAAATATATATCTCCATCTTTACTTATCAAAAAATATATATATTCTTTTCGAACTTGGATATATATATATATATATATCCAAGTTCGAAAAGAATAATTCTTTGAACTTGCGTGAGAAGTTGCAACATTAAGAAGTGATATGGAAGAAAGAGGACCCAATGTTTTGTTATTGGGTTTTACCCCCAAAAGGCCTCATACCAATTGGAGTTAATACCATCACATATAAGCACTTCACCTTTCCCTTACCTAGGCGATGTGGGATTGTGCACCTCGCACCCGCCCACAAGGTCGCACATGGAAGGTTAGGGTTCCAGGAATACGCTACACAAAAAATCGAATAGCACATCGTTTATGTAAGGTTATCACACTAACAGATCCTTTGACTAGAAATATTGCATCTGACCGTTGAAATTCAAACTTGAAGGAATTATGGTGGAAGGAGTATGAGATGATACGCGTGTATCAAAATTCACATGAACCCAGGAAATAGCTTTATGAGTCCATAGACTCCATACAACAATAAATGTAATCACCCTCCAAATAATAGTTGGCAAAACATGAAGTCCGTACGGTACTTATGGAATTTATTGTACAAGCCTTATCGTTCAATATATTTCCACCTTACCCTGACAAGAAATTCATGATTTATTCAAAGTGATCTCTTTTTGTGGGATTTTTAGAATTTTATTTATTTTTTTTTATAAGTAAATTTTTTATAAAAAAGCGCTCAAAAGGGGAGCGGATCCCAAAGAAACACAAAGGCCAAAAAAAGCCTCAAGCCTTCAAAGAGACCAAAAAAGAAACAATCTCCTCTAAAGATCTATAATCTCTCCCTGAAACCCAACAAAAAAGAGTGGAAATAATAGAGAACTTAAGCAAAGTGACAGGTTTCTCCTTTCCATCAAAATATCTCCGATTTCTCTCCAGCCAAATGCACCACCAAATACAAAGAGGAGTAGCCCTCCAGGTATCTCGAATGAGAGCCCCAACTAAGAAGCCTCTCCAAGCCTCAATCAACCCTCTAGTGGAACAAGGCATAACCCAGGGAACTCCAAACAAACCAAACATCAAAACCCAGCAGTCTCTGGCCATACTGCAATGCAACAGAAAATGATCAACTGTCTCCTCATCGCGCAAGCACAAGTAACAACGGTTAACCATCACCTGATTCCTCCTCCTCAAATTATCCTAAGTTAAAATCTTTCCCAAAACAGAAGTCCAAGCAAAGAAGGCCACTTTGAGGGGGGCCTTCCAATGATCTCAATCCCAACAAAGACGATGTAAAAAATATAAAATAAAATCACTTGATGCGACTAAATGAGGTTAGACAAGACACTTCAACAACTCAACTGAAAAACTTTAATTCCCATTTCCCAACAATTTGGTTCTGTAAGGAATTCATTATCCCATTTAGCTCCAACAAGGGCCACGTTTTATAGAACTCTAAGCATCACACTTTTCTTCTGTATATACCAACTCCCCTTCCAGCCAACACTTGTTCTTGTAAAATTTGACGTTTAATCAAAAAGTGATATTGGTGTGGTAATTAGTTTTCATTGCACGTGGTCAAACTAATATGACTTGAGCAATGCAATATAATTATCATGCCCATGAAAAAGCATAAACTAAATGAAGATGTGAAAATAAACGAGCAATGGTACTAAATGTATTTGCAAGAAGCCAACAGATATCGTATTAGTTTCCTGTTAAAGTTAATAAGTGTTGCACTGTTATTTAGAACTCTAAAGCTGATTCTTCACTTCACAAATTCAAGTGCAATTCCATGGTAGCATCTTCTTCAATCTCCCTCTCCATATGGATGATAGCACCAAGATACCATGAAGTGCGAACAGTCAGTATAAACTATCTTCATACTGTCAATTTTCTCAATCCATTTACATATAATTTTACAAACTTAAATTCCATATATTACATCTTACACTTGCCAATCCTAACAAATAAATAAATAAAAATTCAAAGGCATATTTCTGTAGTTTTTGATTTCTAATTAGCCTTTCATCTTGTGAACTAGAATTAGGATGTCTCTCTTCATTGTTCTTATATATGCTTAACTCCTATTTTATTACAGTCATACACACAGCTATGATAACCAATTAAGAACATCATCGCTATATATTTCACTTCTGTGAAGTATCTGTGGCTTCTAGGCTCAATATATTACAGAGACACATAAAAAATAAACAAACATTCCAAAATTATCAACGCATATACACAGAGACACATAAAAAATAAACACACATTCCAAAATTATCAACGCATATACACAGAGACGTTAATTTCAAACCCAAAACACATGAGCTAATAAGCATAATAAAAATATATATAATAATAAAGGGTCCATTCATTAAACCCACTACCAAGTATGACACAAGAGAAGGCATTGAACATAATGAAATAGAGAAGTTCTACACAGATAAAATTTACCCACTACTATGTTGGTAGACTCTATGATTCAAATTCAATTAAAAAAAAAAAAAAAAAAAAAAAAAAAAAAAAAGCTAACAAGTCTAACCAGTAATCAATGAAATAAAACTCCCAATAATAATTTGAAATATATATATTATATATGTGCGAGTATGATAAACTCTGAAGTCACGAATAGAAGCAGTGAACGGAAGGGGAAAAAATTAAAAATAAAATCTGACAACGTCCAAAAAGGGGCTGATTTGTAGTATTAAGAGATTGAGTATCAATTGAAATAGAAATAAATGGATTTCAAAACCTCGAAATTTGAGGATCCAAAAAAATAAAATTACCCGAATTCAAGTGTGAATTGCATCTCCTATGACTTGAAGAAATGTCCTCCTGTTGTCCTACTAAACCACAAATGGAGAGAATGAGGCCGCTTTATCGCTGTTCTTTTGAAACCCTCGTAGAGCAATAGTTTTTGCCGTGGATAAATAATACGACGTCGCACGTTTATTTAAACACCGACCACTTAGAATAGAACCCTCTTTCTCCGAATTGTCAAATAAAAATAATAATTAGTTAATTAATTAAAAATTAAAAAAGAAAATCTTTTTATAGGTTTTGGTGAATAGATCAACTAATAATTTAAAAAATAATGAAAGATAAAGTTTTAACTGTTTTTACCTTTATATCTAATAATATTTATAATATTGTAATCTACCGATTATAGAATTGTAATTTAAAACTTGTATAATTTATGATAGTATTTAATTTAAAACTTCTATAATAGTTCACTTGTTTTTCTTTCTTGACCCCATTTTTGAGCGGACGAAAATTTATAAAGGAGGAAAGAGCGAATAAAAATTTATAAAGGAAGAAAGATGACACATCTTTCCTATTTTCTTTTCTTTCCATGTATCAATTTTACCGAACAAAGGAAGTTCATTCCCGAACATAGCATTAGCGATTGTAATACCCCGAAATTTTAAAGAATGTATTTAAATTAATTTTGTGTTAGGTTAATTAATTTTATTTATTTGTGCATACTACATTATTATATTAGGTTCATTTAATTGTGCATGTAAATTAATTGTGTATGTTAAAATAGTAAATTTGTTCATGTAAATATGCATGTATTATTATTAATAATTTTATTTGTTGGTTATGCTTATATTAATCATTATTAGTTAAGTAAAGTATTATATTTGTGTTATATAGTATTATGATGATATAATGTATTATTTTGTAATAATAATAATTATATTAGTTTAATAATAATAATAATAATAATAATATTAATAATAATATAATAATAATAATTATAAAAGTTTTATTAATAATAATATTAGTAATAATAATATTAGTATTAAATCAAGGTAATGATGAAAAATTAAATATTAGGATAGAATTTCATTTACTATGGTAGAATGGTGGATCAAATATCTTGATTAAAGATAGCATTGTCTTAAAGCCATATAGGTAGGAGTATGAGAAATGGGTGAGAAGTTATTATAAATAAGATATTTGTAATATTTATATTATATAGTTTGTATATAAATTAACTAGCTTGCCTTAGAAGAAAATAAAGGGAGTTAGAAGCAAAGTATAAATTCTAGAGAGCTATTTTATAAGAGTGAAAGGAAAAGAGAAAGAGAAAGAAGCTTGGACCGGTGTAGGCAATTTTACCCGACTACGCGCAGACCGGCGGATTTATTTTAAATCCAAAAAGGCAAGTTATTATCTACTTTTCCCCTTTGAATTAATAAATTAATTGTTTAGCTTATTTTTATGCATAGAGCCAAGGTTAGGAGGTTAATAAATAATTAATTTTATTTTATTAAATTAATGGAATTTTAATTATAATGTCCTATGAAATTAATAATGGCTAAAAATAATTAAATAAGACTTTAGGGATTTTTCTAGAATTTTCTAGATTTTTCCGGGCATTTTCTGCAATTTCCGGCGACCTTCCGGCGAGTTTTCCGGTCGCCGGCAGTGGGGGAGACGACCGGAGTGATCCGGTGCGACGCGGCGCACCATAGGAGGGTGTACGCGCGCATCCTGGCCATTAGTGGAGTCTGATTGATCCGGTGCATCGCGGTCCATGATACCGCGGTACACCCGGATCCGTGGACGTTGGATGGAGGAGATGTAGGTGGATTGATCCGGTGTGGCACGCACGTAGGAAATCTGATGCAACCGACCAACCAGCACACGCCGCGTCAGCAAGGCACCCCTAGTGCGCGCGTGGCAGCGCGTGCACGCGCGTGGGACTCTCCAGACGCGCATGGGAGCGCGTGGCTGATGCCAGACGCGCGTGGAGGCGCGTGGGAGAGTGGGGAAGGTTGGGCTGCGCGTGGGGAGGCTCTGGGAGGCGCGTGAGGGCGCATGTGGGGTCCCTACAGCTGCTGGAAATTACCAGAATACCCCTAGGGCCTGTTTTGTAAATTCCAGAACCTTAAACTTGGATTTTTAGGTACTGTATTGGTAATTACGGGTTTAACGGGCCACGAAATTATTATTTTAACACCCGTTACTTATTCTTATGGCCGATTAATCTTTTCTAAGCATTTATTGGCTCGTTCGCAGTACGGATACTAATGTGAATTATTTAAACGACATTGTTAAATATAAATAGTGTTATTATCGTATTTAATGGTATCAAACATTACTGTTAAATTAAATAAGGCCATGGTTTTAATCAGATAAATTATCCATGATATCTTATAGGATGTTTATACTGTTAATTGATATATAAACCATGAATATTATGCTGTGTGCATTTCAGGAAATAAATGGACTGTTTAATTATGTCGCATTTATATTATATGGATGTGTTGCCATATAGAACCATATGAGCTGGCTAATAAGTTTAGACTCATTTATACCTTATGCATTCGTTGCGATAGACAGATGTGTGGCTGTCGGGGTATGTGGTTTAATATTATTGGCATGTGTTGCCTAATTGACATACTCGGTATATTTATTAATATTGTTGGCATGTGTTGCCTAATTGATATGCTCAGTATATTCATCAGTACTTTGCGAGGTGTTATCACTGTGTAGTTCGTTATAGTCTGTGTTGTCAGTACCGTGCACCATGTATAATAGCTGATTTCCCGGGTAGGGAAAGGCGACACTTGACCACCTAGTGTGAGTCTAAGTGATCACCGTCTATTCTGGTTGAGGTCATGTTATACATTGGATAGTTCCCATAGGATGTATACAGATATAGTACTCATCCGATTCATAATGATTAATTTATTTGATTCTCTGATTTGGGTCATAGTAGAGAGGACTTGCTCGTGGGGTTGACCCACCATTGTTGTTATTTCAGGATACGGTCAGTATCCGTTTCAAGGCTGAGGTTAGCAGTGTGGGACCATCATCCGAACTCATCTACTCCTACGATCCAGTACAGGGTAGAAGTTTTATGTAGTATTTCAGTTTCAGTTTTTATTTACTTTTGACGTTGAACTCTCAGGGTTATATCTAGGGATCCCTGACGTAGGATTTCCAAGTTGTAATGAAGTACTGTATTAAATAAAGGATGGATGGATGTTGTATTATTTAATGTTTCTTTCCTGTCTAAATTCTTTTATTTCCATCATTTTGTATTCCATGCTTGTATATTGCCAATTGTTTTTGATATCCCTCGTTTTTCGTGTATAAGCCTGATCAACTTATGCGTGGGAAATGTGGGGGTGTTACAGCGATGGAATAGTTATTTGGTGCACTATGTACTGGGTTAAATCATAATCGTATTCAGTGCACCGTGTATTGGGTTAAATAGCTCTGACTAGTCCGTGCACACACTAGGCACATTGAATACTCAGTATCAGTTGAAAATTTCCGTATAATAGTTTAAAACCGCATTATACTTTTATTTAGAATTCACAAGATATATCGGTTTGATAATGTTGTTTAGTGCTTAACACATAACACATTAAGGAATTTATTTATAAAAGTAAGTGACCACTTAAACATTGCATGTGGTTGATAAAAAAAACTCAAGTAGACCATATATTTGTACTTGATCTATCTCTCAACAGTGTAAATTTATATGAAATTTTTTTACATGTAATAGTTGGAAGAGAACGCCAGACATGACAATATATCAATTGTAAATTAAATAGTTCAAATTAAAATGGTCAAGTGAAAATTGAATTGATATGGGATTCCAATGAGGTAACGTACATAATTATTCTATTAATAGAATTATTGTTTACATACCATTTTTATACACGTTTCATGAATAGAATTATTATTTACGTACCATCTTTATACACGTTTTATGTTTTGATTTTGATATTTTTATAATCGACATTAATATTCATTGTCAAATTGATATATTACTTTTTGGAGAAATACATAAATTTATATATGTGTTTATAATATATATATATATATATATATATATATATATATATATATAATGATATTATGCATAGAAAATAATTGAGGGAAGTTTTTAAGTGATAATTAAAAAATATATTTTCTTAAAATTTTTATTTTTAGTGTTTGGCAATAAATGATATTCTAAAATTTTACCACATTTTAAATGACATTTACCGATTCAATTAGAAGTTTTTAAGTGATAATTAAAAAATATATTTTCTTAAAATTTTTATTTTTAGTGTTGTGCAATAAATGATATTATAAAATTTTACCACATTTTAAATGACATTTACCGATTCAATTTGTATTATCAAAACATACTTAATTGAATAAAAACTTAATATGCTCATAATTAAGTTATGAATTGAGTCATCAAACAACTTACTAAATGGGATAGTACTTAGTATGGATAAAAATACACATATAACTTATCATAACTTTAAAATATGAGTATAATAGTCTTAGATGCAAATAATCTGACGAAAGGCTTAAAAGAGTAATGCTATCACTGTGGCTTGGTTTGTGTTTGTAATTCCAAAAATACTTATCAAGAACTTAGCAAACTGTTCTCAAATAACAATAATAATCTCAAAACTTAACATTTTTTTTTTATTTTTTTTGTTCTGAAAATGAAAGGAGACCAGTAAGGGGAAAAAAAATCTCCTAGTACCAGAGTTATTATTACTCGTATTCTTCATCCTATATTATTTACATTAATTAATTTTTATCTTTATGTTTTATTGATCTTTATGTTTTATTATTGTTATTATTATTTTGTTAGACTAGACGGCTTTTAATTCTTCATTCTGTCAGAAATACTCCGTATGAACATCGATACCACACCCCAAATCAGATTCATTGCATACGGCTAATTGATTTGAAAAGTGGACCTTTTCGGTTCAATAAAATATACGTGTATATATATATTTTTTTAAAAATCTTTTTTATATCAATATTCAAAAAAATAAAATAAAAAATCATCTATTGTCAAATTGTCCACAAATCACCCCCAATACTGCACCACATGAAGGCTAAATAAAATGTAATAACACAACCAACCTTAAGAAATTACTACAAATCATGATTCATATAACATATACGAGTGGATTACATTCAAAGCATTAAATACAGATACAAATCTGACAGCCAGAAAAATTCAATTCCAGGCCCCAAAATACGAGAAATGTATCCAATGGTCAGGATTAGAAAGCTATTATTTATAGAATACAACAAAACTACACACCTCACTCACTACGAACCCTCCCTCTTCTGGTCCTTTTCCTCTCTTCGAGACACCTTCTTCTGCACCCTCTTCGTAAGCAATTGTTGATTTTCCTGTACCAGGAGGTAAAATTACCAAAAGGGTTCAATTATTTGTGTGTGTGATCAATTGGGTCCAATCCGGAAACATCAAAGGTTGAGCATGAATTGAGTTGAAGCTGGCACGGTAAGTTAGGTTTTGTTCTGGACTCGGAGCCCAGAAGAGCTTGCTGTCTGTTATCGTGGTTGTAGATACAGTTTTTGAATCCATGGAGGCTTATAAGAGATGGGTTAGGGGGAACAAGGAGTATGTACATTCATTGGAGTCTCTGGCTAATGTAATCCTCCTTAATCTTATACTTTCATCAGCTACTTTTCATTAATCTGTTTGAACCAAATGTGTATGAACATTTTCTATACAGTTTCTTGATTGCTTTGGTTGTTGAATTTGTTCTATATTATGGTTTTGGCTTGTGCTTGTCTATAACATAAATGGTTGCTTAGAATAGAGATAATATGTGAGGAACAAATATGAACCGTGTTTGAATATAAATTTACTGTAATCTCTCATTTGGGTACTGCAAAAGTCTACGAAGAGCAAACTAATGTGTATCTGTTGAAGTGATTGGCTGCTACATTTCCAACTACTTGTAATTTGATTATCATTTTGATTCTTGGCAATAAGAATTGAACTCTTAACCCCCACCACACCCTTTAAATTCCATACAGGCACTTTTCCATCTTGTTTCAATAGCTGATGAATGTGTAATCAATTTAATTTTGTATACAAGTTCTTGGTTATTTTGATTGTCAGGTTTTTCGGTTTTTTGGTTTTAGAAAGATTGATTGTCTCCTCATGTAAAGTAGCTTGGCAATTGGAGAAAAGTAGAGATAAAAACTAACTTGAACTGTGCTATTTAATGTCGACTGACATGTTGTCCAAGGTTGGTATTTACTTTTTTTAGGGGGCTTATTTGATTGTTGTGATGTTTGCACAGTGTGCTTCACCCATATCATATATGGTACCTGAACATCAGAGTTGGTGAAAATCTGAAAGAAGTAATTAGGAACTGTGGTTGTTTGTAGTTTCTTTTTTGATTGTTAGGTTATTTGTTTTATGGGTGTCCATCTTGTAAATTTTTGCTCCTTGAGAATAAACTAATATTAATCCGTGTTAAAAATTTTAACAATGTTTTCTCATATGAGCTCTGAAAATTACTGTTCAGGGATTGACATGGCTTCTTCCAGAACGGTTTTCTGAATCAGAAATAGGACCAGAAGCAGGTTTTGTGAATTTTTGGTAACATTTGGATTCTTCTTTTTACTTATAAACTGCAACTTCAGAGGGTCTTGTTTCTCTTTTCAAGTACACCTTTGTTTGATCACCTGAGAAAGTTACCGAAGAGTGGAATGTAAATTTTTTAATCTAATTTTTTCTTTTTCTTCATTTCCAACAAACGTATATCTAAACTACACCAAGTCAAATTCTGTTTTTTGAGCGCGGTTGAGCTGAGGTTTTCTTTTTCTTTTTGGTTCTTTCAGGTTTCATAAATGATGATAGAGGATAATATTCAAAATTTTATATTTTTTCTATTCTACACCGTTTTCTTCCTACCCAAGATCTTTTAGTGTTATACCCTATCCAAATTTAGAAGCCCTGTTTCCAATTTTCCATGCAATGTTGAATGATGTTCTGAGTTAACATATTTTTAATCCTTCTGCAGTAACTGCAATTTTGGGCATAATCACAGCTGTCAACGAACATATAATTGATACGACCCCAACCCAAATACATACAGGATCTTCACAGCCATCTTCCTTCCCTTATTCCTTATGCATAACTTTACTTAAAGACTTGGAAACATTGGTGGAAGTTGTGGCACAGCATTTCTATGGTGATGATAAAAAATGGAATTTCATTGCTGTTACAGAGTTTGCCAAGTAAGCAACATATTTAATTCAGTCTATGCCCCATCTTATCATTCACAGCTGGTGTTTTTGTACTTGTATTTGTAAATTTGTCTTAAATTTTGGGTATTCAATTTCATTCAGGGTTTTAGTTAGGCTAGCCTTGTTCCGGAACAGTGGATACAAGATGCTTTTGCATGGAGGAGAGATACCAAATGTTGAAAAGAGTTCAGATGCTTTAAATCCCCACCATAGATTTGGACATTTAGCAAAGCCTGGATGGAATCAGGGGCCTGGCAATTTAAAGAATTATCATGGGCAGAATCCTTGGAATCTTGAAGGAAGGGCAATGTCTGCCTTGAGTAGGTTTGGGGAAAATGCTAGGATGGTTTCTGAACCAACATGGTTGCGCAGGGTTCAACACCAGCAAGCAATCATGGAGCCTTCGTGTAATTTTTCTCCTAAAACTCTGTTCTAGATTGAGGAAATTAATTAATTTTATGGGATAAATTTTGCTGACGTATGCTATAATCTCATTACAGCTTTGGTTGTTCAAAGACCTACCCTTCCCACTTTCTTGTCTGAAACGGGTGTTCTTGGGGGCTTATTTATGATGGGGGAGGTGATGTTCATCACAAGGCCACTCATCTATGTTTTACTGATAAGGAAGTATGGAATTCGGTCATGGTTTCCTTGGTTTGTATCCTTGGCTGTGGACCTTGTCGGAGTGGGCATTCTTTCCCAAATTACAATGTCAGGGCATAGAAAGAAAGACCAACAATTTCATCTTTCCAGCTCCGAAAAGGATGAGGTTAGAGTTATACAGATTTTCACATGGTTAACGTTTTGATGCATCTTTTACATTGGAAGAGTAAGGGTCACTTTTGCCCTCGTATGTCATTTTCCTATGTTCCTTATTCTTTTCTTTTCCTTGTATTTGTAACTGAGCCTCGTAAGGATTTGTTGTCCTGATGATTTGTGCTTTCTCTAATATTTTTTATTGTTATTTTTTAAATGACTTTTTGTTGTCCCGATGACTTGTTTTTTTTATGGAAAGAGGGGGATAAATATACTTATAAAAATAAAAAATAGAAAAAGAAGAAGGGGATAAGTACAATTTTGAAAGGAAGAGTCTTGTTGGACAGAATCGGTCCAAGAACCAAGACTCATTTTGAAAGTGTCCAGGTCATCAATCTTCAGCATGAGTTTGGATATCCACTGAATTTGTAAATAAGATTGTTTTGATTACTGAAGCTGTAAATGATTGATCCAGTTGATGGGTATTTTACAGGTGAAAAGGCGGAGGCTGTTGTGGGCGCTTTACCTCATGAGGGATCCATTCTTTAGCAAGTATACCCGGTAATGATGCAGTTCTCAAGTCAATTCCTGTTTTACGAAGTTTCTTTGTTTAGATTCCAAAAGAAGAAAAGAAAAGGGTAACAGTAAAAGAGATACCAAGGCACTAATGTTTTAAAATCGTTACAGGCAAAAACTTGAAAGAACTGAAAAACTATTAGAGCCTGTTCCTATTGTTGGCTTTCTTACAGGTTTGTTTGGTTTATTATTTTAAACTTAAATTCTCTCATCACCTTCCAACTATACTTTATTCAAAACTGATTCTGCTTATTGTCTTTAACATGTACTCCCAATGAGCAGCAAAAATTATCGAGCTTATCATTGGAGCTCAGACACGTTACACTTACATGTCAGGTTCATGAGATGAAAGCTGCATGCTTGCACCTTTTTGGTGAAGTATTTCTCCAATTTTTTTTTCCTTGGTGTATTTCTCTTATTTTAGGAATAATTACTTGTTTTCATTTTCTCAGCATTCTTAATTCGAGATTCAAATACAAATATCAAATGGCTGTATCAAATTTTGTTAATATCCATGGTTAAATTAATGTGCACCTTAGATTAATGTTTTAATCAAATGCTTTTTTCCTTATAGAATACCATGGCATGGATAAGAATGCTTAGCTGTTGATATTTGCTTCTTTTTTCTTTTTTAAAGTTCTTGCGGTTGACTTTACGTATTTAAATGTCGTACAAACTCGCGCTCATGTTCACATATTTGTGCTTGGTGGTTGTAGGATAGGGATTCTTAGAAGTCGTGATAATCATTAATTGTAAGCTTCAGCTGATGGAATACGTTGTGATGCCTCACTTTTGTGCTTCCATAAGGCGTTCTCTTTTCGACATTAGAATTAAATTGAGTTGTTTAAGGTAGAAAGAACTCTAATAAATGGATAGAGACAGTGCATTATGAGATTTGGCACCGGCACACAATTCACAAGCCCCGTGAGGAGAGTGATATTAATGTGTTCCTGCTTTTTTACTTCTATATATATTTGTTAGAAATTGTTTGGGGGGTGACAGCTTATTTGCGGGTGGCAGAATTCGTGAAGTTCTCCTCTAAAATCCATTTATTTTAAATTTCTTTTCTCTGTATTAAAAATGGTGTGTGCTCCTTTTCTCTGGGCTGTTTTCCTATAAAAGCACATTGACTCATTATTTACTTTTAATGTCAAGATAAACCTATGGTGCATAAGAATTGTGGTATTATGTTCCTAGCATACTCCTTTTTATGTAAAATTCAGTCTAGCTAAGCTAGTTAATGAAGTAAAAAATTGAAACATACATTCAGGAAATGGATCCGAAATTATCTTGCTCTCCTCTGGAAGAACAGCTTTTTCCTTTTACATGAGACAAGATCCCCCTATAAAGAAGAAACTTGAAAAACAAAATTGATGGAAAACTATTTTCATCCAATAAAATAAAGCAATTAAAACCCATTAAAAACCATTTTCAGTATAAATCTGCTCTAAATTTAACAAATAGGTGTTTTTTCATAGAGCTGGAATTGCTATATGTTATTATGTGTGTGTATTTTATCAAGAGAGAGTATATAGTCTGTAGTGTTGGCAAGTATTGAATACCTTGATTTACTGGGGAAAAAAAAAGGTATTGAATACTATTGACTTGTTTATTCAGCACTTGGAAAACATGACTTGTACGTGAGAAGCTGAGAATGGTACACAACTTTTGCAGTCTAGTGCAGTATATGTTTTCTAAACTGACTTAATGCAGTACAGCTTTGCCATTGCTTGGTTTAACAGTGAAAATGTTTTGAGTTTGAGAACAACAGCATGTTTTATTGATGCATCCTTGTGGCTTGTGGTGTTTTACCTTATATTTACTTCTGCTTGTCCTATGCATAATAAATTCACGTCCATTTAGTTAATTTTGACAGATATCATTAGCAGAGTCTCGGGAACAATTTATAATATATTCCACATTCTTCTTCTACATTACATGCTAAAAATATTGTTAAATTCTACTCTGGACAGTGAATGTTTCAAGTTCTTAGGGATCTGAATACTTCGCCCGTTCTCCCTGAACTTTTGTTCGTCCCAATGGAACTAGTTGAGGTAGGGATGGTCCAAATAGTTTACCAGGTTCAGCAGTTTCTTTATGAGGATTTAATCTGCATGCTAAGTGTAGGGTTGCAAATTTTTTTATGTTCTTGTATAACAAATTCTTTGTTGCACCTTTGTGGACTTGTACAGGCTAGTCAGAAATTTCACTTGATAGAACTTTCATCAATGGGAAAGAAAATAATTAAAAAGGTGATGTGCTTAATATATTCATGCCTATAAAATTCTCAGCATTGCATTAGTGAACACTGAAGAGTGAGATGCTTTAGGGAGGGACTGAGGGAGGCTGAGGATGATGTGTGTTGAGGTTAGTGAGAAAAGACATGGCTTACGGTTTGATAAGCACCGGCTTTAGATAACTCTTAGTCTTTAGCACTCTGCATATGTATAATTTAAGTCACGCAATTCTTCTAAACGGGTGCCGCTCCCATGCTCCGCGTGCAAGTCTGCTATTGCTCTCATTGTGTAACTCAAATTTTGCCGCTTTCGTGTTCCCACTCCAACTCCCGCTCTGTATGACTTAGGGTACAACACCATAAAGGCATGAAACCACCCATGCTTGTAAGAAACTTCTCTCTCATGGCTTATAGTTTGATAAACACTGGCTTTAGAGAACTCTTAGCCTTTAGCACTCTGTATGGGTACAATACCATAAAGGCATGAAACAACCTATGCTTGTAAGAAACTTCTCTCTCTCTCTCTAGGTACACAGATGGTAGTTATTTGCTTTGTACTCTCAGAGGATGTTTATCATATGGAACACATTTTCTTTGGATGTGAAGATTTAACACAACATTGACTTTCTATATACTATTGGTCAAAGTTGGTAGTTTGTTAGAAATATAAATGCTTAACACGCACAAAAAACGCGTTATAATTTTGAAGCAGAATTTATAATAATCTTGGTAAATCCATTTGGATCTCCTCATTGCTTGAGTTGCATTAATTCAGGTCCTTGGTTTGAACTTTGATGAAGTATTGTAGTTTATAAGGAACTGTTTACTGTTAAGTCTGTTATATGGAAGTATTTACAGATTTGAAAAATAAAATAATAAAAATATCATGATCATGGGTTTATGATTCATCAAATTCTACTATTTCTGCCAATAAAATAATAGAGTCAAAATTGACCATGGCTAGTTCATGGTCAAAATTGCCTTTTTAGTTTGGTTCATGTAATGTAAACAGAGTTTTGGTTTAATTATGCATAGGAGACTCCAAATCAATATGGACTCAGAAGGTACTTTTACAACAATAAATAATCTTATCGCTCTTTTAATTTGACTTGATACTGGGATATGATTGAAAAATAAATATCATAATATATACACACACAAAATAATATGTAAATGTTATTGTATTTTTTTGGTCATTTTTTAGGTTCATATTCGTATATTTATAGTGTACATTTTTTATGCTGAATTTTTAATCATATCTTTTTCTTAATTTTTTTAAAAATTTGTACTGTTTTCTTTTCATTTGGTATTTGACTAACTATGAGCTGCATCAGTTTTTGTATATATAAATGCTATATATTTACATTTGATGGTAGAATATGTCATTTTTAGTCCAGCAGTAAAAAAATTTGGATCGACAAACCTGATAATACATCTTTGAATTTAAATTAACGTCAAAATCATACGTCTAAGTCTCTGCATTAATTTATCCACTTAAACCTGGTTTTCTCAAACAGTGCGTGTCGGCTGGGTTCATATTTGGGTAAATATTCATTGCAACAGGAAGATTTACACTCTCTTACAGATTTTGATCTTTTTTAACAGAACACAACTCAAATGCCATTGGGTTCTTTGGTGAAAAATGGATTTGATCTATTCTAATTCGGAGTTCACGAGTTTAAAACAAATCTATTAAGCTCCGTTTGGTTAGGTGGAATCAACTAGAAAAGAAAGGAAAGAAAAAAATTTTAAACTTTTTTGGAGTTTGGATAGAAGGAAAAAGAAAAGAAAGAGAAAATCTAGTTTCCCGCATCGGTCTATTTGTCCCCAAAAATTTCACGCACGCGAAAATAGTATTTTTCTGTGAAAGGAGTTCATTTTATTTAACTTTTCTATTTTATCCAACTAATTTGTTTGTATTTGTTATTAGGTAATTCTCTCTTTTGTGACTTTGTGAGTTTTCAACAACTATTTTTATGGTTCAAAAATAAAAGAAAAAAAAAATATTAATATTTAGTTGAGCCTGTTCTCTAATTATGTGTAATCCAACCTTTAAAAATTAGTTTACCTTATTTTATTATAATTTTTTTTTTTTTTTTTTTTTTTTTTTTTTTTTTTTTTTTATCATCTATTGAACAATATTTATTTTTTAAATTCTAACTGATATAAAAGTAATTTTGGTAAGTCGAAATTCTTTCTCGAAAGACTTTAATACTAACCAAATTCATGGTAAAATAGATCTTGCTTCTAAATAGAATTTTTTATTTTTTTTAATCCTCTGTTCTATGTTGCAATTCTAGCTACTCATAACCTGGTATGTGTATGTGTATATATATATATATATATATATATATATATATCTTTTATATGGTGAAATATTTAATTTTTCTCCAAACAGTAGTCTCTAATTTTTTTTTATTTTTTATTTATTTATCTTAAAACTAATAATTAGTTTTATCTAGAAAATATTATGAAGCCTTATTCTAAATATAAATAATAAAAATAAATATAAACAATTATATATTTGAATTTAATAATTTATCATTTTAATTTATAAGGGTAGTTTTAGTATTTTTTTTACAATTTTCTTGGATAAATTTTTATACTAACCAAATGCATACTAAAAAATCTTTATTCTTTTTATTCACTTCACTTTCTATTTCTTTTCTTTTCTAACTTATTTTCATCTAACCAAACATAGCCTTACAAATCTATTACGTACCTCTGATCCTTTTTAGAACTTTGACCTTTGCCTAAAGGCCCCTACCCAAAATTCAGATTTGCCCCTTGCCACAAGGCCCGAACCAAAAAGAAGAGATTGGCACACAACAGAAAACAAGTCTTCGTGTAACCATTACTGGTGATGGTGTAATAATTAATGGTAAGCTTTTCAGGTTAGTTGGGCACGTATGGGCCCACGAAAACCGATGGGTCCCTTTCGAGAAGCAAACAAGAGGGACCACTTTAAGCAAGTGGGTTCATGGTGGTCATGCCCTTGGTGGCCTACTACTAAGTGGGCCACATTTCAAATAGATGAGTGAGTGTGGACCCTTAGCTCATCCATCTCAGGCCTGATAAATGGTTGGGCCCACCAACAACGCCACTAGGGGCTCCACCACCAGCCATCATCCACAAAGTTCCGGTGCATGCACTCTCCTGTGATCGGTCCCACTTAAGTGTTAGCGTGGGACCCACTTTCACGAATGCTGATCACAGCGGCATCTTGTGGTTCGGGTGGGCCCGGAAGAGGTTAAAATGAATGAATTGGGCTAATCCGTGGGATTGAAAATTCGTACTGGGGTTACGCTAGCTGGCACTGCCTTTCAAGTTGCGTGTGTCTTGCATCATCCTTGTATGATCAGCGCCACAGTAAAATTTCCCATCATTTATCACGTAGTATAATTTTACTTTATCTCTAATTTATTTATATATATTTTTTGGTATCCATAAGTCCATATTTTATTGATGGGCGGTTTTATAAACTTGAAAAAATAAAAATAAAAACATAAAATTATAAAATTGTAGTTCAACAAAGAAAATGTGTTTGGACCAAATTTAATTCAAATCGATTGTGAATCCCACACTCACTTTACGTATGTCAACTTGGGAAGCTCCACTTTCCTTGCCTACTTGTGTAGAAGAAGGAAGTAGTTCGAGTGAGTAGGGAATTTTTCTGTTTTAGTCTCCACTTTTGATTCGAATTAACTAACCCTATTCTAGCACAACAGCAAAACAGCTTCTATGCCCATTTGGGATGTAGTGTGAAGCAACGTTCTCCCCCCTTGTTGATAAAAGTTCTCTGCTTTATCAGGTTATCAGCTCGTGCTTGTAATTATCCTAGTATATAATGTGATCTCATCCGCTGTTCTCCGTCGAAGTTTCAGCAATCCATTCATTGAGAGGCGGGTATTCCTTGATTCTGATTTGTAGTTGGATGATGATGATTGGGCCCTTAAGTAACAAAATTTATAAATAAATAATAATAATAATTTTTATTTTTTATTTTTTTATTTTTTATTTTTATGAAAAATAATCGACTGAAGACACTACACAACACACTTTTATTATACTTATAAATTTATTAAAAAGAATAAAACCCAAAGTGGATTCATTCGATTTTGGTCTCACTAAATGTGTATAAATTGAGAAGAGAAATTTGCAATGAAGTAGAATAAAAACCCATTTTCATCTCGTAATTGATACTGAGTAGGAAAAATAACGGAAGAAACATAAAAAGACACCATTTTAACTAAAAGGGGTGACATAGAATCCCAAATTCTAATTGTTGTGAAGGAGCAATTTAGTAATAATAAACCAAATGAGCAATATTTTTTTCATCTCGTAATTATTTTGCTTTTCTCCTGAAAGGTGGACTTTAATTTTTCATATTTCTGCCATACTACAAAATTTTCATTTTCGGATGACAATTTTGTAAGATACGTTTACTCAAGAATTATACTATATATATATATATATATATATAATTTGGGTTTAACATTAAAAAAAAATCATGTATACAAAAGTTGAGTGGGGGGTCCAACTTAACCCTACTTGGCTCTGCCGACTACAACTGTGCACTCACTCATGTGATATATAATCAACTTATTCTTTTTGTTGCATGCCATATCAATTCCCATATATTCATCTAATTCAAAGGATAAGGTAGGTCTATCATTATTTCATTACTGAAATAAAAAATAAAATAAAATAAAAAACATTCCTTCTTAAGAATCTAATATAGTGATAATTAAAAACATCCAATGCCGTTTGATTCAGTAAACACTGTAATCTTATCTTACAAAATGTTACAAAATCTTACAAAATGTCCTAAAAATTCAATCAATAATAATAAAATAAATTTGAAAAGGACGATAAGTCTTATGATTCATCAACAGACTAATAACAGTGTAGAACTAAACAAACACATCGTGACAGAAATAATTAGGCCATGAAAGTGATAATCTGATGGATTTCCTTTTCATGTAAATGACAATTCCCTCCTTGTAATTTATTATTATTTATTGCTGGAAGTTGGTAGCCTCTGGTACTCCACAGAATTCGGGATGACAGTGGGGTGGGTTTGACTGACCCTTATTCCGTTCCGTTAGAAAATTCGTCACACTAATTTCTATCCTGCTTCAGAGCGAGTTTGTAATTGTTATATCATCTTCGCTCCTACTCCGATAGACAAAGTATTGACTCAGCCCTGCATATTCCTTCATTTAATTCCGAGGCGGGATGAGTTATGTCACTTTTATTATGTAAGTAAAAAAAAAAAAAAACTAGCCCTTACTTCTGAACGGGTTTATAATTGTTATAAAATCCATCATACTCCGCTTGTACTTCGGGTTTAATTATTAAACCTTACTCTACACCGTTGGAAAATTCGTACCAATTTCGCTCTTACTTCGGAATGGTTTTGTAACTGTTATATCATCTTTGCTCCTATTCTGGTAGAAAAAGGATCGACTCCGCCCTGTATCCTCCGTTTAATTGCAAGGTGATGCGGGTTATGTCACTTTTATTATATAGTTTAAAAAACAAACAAACTAGTTCAACGTGCTCAAATTGGGATGATAAATAAGCTGATCCAACTTTCAAATTACTAAATACGTAGTAGTAAATATTAATATTTACTAACAGCTCCAAAAAAGAAACAAGGGTTTAATAATATTTAATATATGTTATATATATATATATATAATTTAAAAGCACATATATAATCGGGACGGAGTTGGGGCAAATTAATCACTAATTTCGTCCTTGCCCCAAATTCGTTTCGAATTTTTAATTATTTTATTATATTCATTCCAAACTTATTTAGAGGACTATCAAATCCGCTCCATTAGGTGTGAAGCGGGGCTGAAACTCGTTGGGTTAGAGAAAATTGTCATTCTATTAAGTACAAGGTATTATGGTCATGAAATTTGCAATAAATCAATTAATATAAATTCTTAAATACAAAAATCATACATATTATCATGTCAATACTATTTTATGAATTATGGTGCTCCTATAATTTTCACTCCCATCATCATTATTATATTACTACGAGTACTATTTTATGGCAACAAAGATATTGTAATATTCCAGTATAAATTTCAAAAGGTACAAGTGTTAGTTACAATTTAGTGTCTTAGAATATTTGATATCAAATTACGGTTTTCACATGTAAATTCAATGTTATGTGCCTCAAATGAAATGAATATGTCGTGAAACATAAACCACTTTATTAAATGAATCATAACGGGTTTTGATTCCATCCTATTTTGTCAAGTTGACATTTTTAAATTTAATTTTATTGTGTTATGATTTTTTTTTTTTTTTTTTTTTTTTTAAAATTTTTAAATAGTTAGTACTCACACACATGCCTCAATTGAGGTTCAAACTCTTGACATTCTTTTAGAAAATAAGGGCTTGGTACCACTAGGCCACAGGAAGCGAATTGCATTACATTTAGCTTAATTTGTAGTGTTTTGTTGTAAATTTTTTTTAAGAATTTTAATTATTTTTTAAAACCCCATTATATATAATTTTATTATATTATATATAATTGGTCGAATTGTATAAAATCTTCATGACTTAGGGTCTGTTTTGTATGTGTTTTGTTTTTGGTGTTTATGTTTTTGTCAGGTTCTGTAGCAATGAACAGTTAAAAAAACATGCTTGGTACAAATTATTTTGTTTTGCACAATGTCAAAACATTTCGTAAATAGTGACAAAAAATTAAAACGCCAATTTTGTGTTTTTATATATGTTTATGCACGGTAGCGATGAATTGTATTTTTTTATTTATTTTAAAAAAAAACTCTTAAATAACATTTTTAAACTAACCATTATATTTTTCAAATTTGCATAACTTTTTTTTATCAAATATGTTTTCATGTTTTTACTTTAAAAAATCTTGCAACACATAAACGATACCAAACACGCTTTCGATTACTCTTCAAAACACTCTGGCATATTAGTAAATTCAAATTTCTCTTATTCTGTTTCGAGTTAAAACAAAACTTCAAAGACATAACGCGTAACAAACAGATTCTTAGTGAGTATTTTAGTAAATGAAACCCCTCTCATTAATTAGAGAGAGAGTTTTTTTTTACAAAAAAAATAATAATAATAAAATAAAAAATTTAATGTAAAACAATGCGAGTCAAGAGATGTTTTATTTATTTATTTTTGAATGCTTTGGCAAATGCACATAAATTAAGAACTTTTCCAGAATGCAAGTATATGCTCTCTTTTTTTTCTGTAAATCCAATCATAATGTGAAAGTATTTAAATCCCATTTTGTCTTAATGGAAGCTCCAATATTCACAGGATTGAACATGTTTTTTTTCCTTTCTTTTCACATAATTGCTTGTCAATTTGAGCAATTATTTTTTATTAAAACACACTTGAATATGCTGAGTGCATGTTGATACTATTTCGAAAATTATTTTTCTATTTTTATACCAAAATGACACAACAAATGTGTTGTCTAAAGTTTTGTCAAATCTATCATTATTTTTTTCTTTCTTCTAAAAAACAATACGTTTCTAATAAATTATAACGAACATTTTTTACATCTAGCATTCTAACTTATAAATGAACAGAATATAATCGTTTGCTAAATTTTGCATTTCCAAAAACTGAAAATTAAGAATAAGAATAAGAATCTCGAAAAGATGAAAATGTAAACAATACCTCCCATGTCAATCTCATTCATGAAAAAGTTGCCACTTTTTTCCATATATGTTGCCAAAACCAATTTTATTTTATTTTTCTTTGGTCAATCAATTATAGATGAGTTCTATTTTGAGCTATACCAATAAAGCCCATACCCTTTGTTGTTCATATCTAAGAAAAAAAAAGCTTGTTTGGTAGAACCTAAAATCACTTCCAATTCCGCAGAAAATGTTTTCCCTTCATTTTTATTTTTGATTGGAAACTGGAAAGTCCACACGACCTGGACGATTAAAAGGAAAACCAAACAGAAAAGTGGCGGGGCCCACAGAAGTTTTATCTGGTTCATTGGAGCTTTGACCCAAAACCATTTGATGAATCCTGTGAAGTGGGAGCCCACCACGTGTCATCATCTTGTAGGTCCACTGAGTTGTCCGTTTTTAATAGACTGATAACCGTAAGATTTTTCTCATCAAATATTAGGTAGATGATAATCAGTGGTTATATACTGAGTGCCTCTCTTTACGAAAGGGTAATTCTAGGGTTCGTTCATTTCTCCTTCGGTCTGTGTCTTTGGGTTTCTCCTTATTTGTTTCTCCCATTTTCTCTCTCTAAAATATTTCTCTCTCTCTAAGATGATACTGACACAGATGTTCTGATTATCTTCCATTCTCTCTGAGTCTTCTGTGTGTGATTCTTTAAGGGTCTTTGCTAATTCTACTGAGATTTTATTTGTTCTCAGCTGGTCATGGCTACAATACAGAAACAAGAGCTTGAAGGAGAAAACAGACGAACCGCTGATCAGAGAATCAACGGTATAGGAAACGTGGGTTCAATTGATCACAACGTTGACGTTCCATCTCATAAACCACCACCGGCAGCGCCACCACAAGAAACACTGCCCACGGCTGAGAAAACCCAATTGCCACCGCGCACGGAGGCTTCGGTGTTGTTTAAGGAGGAACCGGAGTTTGAGGAGAGGTCAACGGCGGAGCCGATTAGTATGTTGCCGGTGGCGATGCCGATTCCGGTGCAGATGAGACCAGCGGTGGCGCAGCCGCCGAAGAGGGCGTCTACAAAGGACCGCCACACGAAGGTGGAGGGCCGTGGGCGGAGAATCCGGATGCCGGCCACCTGCGCCGCCAGGATCTTCCAACTGACCCGAGAGCTCGGCCACAAGTCCGACGGCGAAACCATCCGGTGGCTGCTGGAGCACGCGGAGCCCGCCATCATCGCCGCCACAGGGACCGGCACCGTCCCCGCCATCGCCATGTCCGTCGGTGGAACCCTAAAAATCCCAACTACCTCCGCCGCCGCGAACGACGGCGACCCCACAAAGAAGAAACGCAAGCGTCCAGCAAACAGCGAGTACGTCGACGTCAACAACGACACCGTTTCGGTCCCCTCCGGTCTGGCACCAATTGGAGCAGCGACACCTCCCCAAACACTGGTGCCCATGTGGGCCATACCATCAAATGCAGCTCCAACATTTTGGATGATTCCATCCACAACCGCCATTGCTGGGCCTTCAAATCAACCCCAATTTTGGACATTTCCGACCACGGCCACGCCGTTGATCAATTTATCAGCAAGACCCATTTCATCTTTCGTAGCGTCAATGCAACCCACAATCAATATCAGCACAGCGACGCCAGTAGAGCTTCAAGCTTTGCCAACCTCTGTCACTGCAAGTTCCACAGTCGGTCCCAAAACTGAAAGAACAGTTTCAACTAGTGCCCCAAGTTCAACTTCTACGGCTAAATCTCCAATGCTCAGAGACTTTTCGTTGGAGATTTATGATAAACAGGAGCTTCAGTTCATGGGTTCACGCTCTGCTAATCCCCAAACACCTTCTTCCAAACAATGAAGATTAGGGCTTCGAATCTTTTGATCATTCCGCCATGAATGTTTTGAGCTTCAACTTTCTCACTCTAGAATCTCTCTCTAGTTTTTGGTGTGGGTGGGGATCACGTGCGCACGTGAGGTCGAGTTTAAAGGTATGCACGTGCGAAGTGGGATCAGATTAGGCGAAGGGCGAGGAGTTTGTTGGGGGTGTGGGGTTGGTGGGGACCACTAAAATGGTGGGTCAAAGCTTTGATACAAGCAAAGGGCGCAGCGTGTACCGTGCAAAAGGGTGGGGCTTAGGCCCTTTTTTCTTTCTGTGTGTGGGCCACCTAGTCTGTCTGTCATGAGATGGTGGGTTGGGGGCCCCAAGGAGGATGAGGTTGTGGGGCCCATAAGAAACCGTTCAACAAGGTGGCCAAGTGGTGGTCCCATATATCTGCTGATACAACCGAGACGGAGTGGGGAAAGTTTGCGGCTTAGATTCAGACACGTGGCTGTCCTTTTAAAGTAGGAATAGATGGTGGGCCACGTTTTTATGCTGCAACACGTGGACCATCTGGTGGGCTGGTGAGGATCTGGACCGTTTATTGGTACGTGATAGTGATTATCATAATAAGTTTGATCACGGGGGCACATTGGAGGACTCGTGCATTCGGTCTTTGCATTGATAGTGTGTATTTTATAGTTAAATTCGACTCAATTGTTAAGAGTGCAAATTCTTGGCATATTTAAAACAAAATCTCATATTCAAACTTAATTTTTTGTTTTATACTATGAACAAGTTATATATATATATATATATATATATATATATATTATATCGTGGAATTAGGGGACTCATGGCTATATACTCCAAATATCGATTAAATAGATTAAACTTGAGTGTTTTATGTGTTATGTAGAATTAGATTGCACTAGACAAATATGGAATACTAGAAATTCAAGAGGATTCAAACATCTAATCTGATGAGAAAGTCGTATTATTAGATTACCTCCTTAAAGACTTAAAAGTTTATGTGGGTAGAGATTGTAGTAGCACAGAGATCATTGAATAGAAGAAATATATTTTCCATAAGAACATACATATAAATTGAAATTTTCATGATATTCAAATTTTATTTTCAGAGTTCTCTATACAAATGATCCGTGGTACAAGCTTTTTCAAGAACATTATAAAAGTTATTTGTTAAATAATAATAATAATAATAATAATAATAATAATAATAATACGGAGTAATAATTAATTTTAACAGTCAACCTAATTTTCAAAGTCATTTATTAGTTTATTTGTCAAAAAATAGTAATAATAATACCCAGTAATAATTAATTTTAATAGTCAACCTAATCTTCAAACTCAAATCACTTCAAATTTATTAGTTTATGATGTTTATCCACAGTTCTAATTCCAACTGTGGAGTACAAAAAAACTTTTGAAGGTTTTGTCAAAATAATTTAAATACAAAAATAATATTGTCAAAATAATTTAAGAACAGAAGTATGTGAAGTATAAGAGACAAAATACATTTATTTTATTTTTCTTCCTTTTCTTTTTTCTTTAACATTGCATTAGCATAATTAAAAAATATACATTTAAAATTTTAAAACATTTATCGTTATATTCTTTTCTTATAACTAGGATCAAACCAGGGTGATAGACTTGAATTTTCACCGTCGGGTTCTCTATTTAACGGGCAAAGATCAATATCAAACTTTTTAAATTTATTTATTTATTCTTAGAGCACGTGTATCCTCTTCATAACACACGCATCATTTAAGTGATGAGTACGGTTTGAAAATGAGACTTCAATAATTTACTTTTTAAATTCTTACTTACACCGTTATACCTTTAAAACTAAGACCAATATCAAACGAGAGAAGCGAAGCAAAAGGGTCTTTTATTAGGGTGATGGAGTCGTGTCATTAACCCTTGTCCATGGTACTTTATTATAGTGACATTGACTTTACTTAACAAACTCTAATTTTTAAAATGTTTTCACGTGACAAATTTTTACTCCTTTTGCCTCAAGCTAAAATTTATTTTTAAAATTTTAAAATTTTTAAGAATATGAATATCAATAAATTTTATTATAGTGATAGTGAATGAATTATCAAAATATTTATATTAAATTTGTGTAAATGTAATTATTTACTTTTATAAGTTCAATACTATAACATTAAATTGATAATATTACAAAAAATAATAATAATTTGACTTTTCAAATGAGATATCTATTTTTATACAACAAAAAATGAAAAATGTGGACTTTTTTCCCTTTTCTTTGAGTAGACGTAGCATAACAATGTGACTGGAAAGACAATTGCATTATTCAGAGAATAATCCTTGAACTCTACCTATTTCTTTCAACAATTAAGAGTTTGGATTCCCCAACTTCAAGGTTGTGCTTGACTGTTACAAAACATATGAGATTTTGGACATATTATGTCTTCATCTAAACACATAAGAGGACCTGATTAGTGTGTTATTAGAAATAATTCTTAATTTTTAATTAGGTTTTTGAAAACATAAAACTAAATCAAAAAAAGTTGCTTTTCTTTTTCCTTTTATGTTAAGAAATTTTTATTTTGAGGAGATTTAAATTATCTTCCTTTCACAATGAGTTACAATATTCAAAACTGACAATTATATTGTAACGGAGGAAGCATTAGATCACAAATCTAGTGGATAATCAAGTAAACCCTTAAAACTCTTAACTTTTTATTTTTTATTTTTACTTTTACTTAAAAGAATAAACTAATACTAATAAACATGGTTAAAAGTTATAAAATTTATTGAGAGTTTGTTACTTTCAGTGATAAAATCTTTTATACTTTAGAGAGTCTAGATGGCGTTTATATATGTGCATAAATGGTCAAATTTTAGCGAGTGTACTCTGTTTGATTGGTGTAGGAACAGAAACAAATGCACTGAAGGCAGTGGCTTTATTTAGTTTCTTATATTTTATTATTCTTTTTATTTTGAGGATTTACCTGTCTTCGAAACATTTCTTTTTGGCATTTTGAATTATTATCGAATGAGAAATTTTGGATATTTTTTTCCTTTCTTTCATTCTCTCTCAGTTTTTTTTTTTTTTTTTTTTTTTTTTTTTTTTTTTTTTATAAATTGAAAATTTATTTTATTCTTCACCTTAACAAAAAAATTCACACATAATTTTGTTTCTAAGAGAATTTTAAACTCTGTATTTTCTATATATTTGTTTTTAACTATTCTATTTTATACTTTAGAAAGTAAGTAACACTTAAACTATGATGGTAAATTGAGAATGAAAAATAATAGAAATTAGGAGCTAATAAATTGACAATTTGATATTGTTTGTGTTGAATGACAGAAGTAATTGACAGGAAATGGGCATTTGAACAAAGCAAATGACACCGTTTCAAATTCAAAGACCATCATTCAGAATATATTCCGAATTATGGTTTCATTTCATTATAAGATAGGACGAGTGCAGACTTGCGGACCCGTTCCGCGTGAGTCCCGCTCTCACGTGACCTAATGTGGGCCATTAAAGGTGGGTGCCGCTATTGTTAGACAGACTGGATCCAAGTGTCGGATGGTCCACACAATAAGTTTGGTGGTCCACGTGTACGGTGCACGTCGAAGTTCTTGAAACAGTGGGATCCTGAATGTGGTGCGATTCATGTGTGTGAATTCATGGTCGGTCCCATTTGCTACGCCATGCCCACCCTTATTTTATTATTGTCACCACCATATTCATCATTTTCTCCAAACGTCCCTCTGCCAAACTAGGTAAATGTTTGAATCCACAAGTATGAAAATGTGATTTTGCATTTGTGTGTCTCAAATGTATTACCTAAAAATAACATCTAATAGGAGAATTAATCTTGTATGTTCAATAATGAACAATTATTACCACATCAACACATTGGGAGTTAAGAGTTATGACACATAATTAACTACCTAATAAAACAAATAGATTTAAGGAGTTGGTCTAATGAGTTCTCTTTTTTTAAATAATGGTAATAAAATGTTTTAGTGTATTTTGTTATCAAATGACATTTGGCCTAGCGATATAACCATATAACCACTCCATTTTCAAAGAGAGTGGAGGAATTTGAACCTGGACATGGACAAAAAGAGTTTGTGTATTTATTTGCTTTACCATTCAAAAATAAAAATATAAATCACGTATTTTCTTATATATAAAATCATCATATTAGCTTTTCCTTTTTTCTTTCTCCAATCAATTTATTACTCCATCTATTCCAAAAATGTGTCCCTTTTGAGATTTTTTTGAAGAAATGTGACTAATTGTGAGTCACAATTTCCAATATATATATATATATATATATTGTCAATCTTTATAGAGTCATTTATCATAATTACTTATAGTAAAAAGTTTAGAATTCACGACTTATGCGTTCAAATAAATTGAAGGAAATTATGAAAAGAGATACTATGCTTTTAATTTATCCTTAAGTATATATTCGTTTTCAGTTGACATCGTAAAACTCTTATACTTGTTTTATAGATTTTTAACACAAGTATAATGGTAAAAGAAATTCATGTATACTAAATCTAGATGAGTAGAGTAAGTTTTACCATTTTTATTACTCTAATACAATTTTATTAATGTATTTATTGGAATGTTTTTGAAAGATTACAAGTGCACCTAACTATTGTAATTTACATAGTATTTATTTTGGTGAGTCTTATTTGTTAATTTTTTTGCAAATGGATGTAAATTTTGCTGGTGTGGAAATTCTAATAGTATTGGCCACGTGGAAATGTTTGTGGGACCGCAGCTCCATCACCACCAATACCAGCCATGCTAAAAGTGGGGGTGTAGTTAAGAGATGGACCATTAATCTTCTGAAAAAGTAGAGAAGGGTTAATGGACGGATCAGATTCCACACGGTGAGTGAAATTAATACGTCTCTAGGGCTCCTTTTTTATTCTGCTATCCTGTTAAGAATATGGGTTGTCTTACCCAAAAAAAAAGAAAGGCAAAAAATAAATAAATGGGTCCACATGCTGGTGGTCCCATCTAATATGTGGGCCCCGGACGAGCTGGATCGTAGCACTGTGGGGTTGGTCAGACGGCTGAGGCCACACCACTTACTCAATGTAGGATACCTATCTGAACCAAACCAACATGGATAGCTCATTCAATAAGGAGTTTTTATTGAATGAAATCTAAGAAGACACTCCTTTGAGCCGTACCGGTATTCTATTCGTGTCGGACACTGACACTTAGAATTGCAAATGAATCTGTTCATGAACAGTTCAGAGTCAGCTCGTTAAGGACTTATTCGTTTAGCAAACGAGCTGAGCTTGAACACAAATTTTGAGCTCGTTTAATGAACGAGCCAAACCCGATCAATGGTAGGCTCGGTTCGTTAGGTTCGTGAACAAGCTCGTTTATTAGTAATTTATAAGTTTTTGATCCAGCCCAACATATTTGATCCATTATTACATGAGCCTATTTGTAAAATACATTCCTATTAAACCCAACAAAAAATGACCCATATTTATTTCATTTTAAATATCCAACAACATACCCATTTATGTTAAGTTTGCTAACACAAACCAAATCCCTAAAATCTTAGATCATTGTCTGCAACGATGTGCATCCGGCATCCGTGACGTTCTTCTTCTCACTTTATGCAACAATCGGCAACGATCACTTAACCAACTTTCCTTTCATCGGCCCTTCAATATTTCCAAAGATCGGTGACGTTTAACCTCTCCTTTCACCGGCCCTTCAATATTTCCAGAGATCGGCAACGACCAGCCTCTCCCTTCACCCAGGGATGGCTCTGAGATTGAAAAAATCTTGAGAGGCCTTAGGCGAACTTTAAAAGTGAGGCCCTTTATACATTTATTTATTTATTTATTTATTTTGAGATCCCTTAAATGATTTGTTACATTTGGTTACAAATTTTTTTTTTAGGTGGCCTATCATTCATGGGCATATAAATTTTGAGGCCCCTTAAATGATTTGCTGCATTTGGTTTCAATTTTTTTTTTTAGTGGCCCATCATTCATGGGCCTATAAATTTTGAAGCCCTAGGCGACCGCCTTGGTAGCCTTGGGTCAGGGCCGGTCCTGCCTTCACCGACACTTCAAGTTTTCATATTCTTTAAAGACAAGAATGGAGGAATAATGAAATTAATTGCAAAAAGGGAGCCATGCACAATTATTGATGATATCATACAACCTCAAGGTATATATATATATATATATATACACACATTTATAACTCAAGATTTTTAATTTTTATTTTTTCAAATCAGAAGGCAAACAAAAAAATAATTCAATGCCAATGCAAATTATAGAATAAAATAGTTAGTGCAACTGTGCTGAATATTTTGATATATAAAATGATTGAATCACCCTCGATATATCATTAAATATTTTTTTGAGAGGGGGTATATTTGAACTTTCAAAAAAAAAAAACACACACATAATAGTATTAATTTTTGTTTTTTCAGGGGGCAAACACCCCTCTTGGGCCCACAGTCCCTCCGCCCCTGTATATACAATACTCTGTTGTGAATTATATATATATATATATATGTGTGTGCGTGCATATGTGTTCATATCTTCCTCTTCTTCCGGTTCACAAATTGCATATAGAATCAGAATTGAAAATAAAATGGTGCAAACGAGCCCGAGCTCGAGCTTGCCAATATTCTGACGAGCCCGAGCACCTCCCAGATTGCGGCGAACCGAGACCAAGCATGTCAAAACTCGGCTCGGCTTGGTTCATTTGCATCCAGGCCGGCCTTGGGGACGTGGAAAAAAAAAAAATTTAAGTTAGGATAAGTCTTGGTCGCCTTGGGCCTCGAGGCCCATAGATGGATAAAAAAATAAAAAATAAAAAATAAATTAAGGTAGGGCAAGTTTCAGACGACACAATCCTGCTCAGACACTCCTCTGGGCGTAGCCTCCGCTATCGCCTCAGGTGACAAGGTATGTCCATCCTCTCTCTCTCTTCTCTCTCCTTTTGCATGAATCGATATTTTATATATATATTTTTCTTTCGTTCATCTCATCATTTGATTTATTCTAACTTTGGTTCGTTTGAATAGGGCTTTACCTTTGTTTCAATAGTGAAAAGTAGCTTCGAAACCAGGGTTTTTTTGTGTGTCTGTAGTCACTGTGTGTGATGGCTATGGTTCTCTTAGTATTTTAATAAATGTGTGCTTTTCTACATGTGTCTTTCATGGCGATCGAGTCCATAATCTATGGCAGGTACCTTTTTTTTTTCCTCTCCCTAATTCCACGCCAATTCACAACAGCAGCAACCATACCCCTTTTCCTCATATTTTTTTGCATTTTCACATCCAATCCTACGAAAATTAAGGATCCCTTCTAGTGGGTTGAACCGTCGAGGTAATAACTAACTTTTTCGATCTCTAAATTATGCTCATACTTAAAAGTTTTTTTATATTTTATTTTTATATGAAATACATACCACCATTATTGATGTTATTTGAAGTTGGCTCAGCTACGATTTCAGTTAATAATACTGTCAAAGCACTTGCCATTAGAATGTACAAACACATGGAAATCAAGAACAGGCTTTAACAAAACAAAAGTTAATGGTTTTTCTATTAATTTGCACAGGTCTTCTGCACTGCTACTAAAGTTGATTCCTCATCCTGAAATCAAGAAAGGGGTAATTGGCTCCCAAAAAAAAACACCCACAAAGTGTAGTGTAGGTAATATAAAGAGTGAAAGACAAAACTATATATGATGGTGGATGCCACATATAACCTAAAACTCTAAAAGTCCCACCACTTCTTCAGTGCTACAAGTTCAGCCTACTATTTATATATAGTTACCTCATCTCCACATATTTTTGTCATCTGTAATCATCAAATTTTAGTAGCTGTATAAACAATGACTGCAAAAGGATCTGCAGTTTTCTGTTCTCTAGTAAACTGTTCTCTTCATTTTTTATTTTGTGCCTGTGAAAATTTCGCACCCTTTAATTGATAAATTTATTGTTATTAGTTAGCTGTCTTATGCACACTGCACATGCGTACAATTATTTATTATTGTTATAGTTATTAGTTAGTTGTCTTATGCAAACTGCACAGACGCACAATTATTTATTGGTGGTGATAAAAATTTATAGTTATTAGTTAGTTGTCTTAAGCACATTGTACAGATACACAATTATTTATTAGTGGTGATAGATTTATAGTTATTAGTTAGTTGTCTTATGCACACTGTACAGGCACATAATTATTTGTTGGTGGTGATAAATTTATAGTTATTAGTTAGTTGTCTTATGCACAATGGACAGGCGCACAATTATATTAGTTGTAGAATTTGAAAACGTCTTAAAATTTCGCACTCTTAAATTTTTTTTTTTGCGTGTGAAACTTAAGGGCCTCACATTTGAAAGTTCGTTTAGGGCCTCTCAAAATATTTGGAATCTCAGGCCTGGCCCTGTTTGCAGCCCTACTTCACCGACACTTGAAGGGGTGTGATTGTTAATTTAGCAAACTTGAAGGGATGTGATTGTTCAAAAAAGAGCTAAGCAAACTTGAAGGGATGTGATTGTTCAAAAAGGAGCTAAGTTTCATCTGTCTGTCAATAGATCAAAGGGAATGTGAGTGTAATTAACCCAAAAAGAAAATAGCGTTTCCTTCCTAGCGCCAAATAGATTTTTCAATTTCTCTTACGCGACTATGCCCTAGCCCCAAAATTCCCAAATCCTCCAGCGATTTCTCTTTCTGACGTCATCTATCAGCTTTATCCGGCGTCAGTTACCGGTGAATAGCGGTGGCAATTCGTGTTTGTGGATCGTGTTCGTGTCGTGTCGATGTAAGGGTATTATACTAAATAGGTAAACCTAAACTAAACCCATTTAATAATCGTGTTAAGAATCCTCAATACAAACTCAACTTGTTTATTAAACAGGTAAACGTGTTAATCCGTTTAATGACCTGTTTATCAAAACGAGACATTTAATATTTAATCAAATACTAAATAATAGAAAACATTTGTCATAATTAATCCAAATATTCAAAATAAAAAGAAAAATCATAAGACATAGACAAGATTTATGTTGAAATAACTTAACTATCTATAGTAAATTGGTTTAAACAGGTAATATATTGCATAAGTTATATTTACGATTATAACATGTTGAGTTAAATGGGTCATAAACGTGTTACACGGGTTGAACCCTTCAACCCTAACCCGACACGGTTAAGTAAATGGGTTAATCTTGTTGACCCTTTTACTAGAAAGCACGGACACTCCAAAATGGGCGAAGAATCCGTGTCCGACACGGATACGCGTCGGACACGCTCCAACACATGTCGGACACGCCAAAAAACGTGTCTGGAATTTTTTATTTTTTATTTTATTTTCGGACACGACACGGACACTCTGCGGACACGGCACGGACGCTCCGCGGACACGGACATGGCATGGACACTTCTGGAATTTTTTTTTTTTTTTTTTGAATGCTGATATGTTCTTTTTTTTTTTTGTTTTGTACTACCCTTTTGGTATTGTAAATGGTAAAAGTTCTAGGTCAAATGATGGATGGGAATAGATTATAGTACACTGACTTGGTTTTGTATCTTTTTTGGGGACTAGCCTTTAGGTTTTTGTAAATGTTAAGTGCTAAAGTAAAGTCCTGAATGTTAAATAGTCATGAATGTTAATAGTCCTTTTTGTCTATGCTTTTGTATTTGGAGTAAAGTTGCAATGATGATTAAATGATACTAGTAATTATTTTAATGTCTTGTTTTTATTTGGTTTTATAACTCTGCAACATTGTTCTTTTATAGTTTATTAGTTATGAGTTATAATTTGTGTTTTTTTTTCATTGTGAGGTTGATGAAAAATAGTAACACTCAGTAATTTTTAAAGTACTACATCATATATATATATCTATATATATATACTATTTGCCGTGTCCGTGTCCTAATTTTTTTGGATTTGCCGTGTTGGTGTCGTGTCGTATCCGTGTCCGTGCTTCTTAGATTGTAAGAAACCTCCCTGACTTTTAACCATTTGCGGTAAACACCCCTTGCGAGTTTTTTTGACATCCCCCCCTCAATTAACTGAAGGGGGTTACGAAGACAGAAAATAACTAAAATATCCACCCACTAATTAGGCACTGTTTGGACATCTGCTTTATGCGTTCTTCTTCTTCTTCTTCTTTTAGTGTTGTTAAATGAGACGTGGTTTTTCTCTCGCTCTACTGTCTAAAACACACTCTTCAAGATCCAACAAAACTCAAACCCAATGCTCTCTCTCTCTCTCTCTCTCTCTAACATTATATGTCTCTTCTCTCTCCTCAGCACCACAATCATGGTTCGAAATCAGTCCTTCGTTGTACCACGCTGCTCCTATCTCTCTATGGTCAGATGACCCAAGGTTGATTTCTCATGATGTGTGATTAAGATGGTTTACTGGTATTAAGGCAGTGAGCTTTTTTGATGTGTGTGTGTGTGTGAACTCACCGGCGCAATATGAACAGATTGCCCTCTCATTAGAGGCCCTTGTTCTTATTATTCCATTCACCTTTAATGTTTGTATATCTATTTTGGCACCTTAGCTCTATTCTAGAAATCACCAGTGCATCCGCATCCATGCTTCTTTCTCATTCTTTTTTGATATATATATATATACATATTTCTTAGGGACACTGCTTGTTAAAATTTTATTCAAGTTCGCTGTAAGAGAGCCGGCTGAATTCCTAGTTTCTTTCCTTATGAGCATTTGTCCCCTCTAAATAGAAATTCTTGATTTTTCTATTATTGAAAATTTTATTTTTCAACCCTTCTTTCATCTGTATTACAACTGCTTTTGATGGCTTAACTTTGGTTCGTTTTGTATTCTTTCCCATAATGAATTTCAACCTTTTTTCTGCAAAAAAAGTGTAAAAAGATGGGGGAAAAAAAAAAAAGAAACAACATTTCTATTTTCCTTTTACTGATGGGAATTTACTAAAGAGAAAAATTTTAAATGAGCTACCATACCCCAGGACATTACAGCAATAGAAACGAACAGAAAGGATGCGAAACCCCGAAATGCCACACAACCAAGCAAAGGGTCAATCAACAACACATAAAAGTTGTTTTACATAAGTTTGTCATTTATCTTGTTCAGGTATTGTTTCAATAGCAGAGAATTTTTTGGTGGCCCATCTAAAATAAGGTACACTTTGCTAGTCTAGTTGTAGATGTCTTTGATGTTGAGATAGGAGAATTGTATATGGTAGAAGGCAGATAAAATACTTTGCAAGCATGACAGGAACCCATGAATCAAGCAATTTAGCTTCATTCATTGTTTGCCAAATTGTAGATTATGAGAAGGAGCTTAGATCATTGCAATATCCTAGACTAATTGCCTATCACGACAGTTCTAGCATTTAGCTATTTCCCTCCTTGATTGCAACTTTAACCTAATCAACTTTTAGACTCAGTTGATATTTTTTTGAACTATGCACAGCTGAGTTCCTAATTTCTTTTTCTGTTAGATTTATGCTAGATATCAATATAGTGTTCAAAGCATAAAGGAGTAGATTCCTCAAATCATTTCATTATTATATTCTTTCGGTACAGAAGTTATAATCTTAGAGAGAGAGAGAGGTTTGGGTTTGAGTTTTGTTAGATATTGAAGAGTATTTTAGACAGGAGAGAGATAAAAACGACGTCTCATTTAGCAAAAAAAAAGAAAAGAAAAGAAAAGAGAAAAAGCAAGCATAATGCAGATGTCCAAACAAAGCCTAATCAATGGTTGGGTATTTTAGTCATTTTTTATCTTCAGTAACCCCTCTCGGTTAATTGAGAAGGGGGGGGGGGGGGGGGGGGGGGGGGGTATGCCAAGAATTTTTAAAAGGGGTTTCTTGCAATTCAGCCGTTTTTTTTTTTTTTTTCCTTTATTGATGCTCTATTTTTTGCTACATATTCATTTGTAGGAAAAATCATAGTCGTGTTTTTGCTTGTGCACTTAAATGTATCCACACAAAATCTATATTTCCTTTTTTTTTTTTTTTTTTTTTTTTTGGGCTATATCCCAGTTGATATATATTGAGCTCCTGCTCATTTAATTGTTTTGGATACTGAGATTTGATTTTACAAATACTTGGATTGCCATTGAGTATTCGGTGGGTGCTACTTTGATTTAGCTGTCAAGGTGTTTTACATAATGCCTCAAAAAACTGGTGTCGGTACTAGGGTGTCCAAGTTACAGAGATTGTAAAATATGGCCTTCAAATATAAGGGAGAATCATAAGCTTATGACAGTATACTAAAAGCGGAAACAATGTCTAAAATAACTACTCCGTCTATCGTTTTAGCGAACTGTCAAAAATGACAACAATGCTTGTGAACACCTAATGAATGTAAATCAACTTTGATGAGCTTTTGGTTTGTTTCTTGTTTAAAAGAAGACACAATTAGCTTGTTTATTAGTTTAAAAGGAAAAATGTTTATCCATTGCATGCCAAAAGCAAGAGGGTCGAGATCATATATTGAGATAAATTATGATTTGTGATTATACAAGGAGGGCTTAGGCACTGTAGTATAGCATCTAGATTGTATAGAATTGAAATTTGAATTTGGTCAGCTCAGCTGTGGCATTATTTTTCTTATGTTTGTTATTACTGTTATTATTATAATTCTAGGTTTTTAATGGATGATTTCTAGACTCTGGAACCAGCGGAGTGCATTACAATTGATAATCTATCAATGTGCTTAACCCCAATATTCGATGTCTTAAATTTTGACATCTGTCTGTGCAGGTGATCATTATATTTGTTGCATCGAAAAAGTGAATACTTTTCGTTGAAGTTCTTGACATCAGAAGTGGTTCTTAACTCGCTATTGCTGCATTCTTCCCTCCTTTATGTTAATCTGATCTTATTTTTCTGGTTTGTTAATGGATGATGCTTCGTTACCAGTGTTCTCTTTACCAGAAAATATTCTCCAGCCATTGCTAACTGCTTCAAATTCCTCTACCCTAGAGAAAGCTCTAAAAATCCTAATAGATGTTTCGAGATCCCCTGACGGCCGCTCTGACCTTGCTTTCAAGAATGTTCTGCCAACGGTCCTTCTGCTCTGTCAGAACCTGTGTTACCCTTCTGCTAGTCACCTTCTCTTTTTGTCTCTGAAGCTCCTGAGAAACCTTTGTGCTGGAGAAGCAGCAAATCAAAAGTCTTTTATTGAAGAAAATGGGGTTAAAATTGTTTTACATGTGTTAAATTTTGTTGGGTTTACTTCTGATTCGGATTATGTGATAACTCGCATGGCTTTGCAAGTTCTGGCAAATGTTTCACTGGCTGGAGAAGACCATCAGCGTGCTATTTGGCATCAGTTTTTTCCACTCAAGTTTGTTGAGATTGCTAGAGTCCAGAAAAGGGAGACTTGCGATCCGCTGTGTATGGTTATTTATGCATGTTGCACCGGTAGTCATGAACTAATTGACGGGCTTTCTGGAGATCAAGGGTTGCCTGTCATGGCGGAAATTTTACAGACTACTTCAGCAGGTAAGTCTGAAAGCTGCTTTACTTGTGCTTTGTGTGTCTGGTTTCTTTTTTCTTAGTGATTTGATTATATGTCTGTACTTGGGACAAAAAACAAAGAAACAAAATCCTTATTCCTTTCTTTTTGAGTCTTACCAGTTGGCTTTGGTGAAGATTGGTTCAAATTGCTTCTGTCCATTATCTGCTTAGAAGAAAATCAATTTCCGCAATTGTTCTCTAAATTATGCCCACTTGACAATTCGGGAAACTGTAAAAGTGTCCAACCCAGGGGCGCTTTCGTATCAGAACAAGCATTTCTCTTGAATGTTCTATCAAAGATCTTGAATGAGCGACTTGGTGATGTATTTGTTTCCAATGACTTTGCTTTGTGTGTTCTTGATCTATTGAGAAAAGCTACTGGAGTTGTTGATTCTGTCTCAAGAAGAAAGTCTGGTCTTCCAACAGGATCTACCGTTGTTGACGTCCTAGGGTATTCCCTCACCATTTTGAGAGATATCTGCTCCTGTGATGGTTTAGGAGGATTTAAGGAGGGGGGTTCGGTAGATGTTGTTGATTCACTACTATCCTCGGGACTTCTAGAATTGCTTTTACGCTTGCTTCATGACCTCGAGCCTCCAGCAATGATAAGGAAAGCAATGAAACAAGGTGAGAACCAAGAAAGAACGACTTATTCAGCTAAGCTTTGTCTTTACGAAGGGTTTCGAAGAGACATTGTTGCAGTGATCGGCAACTGTGCATACAGGAGGAAGCGTGTGCAAGATGAAATTAGACAGAGGAATGGAATTCTTCTGCTATTGCAGCAATGTGTTATTGATGAAGATAACCCATACTTGAGGGAATGGGGTATCTGGTCAGTAAGGAACTTATTAGAAGGGAATGCAGAAAACCAAAAGGTAGTAGCTGAATTGGAGCTTCAAGGATCTGTTGATGTGCCTGAAATTGCTGGACTTGGTCTCCGAGTAGAGGTCGATGAGAAAACTCGTCGAGCAAAGCTTGTAAATGTCTCATGAGTGTTTCCTAAGCCTGTACCAAAAATTGCCTATATAGAGCTAATTAAATTATAGGGACCGAGTATTTCGTGCTGCTATGCTGGATTTTTGTATTCATTTAGGTTTTTTACTACTTTCCAGTTTTATCAAGGAAAGACACCATAGATTGCTTTCCATTGTGAGCATTTAAGTACAAATATATAAGGGAAGATATGGGAATTTCTATTTCACATCCTATTATTTCATTTCCAAAGGATTCTGATTTGATGGAGCAAAATTACAAGAGTTCTTAATAATAAAATAATCTGTTTTAAAAGTTAAATTTTCAATTTGATTGAATTAAATAAAATAATTATAAATATATTAAGAATTATTGTTAAGGTCCAAAATATTCTTCAAACTGTTATTTTAAAATACTAAAATTTTATTCTTATAGTTATATAATTCAAAAATATCAAAAAAGTTGGGAAATTATCGAACTGTTCAAAAAGTTAGGAAATTATCGAACTCTTGTTCAGTATTAATGGCTGATATTAAGGTGATACTAAATCTATGAAATTAATTAGTGAAACTATAACATTAATTAGTGAAATAATAGGTGTTAATTACTATCAAAAGTTTGGCATATACAAAGCTGATATAACAAGTGTTAAATATAAGTTAAAGATCTGGAGTCCATGAGACGGCATGTGTCCTGTAAATACAAGTTAAACATCTGGAGTTCATGAGAAGGCATGATCAAGAATGCCATTTGCATATGGTGAATACACTTGTAAGATAGAAAAAAATTATCTAAAAATGAATTTATACCAAGAAAAAAAAGTCACAATAGGTGCGGCAAATTTCGATGAAATTCTCTAATCTATTAAGTTGGCAAATGACATTCATCTTCAAACGTTTGCAACTTTTTGATTCAAAATATTAGGTTGGCAAATAACATTCATCTACAAAAGCTTGCAATATTTTTATTCAAGCATTAACTTTTCTACTGTAAGTTGTAACATAAATTTAATATTACAGTGACATTATGAGACCAACCTTCTAGACAAACTAAATTAAGAAAGATTTTATCTACAGAATTAAAAGATGAGCAATCATTTAGCATGGCAAATTACATCAAGAATGACAGGATGAGATACTTTCGTTACAGATTCATTTAACCCTATCAAATATGTAATTCTTATTTGCTAGTCAAACTAGTTCTCAATTATCTATTTTAATATTTTGAAATTATATAATTTTAACAAAGATATTTTGATATTTTGAAATAAGAGTTTGAAAGCCATTTTAAACATTAGCAATAATATTTGTAATTATTTTGAAGTGCTACTTGCTAAAGAGAATTTGAGAGAATGCACAAGACTTGTATGAATTTAGAAAGAAGTCTTACAACTTAATCACTTGCTGAGGAGTAAATCAACTCCCATTTCCGTATATAGGTCAAAAAATTTATAATGAATGACTAACATCTATGTAAGTGTAAACGATCTAACAGCCATGAGAATTCTAAAATGTGGTTTTAGAATACTCCATAGAATGATGTATATAAGATTACACATATTATGAGAATTTTAAAATGTAATTTATTAATTCAAAAATTGGATAGTTAGAACTTAAATGGTTTCTTCTAGACTTTTCATTGGCTAAATGAAACCTGCTAGATTGTTCTTGAAGTGCTCCAACAAGTGTTCCACATTGTGCATTGTATTGAGCACGGTTCAAATCTAGAAATTGAATTTATTTAGCCTAAATACCCCGCCAAGCGCAGCCATTTTAGGTATACATGCATAAATACTGCAACAATTATAGCGGAGCCACATAGGGTCCAGTCATCGGTGGGGGCAGCTAATTTCTTTGTTATTTTAATTTTGTATATAAACTTTTAATCAATTATATAAATGCCCAATTGAATTCCAATACAATTTTCAAAAAGACCCCCTTTACCATCCCAAAGTTCAAAAAGACCTATACATTCTCTTATAGACCTATATAATATATACACATATATTTTAAAAAAAAATTTAACATCATCACCCGTTCCACTCTTAAAATATGTTAATTATCACGTAATTTTGTTGCTAATCTTATCTTCTTCTCTTATTTTATTTTATTTTATTTTATACTTTATTGTATTTGTGTGTCTACCCATTTTTTAAAACAAAAAAAGGAAAAGAAAAAAACAATGATACATTTAAACACATATTCATCCAACTACTATTCCAGAAAATTCCATTCCTTTGAATTCTTGCTGATACAGTACATGATTTATTAAATTTTTTTTTTTGACATGTATAGTACATGAATTTCATCACGCTGAATACAACACATGGTATAAGATGTGATGATGACTATTGTATAAATCTGGTAACATTGTTGTGCACACAAAGGAAACCCCACACACAGAAAGAAAAAAAAAAAAAGAAGAAAAAAGAAAAAAGAAAAAGTATATACATCATCATTGGTATTTAATATCATTACATCAACACAACTCAAAACTGTAGTTCCACTCCTGATTTATAACTCAATTATTGTACACAATAATTTTCTTTTCTTTTTCTGGGTCAACTATCATCAGTTTGATCAGATGGTTAGATTCTCCTGAATGGCAAGAAATGATCCAACTATGTTCCCTCCCACATCTGGGAAAGTTTCACATCCAGGAAGGGGCTTAACCTTGCCCCCCCGATCAACTTCAACTGGGTATTTTAGGAGATGTCCCCTCATTTCTGTCACCTCGTTAGCTGCAAACTGCTTCCAGTTCATTTCACCCATTTCTCTAACTCGTTTCACACATTCCAGAGACTCTGGACGTGAAAAGCAATCCTCAACAACTCCAGTATGCTCTGCCCATAGCGACATTCTATATCCATAGATCTACAATACACAAATTTCCACATAGCAGCTGGTTAGATACCGTTGAACATCTGCACCCCAACCATGGAAATGCTCTGGAAAACAAAACGTAGACTACATCCACATAGAATGTCCTAGTGACCACTCAATATATCTACGAAGTTGACAAGGGACTTGGTATCACATGGAAATGCAATAATAGCTGATCACAGCTTTTCCTTGCATGCAGGTTGCCGTGCAAAACATTTCATTGCCTTTTCATGTCAAATAAATATTATTGCAATGGTGCTTTTCTCTGTTGCATCTTTCAAGAAAATTTGCTGTAACATATGTTTCAAACTCCCAAAAGAAAAAAATATTCTCGTCTATTAAGTGACAAGCTACCATGCGTGCTTGTCTTCAATTTCTCATCAACAAAACTTGGGAGAAAACTCCCTCTCCTCACTCTCTCTCTCCCCCCCACACACAAACACCAATACAACCGCTTTAACATATGTTAGAGAAAACATTCCTAAAAATAATGACTCATATGATACATGTTCAAATACTTCAAAATTGAATTTATGCTTGTCTTTTCTATCACAGGAAGTGAGTATTTTTGTATCTTAAGTAAAAAAAAAAAAAAAAATGACAGCTAAAAGTATTTATCATTTTTCCAAGTCCTATTTCCTTTCCCTACAAAAAACCAACAGATTTTGTACTATAGATAGTATGCAACACTAAAAGAAAATTTCACCCCTCCATATCTCCCTTCAAGCTCATCAAATAAATCATGAAAAATCAGCATCAAAATATTATCTGCTCATAAGTTACCTGTCCGCGTGGATAAGATAGCTTTCTAGACCACGTATGATGAGGCTGGTAGGCTCCCATTGCGATCTCAGTGTCTCTAGTGCCCTCCATGGAGCGCTGATTGATGTTGGCAGAACCTAATATTACATACTCATCATCCACTATCATGCCTTTTGAATGAACATAAATCATGAATCTCCGGTTCTTTCGACTGAGTGCCTAAAATCCAAAATATAGAAATTTATGTGATTGTTATGCAAAGACCAGAAACTTCAGGAACTATGTTCAGGTAACCAAAAAAATCACAAAACCCCCATGCATCAATCAAAACTGAAGAGGAATTGAAAGAATAAGACCACTATGTTGTTTTCTGGTAGCGAAGGAAACAATTTCTCTAGACACACACAAACACAAAAACAAAAATAAATAAATAATCACAAAAAAAAAAAAAAATTTTGAAAAGTGGTTTTTACATCAGAACAAGTGATGTATATCACTGACTACAGAAATTGTTAACTTGAGGGATAACGGGGAGAGACCTGAGGAGTGTTTGCCGCAGGACTTTCAGTGTTTGAAGTGTCACTCCAGCCTTCAGCCTCACGGTTTCCAAGACAGAAGAAGTTCAAATAATCTTGTGGTGTGAATGCATCCTCAAGCCCAACCTCCACTAAAGCCTTGTATATCGTCTCGTACATCATTTGCATTGTCTTGTGCTGTGACAGTCAGAATGATTACTACACGTCAACAAAGTTGTAATGCTAAGCTGGTTTGGGGTGATATAATGTTTAGCAGATTAATGATACATATTCTGATGTCCACTGAAACTGAATTAATTTACTGACAAGAAAAATATCACAGTTGCTAGAAGTTGTTCATTCTTAAAAGATTTTTCTGGAAGCATAATGCATTTCAAGATCAAAATCGTCTTGACTGACATACAAGTCAAGGCAAAATTGGTGCGTACCTGCCAAAATAAAATTCTCTGTGTAGCACCACCTGTTGGATTGCCCTCAGGCCACATTGGGATAACAATATACACTGCAAACCTCTCGTGTGATCTGATTTTATCGGCAATTTTAAGGGCAATTTCCATTGGAATCAAATTATTAGCACCTGTAGAAAGAGAATTTGCTCAAAATTCTGTACCGGTTAGTAAATCTTGCCAATAAACTAAGAAAACTCACCAACTTATAGTCCTTCTAATTCTGTAACTGAGAAAACAACAAAAGGAGAAGGCCAGCAGATACAGATCGCACGACAAACACACATTGGAAATTGCAGTCACTAACATTTCGACCTGTGTATATATATTTTAATTTCTAAATATAAATATTATATGGTGCCTTACCCCGACTTATACTAACTTGCAACTGAATATACATGTTTCATTATCACCGGGCTGCTATAAGCCACAATTTTAGTGACAAAATGAAATTTAAATATTTTTAAATCAAGTCTATTCCTCTCCCACTGACTGCTTTATACCTTATCAAGTGTCTTAATTCCTAAAAACTCTCAAAAATTATGCCCAGTTACCAGAGTGACTGAAATAATTTGTCCCTGATCCCTGTGGTTGTTGGGTCCAAACCACGTGCCTGACTCAACTATGAAATAGAAAATTTGATTAGTGTCAAACTGTTTAAGAGGATCCACCAAATTCCTAACTGAGTAACATGCAAAAGTGACCATAAGCAAAACATCAGAGACTTAGACCTGGTCTAGGGGGAGGTAACATAAGAGACTATGAAGTTCTAACTAACCTGGACTTGACAGATACCATTAGGACAGGTCCAAATTGATCCCACTTAAATTTGGAATACTAGAAGCCGCCAACTATTCAAGCTCTTCCCTACCCCACTCCCCAACGCACACACTCACGCACACACAAACACAAAAAGAAATTTCAAAATCAATAAGAAATGTCAAAGGCTGTCCACCATCCCAAGGAGGTATTCTCAGAGATTGCAGGGAATAGATTTTTAGCCTTCTCCAAGCCAGGTGGGTGAAAGGTATGCTACCATGGGGGAATATTGGCTCTTTGGGAAGCTTTCAAGAGCCTCTTTCATTGTCCTCAATAGTTCTTGTTGGAAGTTGATTCTTGTGCAGTAATGGGACGTTGAAGAAATGCATTTCAGTTCCTGGAAAGCATGATCTTCTGAACATAAATTCCCACCCCCAAAATTCCTCTCAGTTATCTTCATCTAAAGGCTCACATCAAATATGTGGAACCATCCTTCCAATAACTTTCTAAAACCCAGACTATGAACGTGCATGCCAGCCTTTAAGCATGAAGATCCAATCTAGAAAAGAATCACTGCGCATCACAAAAGATAAACAATACGGAACACAACTCTGAAGCCACCACACGAAAAAAGCCACTTGCTTTTGAGTATATAAAAGATGACATTTCCTATCGGTCAATTGGTCAATGCTAGGGATTTTATAAAGCACTCTTACCCAAACAACAAGGTCAATGTAACACCGTGTTTCCTTCAATAGGAAAGCAATTCTCACTTTAATTGTGATGCTTAGAAGGATTTCACCAAGAATGCTCCATTCTTGTTACTCATCGAGGGCTACAGGAACCCCCAATTCTCCAATGAACTCTGGATCTGAATAACAAAGAAAAGAAATGCCCAATCATATCCAGTCCCAAACTTCTGCTGTTCTAATATACATGGGATTCCAGTGTTACAAGACACCAATAATAATCCTGCACTATAGCTCCTTGTTTGTTGCAAAACTTAAAAGTTCAGAAAGGAAACCCACCAATATAATGCTGGAAGTGAATTTGCCTTCCATTACACACACAGAAAGCTACATACAGACCAAATCTGCTCCAAACACTTCTAATCCCTTTCCACAAACCTAACGGTGTACCCACCTCTCCTGAAAACCACTCACTCTCATGGCTTAGATATTTACAAATTCCATTATCCTATTAATAGCAAACCTTCATATCCACCTGCCCAAGGAACAGTTGTCCATAACCGGCAACTTTATGATATCAAGGAACCCAATCCTCCCCCTTTCCCCTTCCAAAACCAAAAATCTTAAAAATAAATAAAGCTACAGGATAATCATAACCCATTCTCAAGTCCACCAAATAGTGCTTAAAACCCATTAATTTGATATTTATTTAATATTACGTTACTCATACACCAAATCAGATTCATTTCTTTAAATTGATAAACCCAAAGCCAAACCATAGGTTTATAATAGACAAATTAAATTACCCAAGTTTCAACTCTTTTCCTTTATGAAGTGGATACATAAACTATTTGATAATGGCCCAATATTTAAGGGAACCAAAATGAGTCCATTCCTTTCAACTCAATGCAACTGAAGCTCCTCTCCAGTCACAAATTGACCCAACTTGATACGAGTATTTCACACGTTTCAAAGTTCACAAAGAACATATTCAAAACAGATTCATAAATGTATCAATCAGGAACAACACATTTTAACAATGTGAGGTGACAAACTTTTAAGTTCCTCAACTTATTATATCCATCATCAACTTGTGGAAAAGAATAGTTCCTTACCTAAATCTTTATGATTGCGCCAATTGTATGAGGACCCGATGAAGTACTGATTTTCGATGTAAATGAAATGCTGAGCAGAACGAATGGCCTTTACATATGCTGTATGTATGCTCATATCAATAAGTACATTCTTCCCACAAATCAGGTTCTGTTAAAAAAACAGGTATCGATCAATTTCCAACAAAACAACCCCGTAAAGTAGAAATCTTAAAACAGGAGTAATTTACTTTTAAATTACCTTTTCGATTGCTTCTTGTGGATCCTTAAAGCCTTTAACAGAATTTGAATCAATTGAACGAAATACCTGCACTTGCAGAATGCCGAAAAATGATAGAATATTGTCATACACCAACACTAAAAGGACCAGCTCAGTTACAACAACTGACTGATATCAATTTACCTGAACATGCCAACCCTCAGGATCATTTTCACTAAGGCATGGAGCATCAAACGCCCCAATTATTTCAGGCATCCTTTCTATTCTGAGCAAAGCATCATCATATAAAGATGTCTTCAGTTTTTTAATGCCTTTGGGTTTAGAAGCCTTGAACCAGCGCTCCTCAAAGTTGGTCAGGACATCATATGCTGCTGGACCATCAATTTTGCAGTGCAAGTCATGCCATGGTTCTCGTGGACAACCAACCACATTTCCCTGTTCAGTTAATAAAATGCATTTTAAAAGAGAACAAATCCATTTGTGTACCTTGAACAAACAATTTTTAAATACCCTATACCAATCTATTGGACATTTATCTATTGGCCATATAAATGTAGTGTTTTTACCATAATAATAATTATCCCAACTCACAACAGAATTTAAGAAGTATAACAATACTTATATAAATTTGCATATTTGATCTAACTTTATTAATATGTGAGCTGACTTTTCACATTTCACAGACTACACAATTGAGGAAAATAACATATGTATGTTTCTTTCAAAAGAATAGTTGACTCATCAGAGTTGACGAGACATGCAGCAGCACAGATGCAAGAGAAGTGCTTATAAATTTGCCTTTAGGTAAGGTGGTTGGTTCAATAATTGGCCAATTCTCATGTTTGGTTCTTTAATGTCTATTTTCAAATAATAAGATTCAATTGCTAGAGATTTTCAGACTAAGTCGCTTTTTATTTACTTCTAAACTGAATATGTGAACACCAAAAATGTTCCCCCAATAGTGCTTTTGCCACAATGATCTACCTCAGCCGAGTCCAAGGTTGCTCAAGCTCCGTTAATTTTTTTTTATGAGCTTAAGACTTTAGCTCGAGCTTCACTGGATAAGTATAAAGAATTGGCCCAATCTGATGTTTGGTTTTTAAAGTCTATTTTCAAATAGTAAGATTCAATTGCTAGAGATTTTCAGAATAAGTCAGTTTTCAATTACTTCAACTTAATGTATGAACACCCAAATGTTCATCCAGTAATGCTTTTGCCTTATTGGCCTACCTCGGCTGAGTCCAAGGTTGCTCAAGCTCCATTCATTTTCTTGATGAACTTAAGACTTTAGCTCAGGATCAAGCCTGCACAAACTATTCTGCAGATGAGCTTGACCTTAGTGTGCAAATTGGTCAGTTTGCAGCCTTGCCTACCCTTAATTTTATCATGCATTTTGAAAGTTTAGCTTCATACAACAATGTTTGCTGCTTATACTAATCAGGGACAGCATCCTCTCTGGTTCAGAAACCTTCTAACAGGTTGTAGAAAGCCAACAAGTTCCCTGTAGTAAAACAGCTTAAGCACCTCACCCATGCTTTAAGCATGAGCACATGGATACGTTCAAAATAAATCTCAAATCTATAGCAATTTGCAACCTCATGCTTCTAGTAGAGGTTGTAGCCCAACCACCTAATCAAGAAAATGGAACATCCGCCCCACCTCTTGAAGATAAGTTGCTGGAAGGGCATTGTTCGTTATGACTTTCTCAAGGTAATATATAATCAATGTACACAATTACAATACTTTTAAAACTTTAGCTACTCAAAATAACAGGACAAATAACACAAGGTTAAGACATTACCGTATAAGTAGGGTTATGATAATCATCTGCATGCACCGTTTGCAGCGTCCTAAATATAGGATGTTCTGGAGTATCATAACGCCCATCACATAAATCAAGTCCCCCGAGAAAGGATATGATTCTTCTTCTATTATTGCCAGCATCAGCATCCACAATTACACTTTTCTGATGATGTGTATAAATTGTTCCAACTTCCTGATAATAAAGAAGAAAGAAATAAGTTCAATGAAATGTACAAAACAGAACTACATACATTAGGTGAACTAGTCAAGTCCAATTGATTTGATAATTTGCTGTTCCATTTCCTATGTGAAAAGGAGCTTAAATGTCACAAGAGAGATGGGAAAAGCTACAGCAATATATTTCTACATGATGAGGTCCTTATAGTTCACACTGTTATTCAAGTATCAGAAGTTCCAAATAGTGACAGAATAAACTTATAACTGATGTTGAAACTGTACAAATTGTTTATGTGGATTAAATAGAACACCCAAAAATAGGATTTGTATGTCTAACGTACCCTCTGCTTCATCCAGCTGTGTCGCTTTCCAGCTTCGCGGGGACAAAGTAGTACTTTCACTGAAGAGTTCTTGAAAAAACGGCGAGTTTCTTCATCATGGGTTTGCATGACTCCATCCTGCATTTGTCAAGTATTAGTAAGATTAGTAATAATTATACTTAGAATAAACTGCAAAAGACCCCTTGAACTATTATTTTTTGCAACAAATCTCCCTGAACTATTGTTTTGGCAAGAAACCCCCTGAACTTAACCAAAATCGAGCAATTACCCCCTACTGTCCTTTTGCCGTTCAAAATTTTTGACGGAAGTACAGTCACATGCAGCACACATGACTAATTTATTTTGTTATGACTTATGCCCTTAAAATGACCATTTTGACCTTAATCCATTTGATAGATTCAAGATTCTAGAACTTTACCCATATAACCCTAAGGAAGAATATCAAATTTAGTATTTGCAAGAATTTAGTAGTTCAAGGGGTCTTTTTGCAGTTTACCGACATATTTAATAGAACTTTGAGACCAAAACATTATCTTTGGAAATACTGTGGAAGACACCAAAAAGACATTAGGGAAGGAAACATTCAAGAAAAACACTTTTAGCATCATAACATTGAAACCTCAGGATCTCTGGGTACATACAGGGACATAAAGCCTATTAAACCTAGTCAGGAATTTAATTCAAGAAAAGATAATGCAAGAAGTGGGTAGACAAGAACACACACACACACACATGAATAAAAATCCAGAGCAACTTGAAACTAAAAACTCAGTAGTAGGCAAAGAGCATATTCAAGGCAAGTTGGTGTATGCATTCCCAAGATTCTAATTCAAATTTGACTGCTCTCAGATATTTAATCCTGTATTCTGGCTTACTGTGAGTGAAAAAATTACATTCAAATTTGGCCCCAAATGGCCACGTGTCTGTTGCCGAACAGAGATTTGTTTTTGAGATTTTGCATTAAAGCATCGAATAGTGGAGAATCAGAGATTGATTCAGACATACAAGTGTATAAAATGTAAGTGCAATTGGATCAAGGTTTGAATGATTAATAAATTAATAATCAATTATATTTTCTCTCTCTGTGTTTGTGTATGCAATGCAGGGATCAAACTTTCAACATTATGCTTATGGAATTAAAGTGTTGAACACAAGCCAATTAAATAATACTACAGACCAGAAGCCTTAAATTATGCCCCAATATACAACTGCAGTAACTGTTCTGATTGTGTGATATGAAGAAAACTACTTACTGTTTTGTAGCCCAGGATGCTCCTTGAAGAAGGGTCATCCCATACAAGAAGCAGCACTCTCACTCCTTCCTGTGACTTAGACTTCAGAAGATCCCCCAGAGTCCAATCTGATGCACAATCAGCATCTCGGAGCAATTTAACTTTGTGCCACACTGACCATCCAGTAATATAAATCAAACGCCTGGCCTGGCCTATTGCGTCAAAGATGTCACGCCAGCACTTTCCATGTGCGTACTGCATCCCGTTGTCAAGATGAAAATTTGGAAGGCATCCATCAGGTACATGAGCATCTTGATAAAGAGTAACTGTTCCACCTGTCCTGAGTGGGAAATATGTGCCAGGAACCCCACAATAATCAGGACCAGCTTCCACTCCATGATGGTAACTGCTCAATCTCTCTATTGGGGTGTACTGAATTGAGACATTCAAAACAGCTCCGGCCTTGCAGGGCTTCCCGTTATTATTGAGTATTGGAAAGACTCCCTCAATTTTCTCTCCCGAATATATATGTTCCACTGGAATTGCCACAATCCCTATAAGCTCAGATCCTACAACATCACTGTCCTTAACATTAAAGTGCACTTCAGCAGCATGATGTGCAACAGGAACATAAAAATGTTGCTTCCAAACAGGATTTTCACTATTGCTAATCACATAGGTCCTCCCAATGACAGCACCAGTTACTGAAATGGAGACATATGGATCACTAGTGATCTTGCTATTCACGTGCCCTTCAATCTTGGTGTTCAATCCCCCTGGTAATTTGTTGAACATGTCCTTTAAAGTCCTATGGAACATGTCCATGTTTGGAAGGTTTTTTGCCTCATAGACCCATATTTCTAAATTCCCATGTAAAAGCAAAACCTTTAAAGACCCTTTAGAATTTGACGGCACAATATGCAAACTCTGACTAGATGGAGAATTAGTAAGTGAGGTTGAATGGGATAATGCAGGAGAAGATCCAGTCTGGCTCAAATCAGATGCCCCGAAACTACTTGAAAATGAGTTATTATACTTAGCATTCCGATATTTTGGAGAAGAACTATACACCGGTGGTGCTGAAGGCATTTCAGGGGCAGATGGGTGATTATTGGATAAATGCACGTCGCTTAAAAGATCATCTATAGGTGGGTAAGCCGAAGGATAATTAGAAACACTATCATTGATATCACCATGATTCATTGTCGATCCAGGCCCAACAGATGCTGAACTATCCTGCCGATGCAGGCTGGACAAGCTATTAACCCGGGATGGACCACTGGAATAGCCTTCTGTACATGGTAATGGTCCAGAGTGTTGATAATCATACTGGGATGAACCGTACTGGAAACTACTGTGGTGTTGAAGGCTTGGTTGAGGAGCGGAATAGGCTACTGGGGGAACTTGATACCCGTGGTATGGATATGGAAGAGGACCCGAATGTGCCGAAGGAGGGTAGCCATATTCCAAAGGGCCAGAATGGGTGGTAGCAGGAGGAGGAGGAGGAGGTGGTGGGTATTGATAGGCTAGAGGGCCAGAATGTGAAGCACTGTAATAAGGAGGAGGATATGGATGGGGTGGGTAAGGACCAGAATTGGGAGGAGGATATGGATGATCTAAAGGAGGTGGAACATGAGGGTATCCATAGGAATTATTATATGGGTATGAAGATGAATGATTGTAATTATCCATTATTGTACACTGACTTGATGGACTTTTTTATACATATACATATACATACACATACACACACACACACATATATATATATATATATTTGTACAGTATAAAATGATAAATTGGTTATACAAACACCACAAAATTTACAGGTAATCAGAAGGATTTGTGTATTTAGCTTCAATGGGAACTGATATAGGATTGATTTGTAGAATTATGAACAAGAAATTCACAGAGAGAGAGAGAGAGAGAGAGATCAAAAGGGTCTATTTATCAGATTAACTCAAGATGATCAATTAAGAACTGAGCTTGTGATCGTACAAAGAGACACAGATACAGAAGAAATAAAAAAAGGTCTGTTTATTAGTTCAAATCAAGATGACTGATAAAGAATTGAGCTTGAACTACCCTTGGAGGCTTATTGTTGGAGAAGATGAGAGATTGATCATACACAAAGCAAAAGATGCAGGAAAAATCAAATCGGTCTCTGTAATCAGTCAGTTTAATTCAAGATCATCAATACAGAATTGAGCTTGAATTGGTAAAACAAATTAGAGAGAGAGAGAGAGAGAAATATAGTACCTTCACAGGGTTGAGTGTTGGAAAAGATAAAATTCTTCCTGAAGACCAAACCGACGAAGAGTTAAGAGAGAGAGAGAGAGAGAGAGAGAGAGAGAGGGGGGGGGGGGGGGGGGGGGTGGTTCCGAGAGACCTGGCCAGATGATTCGTGCAACTTTGGGTACACTTAATCGCGTCACTAACGCGTAAGCTGTACAAATTACAAGTAAGAAGATGTCGATAAAACTAAACGTTAAGCCCAGAAAAATTTCAAGTACTCAATTTTCAATGCTGCTGAAATTATTAAATATATTAATTTACAAATTAATTAATATTATATTAATTTTAAACACTAAATTCATTAAAATTATTTCTTAAATACAAAATTTGAGATCTGAATATTATATATATTATATTTTTTTAAAAATATTTTTTACACATAATATTATTATAAAAATATTAATAATGAATTTCACCAAAAAAAATATATCAATTTAATAATGAATATTAATGTCAAAATTAATCATAAAAATTTCAAAATTAACATATAAAATGAAGAACTTATGAAAATAAAATATTTATGAGAAGGAGATTATAATTCACATACAAATTATTTGATTTTCATTTATATAGTAAATTTGCATCATGACTATGCTTCTGGAAGCTTAAATACACGTGGAGATATATTATTGGGCTGTCATATAAAAAAAATGACCTCTAGGTAACTTGGACTCTGTATATGAAAATTTCAGCCTTCATTTGAGCACGAAAGAGTATTAAAATGACATGCTTGCATCAGTCTGGTGGGCCCACGTGCGAAAATCTAATTGTAGGACGACCATTCATCTTCCTTTTATGCAACAAAAATGTGACGAATTTATTATTCAAATGCTATTACTTTTTCGGGAATAGTCAAAATGTTTCGACGAACAAATGAAACAATCGAAGGTTCCTCTACCTAATCACATACGTGGAAATTCATTTTCAATCATCAATATATATATATATATATATATATATATATATGGTTATTTGATAATTATTATTAACATTTCTACTTAAATCTTAAATTCTATAATGAAATTTTAGAACTTTTTAATCCAATGAAATTACTATTATCATTGTCTTGCTTGCATGATGACTTTTATTTGCACATTCTCAAACTTTTCTATCGTTTCCTAAATTACTTTATTATTGCCAACTATATGAATTATGAAGTAACAAAGTCTGTCTTGTTCCTGAAATAAAACTTCATTATAGGAAAGAAAAAATAAAAAATGAGGGATGTTGGAAAATCCTATATGATTTAAGAATCTTCTACTTTTACTAGCTCATTCAAACTTTTTCGTTTAGATCCTCTTGGTCACATATAGAAGAAGTGTACTTTGTGATGGAAAATGACATTTGTACTCTAAAAAAAACAAAAAGTTTCCAACACTTTGCTTGTTGAATTTATATATCAAAGGAAATGTTGGAGACCTTTTTTTAAAATTTTTTTTTTATGTCAGCCCTTTTGTAAAGAAAGTATTTACCAACTAATGTATTCAAAATAATTCTCAAATTTTTTGAGAAACAAAATTATTTTATTTTGAATTTAAGAGAATGATTTTAATGATCTAAATTAACTGAATAATTTTAACTACTCCTTTTAAGCTATGTACACTTGTTTAGTATGGTTTCTTGTTAATTCATGCTAAACATGTATGCAATGAACAAGAAAACATATGTCCATAACCTTTTATAATCCCTTGGCTGTCAATTGATTTTTGGGTTCACCTTGTTTGTTAATTTACCCATTAAAGAATTATTTTGTGTTAATATGTATAAATTATTATTATTATTATTGGTAAGAAATTCATATACATATCACTCACACACCTACTTTACTTACTCGAATCTTCATCATTCATTTTGAAATGTAGAGAAGATATCCTATATATATATAGGGTTTTTATTTTATTTATATATATATATATATATAGAGAGAGAGAGAGAGAGAAATTTGTATATTATGCCCCCTAAAATTATTAGTTTCTATTTTTTAAAAATATTTTTTCTCTTTTATTCTTTAAATTTCTTTAATTATCTTTTTAAAAAGGTCAAATTTCCCTTATTTAATCATGCTTTAATTTATTTCCTTCAAATTTTATTTTTCTTTCCCTTTTTCTTCTTCTTTTTCTTACCTTTTTTTTAAAAAAAAAAAAAAAATTCCCACTATGCCCCCTGAATTCAAATCCGGGCTTTGCCCCTGATTGGTAATACATATAAATTAAATAATTCAAAATTTCAAATAATGAGGCATTTTTTTTTCTTAATTGGTACTCAATTACACATGCCTCCACTAAGGTTCAAATATATTCGTTTGAAAAGTAAGAACCTAGTACCGATAGACCTGGCTTGTTGATAAGGCATTATTTCTTCTCTAAAATATTTCCTACCCAACAATGTTTCATATAGTGATTTTTTATGTGGAGTAGTGGAGAAGTGATTTTTGGTGTGGTGGAGGAAATTTCACACCATCGAACAAGTAACACAGTAACCACGTGGTACTGTGCTACTTTATTTTTTTTATTATTATTATTTTATTTTACATTATAGTGAGTGAAAGTAGGATGGCAAAATGGGTCATGAATTACCAACCCGCCATATTTGTTCGCTTTAAAATGGATATGAGTGTATCATTATAAAACATGGTTAAAATGGATGACCCATATTTAACCCATTTTTATAAAGGGTTAAACGGGTTAAATATGGGTCACTCATTTTGACCCATGTTTCATCCATTATATAAGAAATCCAGTTTTATATTCTCTATTTGACTCAAATTTACATCTTCTTCTTTTTTAAAATTCTCTCACCCTATCCCAAATTCTCTCTCTTCCACTCTTTCTCTCTCTAAAATTCTTTGTAATACTATAGCATTGCTATGCTACATCCACAATACATGTACAATGTATTCGTATGTATTATATATGCTCTACTTTCCAACTAACAATATCATGTACTTCTTTTGGTAATTATTGCGACAATATCTAATGGTCCATCCCCTTTTGTCTCTCTACCTATGCATATACATATGCAAACAACAAACATATAGGATGTTGAAATTGAATTTCGGCGCTTCTTATCATAGATGGTCTAGAGAGGGATGGGCGTAATGATCCTAAAGGATTCTATGGGAAGGCGTGTTAGAGTTGCATCAATCTTCTTTTTTGGTTTATGCAACATGGGCGTTTGACTTAACGGAATCATTTTATCTCTCAGCCCAATAGGCTTACAAAGAGGCTGACATTGAGGGGAATTGTAAGTCAATTATACAGCTTCTTCAACTAGTGAATTATTCAACCTAAATTCTAATAGAGGAGAGTATTAATCTACTGAAGCATCTCCCAGATCATGGACTCCTCGTGTATGTAATACTATGGCTCGAAACAAACCTATATTTACATCTATATTAATTTAATTATTTATTCATACATATATATATATATATATATATATATATATATGTCTAGTCATAAAAAAAATTAAATCAGAGGATTTATAATTAATTATTCATACATATTTTTACAAGCTTTTATCCATCTAAAAAAATAACTATAATAATGAGATTATCCAAAATAATAACAAATTTTTTTTTTCTAAAACGGGTTGGTGGGTTATGACGGGTTGACCCTACCCATTTAACTCAAGCAATATTTAACATGTTGTAAGCCGGTTGAATATGAGTCACAACCCATATTTGACCTTAACCAAACCTGTCCGTTTGCCACCCCTAAGTGAAAGTAATAGAAATAGCAAGTACCGAGTGGGTTATTCATCGACTTCGGAAGAAATCGTGTTTGAGCCTTTCATCCTCCCTCTCCCCCTAACAACTAACCACTAATCCCTAACATTTTTGAGCTAAAATAATAATAATAAAAAATAAATAAAATAATAGAATTAACACTTAGGAGTGGTTGGAGGTAGGAAGGGAAAGGTGACCAGACCAATCCAAGGGACAATACCACCCCACCAGACACACAATTAGCATTGCTCTATCCATTAATTATCACCTAACTTCCAAATATGCTACTTTCAAGTGTACCCAAATATTTGATTAGAAAATTTTTCTACAACTTTTCCCCTTTCATTTTTCTGCATAAATCATTACAAAGTTTCATCTACAAAACATGTACTTGCATAACGAGAAGCAATGTATTATTATAACAATTACATATATACTTTTCTTGGCTCTTTTGATCAATTCTTTTTTCTTCTCAAGGAAGCAATTGATATTCACACTCCAAATGAAAGACACCTCCTTTAATTTGCAGCATCTCTCCTCCTGAAAAGAAGAAGTAAGAATGCGAAAAGTGGTTGTTCGTTTCTTATTTGAAGTGTGAGTGTCACATACCCTTCAAACAATTCACTTAAAAAGGCCTCTTGCTTCAGACAAATTTTGAAAAGTTCTCTCACATAAAAACAACTCCATTGACTAATTTGCTCAACTACAAGATTTGGAACATGGATACATTAGGCCATCTATATTTTGGTGACAAAATTAATTAAGGGCGCCGTTATTTTCCTGTTTCGGGTAATATATGTGTGTATATATATTCGGTATTTGACAAAAGTTTAAATGGAAGTTAAGGTAAATTCATATGGTGAAGTGTGTAATAATTTGTCAAAAAATATAAAAATAAAAATAAAAAAAATATTTTACAGCCAAACAAAAAGAGCCTAAAAAGAAAAATGAAAAAACCAATCCTAAATAACATTTGATAGAAGCAGGATCAAGAGTTTTGAACCACCATTCATTGGAAGAATGTTTTAGTAATTAATTGGAGTTAAAATTGAAAACCGATCTTACAAAGAACTAAGGTATGAGCTTTTGGTAGAAGTAATGTTACGCAGTTTGGATTGGAAAACCATTAATTAGAAGAACTTCTCAACTAATTGACGTTATGTTTAAAACAAAGAAATTACAATGTGACATTAAAAAAGAAAAAGAAATAATCCTAAACTAAGATACTATAATATTCATATAGACCTACCCTATTGAAAAAAGATAGAGAGAAAAAATAAATAAAAAAAGAGTAAGAATTCGTAGACTTTATAACACAAAAAGCAAA